ACCGTGAAGTTGGAATCCCCCGAAATAGAATCTGTATAAAGACGCGAAATAGCTTAATTGGAAAATTATATCAACTTTTGTTACTTTATCCTGTCTGCCTTTGTGGTGAATTCTAATTTAGCACACTTTCACACTATAAACAAAAACATGCGCAGTGCAAGTCAAAACACGTCGCGTTATTAACGCAAAGCGTCAACTATCGGTCCAAGGTCACACGCACCGGCGCCGACTGAGTACGAAAGTAGAGATCCGTATCCGTATCCGTATCCGCGGATCTAGACACTAATGATCCGTATCCGTATCCGTATCCGCGGATATACATTTTTAACGATCCGGCACATCACTATTCTCTACACGTCTTTTCCTGTCTCGTTCTACCTCAAGAATGCCCTCGTTGGTCACCGTTATACCCTGAGGGTCGCTCGCAACCTTCCCATTGTTGCTAAAGGGTCACCTGCTGTTACGCCGTTAAACAAAAGTCGGGTGAAAGTTCCAGAAGGAAAGACAATAGACATAAAGACAAAGGAAATATTATATTTAAAAATATAAACTATGACTATATAAATATGGCACGTAGCCACAACTGCTCATGAAAAATTTCTGGGATTGTTCGTCCAGATTCGATCCCGAGTTACTCGGGATTAGGATCAGGATCGATAGAGTAGGAAACGCAACACATGGGCAATGTGCCAATCTGTGGACGATCTGCTGAAGGATAATGCCTCTCGGGAGGTCTTTCATGGAAAACTGGTCCTATTTAGGTGTTATAAACGTGAAGAAAATCCGAAAAACTCCACATGGCCAGACCGTCGGTGAAGTTCGAACCCGCGACCAACTATCGATGATTTTATCCAATCGTGGCCCGGGATCCTCGTGAACTACCAGTGTTACGATTTTATCTGCTCGGGCAGTGGTGGGCCCTATGTTCCCATAGTAGTATGCCTTAACCGCTTGGTCATCCAACCGTATTGGGTGCTTAAGTGTCGTGCAAACCAATAGCACTTCATTTCAAATGGAAACTTAGTCAAAAACTTTTTCGAAGTATCTACAGTACTACACATTAACCGGTTAGATTAATGAACGAATAATAACCTTTGACCTTTGTTCCCGCTTTTAAAATCCACATCGATTCGTAACCTGAAATAATAATAAATGATTTTCAGAAATTTCGATATTAAAATATAGGTAAGTAGTAAAAATAGCACAGTAGAGCATGCGAGCGTGTAAAGGAAATAGCATTCTTGTTATAGCGAAAACGCTATATCAAGGCTTGCAACAGCCCTAAAAAAGGGGTGAAGTTTATTGTTATTAAAACATTTTAATGAAGAATTAGCGTGACTTAACGGTTTCCGCACTTTAAAAACTCCACCCAACCAACCTATAATATAAATAAGCAAAGAAATTTAGCCAATTGCAAGATGTGGCACACATTTAAACACTTGCTGGTACTGATTACAGTGTTCAGTAGGAGCCAACAGGGTTATCATCCACAGGTCTATCGTCGGATTAGTAACAACCAGACCTGCTCCGTAGAAGATCAATTGGATGATCTTCAAGCTCCAACTCTCAGTTACTGTGCAGCGGCTTGCCTCTCGAATCCATCTTGTGGGCCTTTCAGCTTCAACAAAAGTAATTCGAGTTGTAGTTTGTGCCACGAGGGAACCGAAAATTACAGATGGAAGATCAATACCCATTTTTATATTGTAAGTGATTTTATAGTTTGAGGGGCATTTTCGTTTATGGTATAGATATATAATTTAAGTGTGTGTATATTTCGTGTTGCTGAAGAGATTTTCCATTGTTTGCGTATTCTTAAATATATATATAATCATTTTCTAAGGTAAGACATGGTAAATTTTCAGCAATGTTGTAGAAATTCCTTCAAATATTGCGTTTTTCTTGTTAGATTTATACTGTAGATACTTAAGACGCTCTTCTGTAAGGGAATGCAGCATACACATGGGCGATCTGCCATGAGTGTGCCTCTCAGAGGACTTTCTATGGGAAGATTGCCCCTTAGATAAAGGGAAAAAACCCGGAAAACACGTGGTTAACCCGTTGGTAAGGTGCGAACCCGCTACTAGTGTTCGATGGCGTTATCTGTTCGACCGGTAGTGGGAAATTAATGCTGAAATTTCAAAAATATGATTGTAGAATTGTAGTGCCTCTATACACGAATGGGCACAGATTTCTTAAGGATTCATTCATCTTTCATTGTAGAAATGGAGGGAGAGCATCAATTATATAGTTTATGAAACTGATGGTAAAGATATGGAGAATCCTTCCCCCCAGGAGATTTGGAAAGTTGACTGCAACAAAGACGATAATTCGTTTAAAAATGGATTCATCGTGGGTATCTGGTAAGTAATTTAATCTATTTTCTTATCAGTTAACGAATTTTTCCCGAAATGTCGTAAATTTCCCTATCGATCAGTTTTTCTGGGGAAAAACAGAGCCGTCGCGAGAGGAGAAAGCAGGGAATTTTCTCCGGCTCGTAGTGGTTCCTACTCCTATAAAAATCAACAATTATTTTTACTATGAAGCAAAAGGGGCCCAGTCTACCCGGGCCGCATACAAGTAAAAATCGACTTATCATAAGACCAAATAGGGACATTTCTAGAATAAACAACTGAACGCAAACTGTTCTGAAATTTCCCCTAATAAAAGAACTACATGAAAGCTATTTAAAAATTTCCCCACAAACTAATTTTTTTTCGGAATTGTACGCTATTGTAGTTCGAAATTTTCCCTAAATTCCAAATGTTTCGAAACTCCTCAGCATTAATACAATGCAAATCCCGAAATTGTATTATTACTTAGGGAAATTTCCCCAAATTATCAGCTTATTCGAGGTAATTTACTAAACAACTACTAAATTCTGTAAATAATAAGGAAAAAACAGTAAAAACTACCGAAATTTCCCCAAAAGAGCAATTACCTGTAACCTACGAGGGAAATTTCCCCACAAATACATGTAGACAAAAAACGATCGATAGCAATACGCTATTTTTTCCTCCCCGCTTATAGAGATGTCACGATATAACGATTTTAATTGATTTAAACAAAGAAAAATATATTTTTTTAGGGAAAAAGATGAATACATTGTTATAAAAGTTAAAAAAAATATTAGTAGTTATTAACATTTTTAATTTTCCAACTAGAACAAAGGGTGTGGTCGCTTCCGATCGTTGACTTACACCCCTCCCCATAAATACCAGGAAGAATAAAAGATTAGGCATTACATTATTCACGGTTATTAATTTTCTAGTAGTAATAAATTGGGGAAATTCTCAAAATTATCCCTATATAATTAGACCAATTACTGTAATGTAGTGACTGCAATGGAAGCTTCACTGTTTAACTCTATTGCTATGCTGGAAAGGCTCATTTATAAGTTAATTTGAGGTAATTTAGCATCAAAAAATGGCTTTTTTTTGTTAATTCAGGGACGATAAACACGACTTTGACGACATTGACAAAATCAAATGCCTGAGGTGGAAAAACAAAAACATCGTGGACCCGCTCCAGTCGCAGCTGCTTCACGTGGGATACGAGGACCTGCGGAGCTGTCCGAAGGGCCACGTCCTCACAGGTGAGAGGCTAACTTTTGCAAATAAACGAATGGTTTTGTTTGAGGTGCGAATGTTTCCTTCCCTCTAGCTCTGTCCGACAAGAATCCGGGATTCACCGAAGTGGAACTGGGCAAGTGTAGCCCCCTCTTTGACGGATATAGAGTGGATCCGGACAGGTGCGCGTCCATAGCCACTTCCGGAAGGGACTCGGGTCCGAACTCTCCGCACGCGGCCTGGAAGGTTCAATGCCCAGATGACAAATTGTATGTTGCCGTGGCTATCTATAGGAAAGAAGGTGTTCACACGCATCTTATCTGCTGCATTCTGACAGATGAGTCAGGGATAAAGATAAAATTGCCATTTTAATGTATGCATCTATTAAAATTTCATGTTATTTTAAATCGAGTCAATGAATGTTAAGTGTTTTGCTGCATGTAATGCGATACCTTTGCAAATATTTTAGTTTTATATATAAAAGGAGTATGTAAAATATGAAAATTCGATGTAAGCAGCAAGATATTGGACTAAAGAAATAATTTTTTCCTATATTATGTATAAAAAAAGTCTTTCAATGGTGTATGAATTATGGCTCCATGTTTACAAGTCTTATCTAATGTAAATTGGTTCTGTATGAAACAATAAGATGTAAATCAGAAAAAAAATATGGAAAACTTTAGCAGTGGAAAGTTTTATTGCAACGATCTTTGACAGGAAATTGTACAGTGCTACATACAAGAAAAAGTTTTCTTTAAACTGTTTTTCTATTGTTTTTTCTTTTTTTTGATGCATTGGTTGCAGATAGCCGACAAGCTGCGGTGCTTCCAATCTCGCTTATTCGTCATTGCAGGTCGTAAACCAAACATAACGACTGCCCGGCAGTGAGCCAGTACTTTGATAAAATTTGCTGGTGTAATTGACTAAAAAATTTTTCTTCGTAAGACATATGTACACATTGATGATTAAACCGTGTGCAAGTCTCGATGAGTAGAGCGAAAAAAAACAATAGATCCGACAACTAACAACATTAAAAACACACGCAACAGTGTCGGACATAGACAAATTTCGGTGGTAACTCTACGAAACCATGCCGAGAATGTCCAAAAATGCCAGTAAGCAATATTCACTTTTTCTAATCAAAAATAAATGCAAGAAATTTGTAAATCATATATATCAAAGCAATCTCTATAATGAGAAAAATGAGTAATTAACATAAACATTATAAACTTATTATACATGGCACACATGTAGAATCATACTTTTGCTCCAACATTACTTTCCTTTCATATCACAGAACAATTACACAACAGATGGAAGGCATTTAAAGTTCTTTTTTTTCTCCTTAAATATTTAAATTACAGCAACAGAAATCCAGTACGTTCATTGGAAAACAAGCAATAATCTGTACAAACTATAATTACATAATATTCTACACACTACTGATTGTGCTTATGATATGAAAATTCGGAGTATCCGATTGCCAAGTTTACTCTCTTGTTGGAATTAAATTTGATAAAAAATATTCTGCGATAGCTTACATAAACTTTCGCTCACCATCTCGACACTTGTCTTAGTATCGAATTTTGCGGCAAATCAGCAGCTTTAACTTAAAGTAAGACAAACTGATAATTGTTAACTTGAATATTAAAGCATATTTGCAGAATTTCAAACTTCCCTTGATATCGTTTTAAAAATCAAACTAATTTTTATTACTTTTTTTTTTTTTTTTTGGTTTTGGTAGATGATCGTGACCTACGAAGACAGTCGCTAGCAAAATTTTTTATTTATTTATCAATTCGTCAAGTTAAAAAATCTACTTCTGTTGTAAATCAAACACCAATTACATTGGCACCGAAATATTTTTAAATTTCAAAATTTTGTCATAAAATTTTCTCGGTCTTTCTATTAAAAACCTTTTAATTTAATTAATACAAAAAAATCTAATTAACAACTCAAAGCCTGTGTATGTTATGCTCAATCATCGGCATGATTTTAAATTAAAATTTAAAGTCTTTCAGCCAATTATCTACTTATATACATATAGACAGCCTTCAGGCACTTCCAGATATACATTCGATGAAACATGTAACGAGAATACATCTTAATGCTTAAATACATAATGATATCAGACGTCTAATCTAAATATTTACTACGTATGTATACTGTATATGCATATTTATAAGTTATACATGACATAAAAATCTACTGCAATATGCTCAATTAAATATGTAATAATTTATGGAGCGCATACCTATATACACATAAGATATATTTATATAAATCTTTTGTCTAGGAAATAAATTAAAAAAAAAAAAAAAATGGCATAATACGCGAAATAAAATCCCTCCTCAAAAACAAGTTTAAGTCGACTAGTGAGTGTACGGGACAAACCACACTTTAAACACTACGTCCGTGGCGAAATTTGATTTTTAAATTCTGTAAAATGTTACTCGAAACCAAATCATTTTTTACTGAAATTTTTGTTTCTAATTTGTTCTGGAATGTAAGGGTGGGCACAAAAATATGTCCTCTACAACACTTTACAAAACTCTGGCTTTTTTTTTTTCCACATGTAATTGAGCAGTGCCAGTAACACTGAGGGATAAACAGACATTTTGTTTTCTTTTTTATAAATGCCTAGTGTTACATTGTGATAAAGCATGGACCCTGAAGACTTACAAACGAGTACGGTGCAACATGTTGCTCATGAAAATTCATTGTTGTAAACCTCCATTGTATGCATAGTCTGCCTTGTTATGCATTATCAACCGGTCGTCCACGAAATAAAAACTGTCGGAACGTGTCTCAAATGGATTGTTAATCATGTCTTCACCTGATGAAAGAAAAATGGATTAATTTCAAAATATTTTAATTTGTTTGGAGAAGTGAAATACTCACAAATTTCAGAACTAAGAGTAGGAAATTCGTATATATGCTCGCACGTGTTTTTGCTGTGAGGAATGCAAAATCCGAACTCAAAATCAAAAGTTTTTAACAGCTTGTCTCTGAAAAAGTGTCTTTCAATCATGCGAAATTTATTGACAGGTTTATCGCCCACTGTAAATTCCACTCTGAAAGAAAAATGGAAGTTGTTTATGTAATTAAAAACAAAAAAAAAGTCCAAAAAAGAAAGGAATTTCCGAATCTTACGTTGCACCGACAGTCTTCAATTTTAGAAACTGGGGAGTGAACTGGTAGCGTACAAATCTACCGGCATTTGGATCTGTATCTTCTTGATCCTGATCTTCATCTGTACAATCATCATCATCTGTAAAATATTTCGATTTCAATAAAACTAAATCAAAATTACTTAAGAAACAATTAATATAAAAGCAGACCTTGGCACACAATCTTAAAAAAATTAAATAAATTCATTTAATTAAGAAAGGAGAAAAAAAAAATAAAAATAATTAATTTTTCAATCAACAAATTCATTATTCAAATTTATGCATTAATGTCATTTTAAAAATAAATTTGTTCCATTTTCAATTCCCATGTTACATTACGACGGAGAAAGAGATGAAAAAAAAGCAACCGAAAATTAATTTTATGCATTCTAAAAGGAAAAATCATAATCTAAAATATTCATTTCTATATTTTCTAAGTATTTAATTTGTTTGCTTCTCCGCAAGATACTAATTTAGCTGCATGATGTATAATATGAGTTGTCTTAATTGGATAAGTGACACATTAACAGAAGTAAATTTGATTATGTAAGTGCAACCGCATTAAACACATTATTAAAGTCCGCATACTGAAATGTTAAAAGCAAATAGAATTTTTCAATTAAAGTTTCTTAAAATTGATGATTATGCAAGCCAACATTTCTTAACTATTTGTAAAAATGCTGATTTATCAATAATAATTAAATAAGTGGCAATTAATTAAGTCATTTAAGCTTTAAAAATACCTTGACGTGAGCATGTTTTGATGATTAAAATTAATTTTTTGTAGATATACTTTTAACTACAAAATTTGACAATCTACATATCAATTAAGTTTAATGTTTAATGTATCGAAACAATGTTAGACTTGAATACAAAACTGAATATTAGAGTATATTAGTAGAGTAAGTTGTCATTGATTCAGACATACCAGACTTAAGAAACACAAAAGCAAATGAAGAAAGGTAGAGAGAAGCAATGCTAACCCCAAATTGTACAAATTAAAGTTTTAATAGTATTTAAATGTAAATTTGTTGGTAATTTGATAAGGGAAATTGTGAATGGTTGGCTAAGGAAGGGATAAAAATTCCAAAATGAATCCCAAGTCCGAAGTGTACAGTAAGATCCAGTAAGTGTCACAAAGCGCCTGTATGTCTGGTGTTTGTTTTATACACGACCGAGGTTATTTAAAATACCAGATGCTGTTCTATTTTACAATGTAACTTATACAACTCTGTAATTATTTTATAAATAATTTACTAATAACAAAACTGTCTTTAAACCAAAGTGTATATTTAATTACCTTTTAAAATTTAGTTATAAATAATTTTCCAATTACAATCGTTAAAAAAAAATTCCATTTCAGCTATTAAAAAATTGTTAAGAAAATCAATATTCTTATTTAAAATTTTATAACTTTATTTACGTATGAAGAAAATCTGATTACAATCCTTACTAATATTCAATTTAAAGGAATAAAATCTGCAGAATGCAATAAATTCAACGATAATCTCTTATTTATGCAATAAACTGTGAAAAAGTATTGATCGACGGGGCATATTTGCATCGTTCAATTACACTTTTGACATCGGTTTTCGCTTAATACTTTGTAGATAATGTGATAATACGCATTCATTTTCTTTTAGATCAATTTGCATTTTAACTCCAGTAATCTCAATGATTGTAAAAAAAAAAAAGAAATAAACTGCGCTCTTTAACGACTCGCAGGAATTAAAATCTATCTCACATAAATTATTATTACAATTTTCCAAAAATAAATGAGTTAATTTTGTTATTTGATGAAAATTGAACAGTTAAGTTTATTTTCAAAGCTGTAGTTTATAGCAAGAAAGGATATTTGTTTAAATAACTAAGAATAGATTTTTAAACGATGTGAATTATGGTCAAAATTACTTCAAATTACTCTACTTTCCTTCTTTGATAATCTGAATTGTAATATGGCAAACTTTATTGATAGAGAGAAAAAAAGAATTGATTATTCTGCCTTAGTTCTCTGGGAAAAACTCAGGAAAGTAAGACAAACATAGCTTTTTTTTTTTTTTTTTTCGTTTTGCCGCTTCATCGGTGATCTGTAAAAATCATTTGAAAGATTCGATGTTCCAAATTCTATAATTATGGCTCTGACTAAATGTTCTAGTAAACATTAATTAAGCCATCAAATGTTTTTCTTCTAATTGTAACTTTAAAATATTAAATAAATCTAAAAAAACTTTACCTGGAGGTGGTGGTTTTGCAATTTCAAACAATACTGTTCCAGTGTCCATATCTCTGATTTTGAAACGTGTAAAATCAATGTCATAGACATTTGCTTCTGGAGAACATAAATAATCTATAAAAAAAAAAAACGCATACAGATTAATAAATCATTAATACCAAGATAAAAAGAAGTAAATTTTAATTATAATTAACAAACAGAGCTTAATAATTTATTTAAATACTTGTTAGTTAATTTCTACAGAAACCTTTGTTCATATTACATTCCCAATAAGCCACTTACAAAGAAGGATTAAACAAGAATACTTAATTACACGTAGTTCGCAGCGAGTCAAAGTTCGGGATGATAATTTCATGTAAATAATTTATAAATATTTAAACATTACGCCATTTTTTTTTTATTTAAAAGGAGATTAAATTATGTAAGGTAAGAAAAAAGTGAGTAAAGATTTAGTAAAGATACTATCATCTGTAGTCACTTTGTGTTTTACGGTTGCCATGGAAATGACGTCGTACATTAGCCTGTCATTCCGTGAAAGTACGAGAACTATAAAACCGCACAATGGAGATCGTCTCAATAATTTTTCGCCGAAACTTTTATTGAAAATCATTACATAAAAGCAAATTTTTCAGAAATACTTTTTCAAGATCGATTAGCGTAACATGCGGTTATTCTGTAGTCGACTAATTATTGAAGTTTGGCAGTATTCTGAGACTTCCAGCCCCCAAAATCCAACTACCGCAATTAAAACAAATGGAGAAATGGGCATTTTTTTCCTCCCATTAGGTTTGCAACTTTTTTCGGAAGGTATCATGCTAATTCTATGCACTCAAATGTCTGGTAAAGACAATATATTTGTAAATTGTCAGCTTTTATCAATGTAGGCCAATGTCCTAATTAAGGAAAACAGAAGTACGACGTATGAATGATCGAGAACATCAATAAGGAAATGAATTGTAGCTTGGTTTCTTGTTTAAATTTAGAAAATGATTTAACATATGTTGAGTAAGCATTTAATGTATAATTTATGTATCATCTTTGTAATCAAAACATCATCTCATTCTTACGTCATGTTAGACGATAAAATTTTTCTTCCTTATCAATGTATTATATCATAAGGAAATTGTAATTCTTGCCAATTTCTTATGTAAAATTCCTAGAAATTCAAAAGTTTATATTAAAAAAAAACAAATGATTTATGCATTTGAATGGCTGTAATTTTAATCACTTTGCATACATTAATGCTTAAAATAGATGTAAATGCTACTTTTTACTAAATATACTTAGTATAAAGTGGAATTTCATAAACACTTGTGTAAAAAAATGATTAAAATTTCAGCCATTTAGCTAGAACTTTACTAAAAATATAGCATTTATATTATGCTGAGAGAGCTTAGAAAATTAGCAAATTTAATTTCTAATTTATCTCTGTACAATTTACATAAAAATAAAATAATTAAAAGTAATTTCTATAGTAAACTGTAATTATATTTTAATATCTTTAATTACTTTATGAAGTAATTAGGAAAAACATCAGAAAATTACCAGTTTAAAATAGTATTTAAGTCCTACTTAAAAGCAGAATCGAATGATGAAATATATATTTTCAATTACTGGTATGTGCTTAACAAGTCCCATAAAATTTTAACGGGGCTGAAAACTTCATAGATGCCATACTCTTGTTTAGGTACGCAAATACTTATCGCTGCATTACGTCTAAAAACACACAGCAACGTTCACTTATACGTTAATATTAGGCTTTAAAATAGCCCTACAATAATAAAAAGTAGATAACGTTCATAGATTACAGACAACGATTACATTGTTTTATGGAAGAACATTATCCTGAAGATTAAAAGCTGAAACAGTTGGATTTGTAAACAAAAGAGAAGTGTTAGTTAATAATTGGGTGATAAATAATAATTTTAAACAACCAATTAGTAGTGTTTATTATTTGAAAGTTGGCCACAAACTCGTTAAATTTGCTTTCCTCCAGCATAAATTATTTTGCTCCACAAAATCACTTACAACTAAATAAAAATAAATGAAGTTTATAATTCAGAGAGAATGAAAAATTATATCTTTAATTCTGCAGGATGAAAATACAGGTATGTGTTGCTTAACGACAGGGATATGTATCAAAAAAATACATCATTAAATTATTCGGTTTTTGAGTGAACTTTATATTTTGTATTTAGACAAAAATCACTTTGAATATTTAAAACTCCTTATTGACGGATGAAAAATGGAGCATTAGGTGTACATTGTTCTGGTCATAAACAAGGAGACTGGCATCAACCTAACATATATCTAAAAAGATCCCTCAATTAGAAAAAATCACTAAATGATGATATTAAAAGAAGAGAATCTGCTAGTTTTATTCTCCTTCACGTAACTTCCTGGTACAGAGGTAGATTGGCAGGCAGCCAAGATCATCAGAACCAACTCTAGCCCCTCCCACATAAACACTATGGAGAAGAGTGAAATTTATAACCGTTCGGATACTGCTATTGTACTCCACTTCCCTCCACGTGTTTAATCTATCCCATTTTTCTTACTCCCAACATTGAAATTCTGCTTTTTACCATCTACACCAGAGGACTGCCCGTCAACTGGGTTGAAAACATTAGCGTTCTTTAAACTTTAACTACCATTACTAATAACGAATAATCAAGGTGCCTTTATTATTATCATTAAAAACATTCAAAATATACTGCCATTAAATAATTAAAAACTGCATTTCATTTTGCATAAGAAAATTTAAACCGAGAAAACAATTACTAAATTGACGTTCGGGGCCAAAACAAACCACTTAAAATCCTTTGAATAATTTATGTTGCATTTTCCAGTTTTGCAAAACAAACAGTGCAAATTAGTGAAAAAATTCTGCAACACGAACCTAAATAACACTCCCGTGAGAACAAGATCATTAAATAGAAACAAGTAAACTGTGTCATTGCTAGATTCTGATACAGCACTCGTTAAAATAAAGATATTTTAGACGATGTGTCGATTCTACAACAGATTCCGATCCCTCTCCTCATTGGATTCCAAGAATTTATAGAAAATTTAATCCAAACATACGTTAAATTCATGGTAATTTAAACCTTTATATCTCAGAAAATGTATGTGTTGTTATAATATAAATGCAATTGTTTTAAAGAAAAATACTGTAAAAATTATAATTAGAAGCTTAATACTACATAATCTATCACAATAATAATAAAAAAAATCAGTTTTAATATCAAATTAATCTAGAATATTCAATTCTCGACAGACTTTAACAAGCTTTCATAGTCATTTATCAAGATTATTGATACAAATTTTAAAGAAAAAAATTACAGTTGACGTATTCCAAGAAATATTTGATGTTAATTTTTAATAAGTGTATTTAGAAACGATTCAAATAAATTTTTACTTTATTTGAAGTTTAATGCAAACGATCATTCAAAAATAATGCACAAAATGACAACAGAAATCCGAGAAATAGGTAATGAAAAGGAAAATCCACCTCTTGTAATTTTACAAAGGATAGATTTTCCTCATCGTCTCGAAAATAACCAAGCATGTCCACAAATCCGGCTACATTTTACTAAAAAAAGAATGTTTCCTGCTTATGTTAAGCAAGTACATGGTTAACAGTTCCACAGCAGATAAATGTCGATTATAACATGTTTTCTGGTATTATTTAATGGATTTTTAAGTATACTTTTTGATCTACCGCGACTACGCAAAAACAAAGTAATTAAAACAAGAAAAATAATCATCCTTGACGACAAGAACGAAGTATTAAATCGATTTTATTAAATAAGGCATGAGCAAAATTAAAATAAAAATCAAAATATATAATAATAAAACAAGAGAACGCAAACTGATATTTTAAATATTTTATGTGTATTGACGCTATACATTACTTATGAATAAAATTCTATTTTCTATATTCCATTTTTTTAAATTTTAAACTATTTATTTAAAAAAAAAAAAAAAAAACTGATGATTAAAATATGTTGTAGATCATAAAAATTGAAAGAAAATTTCCAAATGAAAATTAATATGAGAGTTTGTCGCCGAATAAAATGATAGATTATAATAATTATGGTGGTTGGGAACGCATCAATCAATTTTGTAATGTTGATAAAGTGTCTAAATGATCTTGAGATTACATAAAATTCACTTATCAATTCTAGTGACAGATATAGAATAAAAGAAATGATATCTAAAAATAAAATGGATGCATTTTTGTGTGTGCACGCGTGTGCATGCATACACACACACAATATTTCTGGATCATCCTGTTTACATACACTTCTACTGTCCCCATACACCCATGCAGTGGCCCAAAGTTCAGTTAACCAAGATTCACAGTTCCATTTCTTTATCGGAAGCAACTGAATCATAACAACAAGCAACCATTCCAAACCAATTTAACCGTTCTTAAAATATATATCTCAGTTAACTGCCTTCCAAGCTGCTCTGTATTGTTTATATTCAAAAAACCTTTCTCGTATCATCACAAAGAGGAAAAAACTCTAATTTTATATGCTTACTGATCATATTATATTAAAAACTTCTAAATTTATATTTGCCTTATTTTATTTGATATTTAATGTAAGAAACAATGAAATTGCAGTTAAGGAAAATGAATAAGAAATTCACAAACAATCCAGGCACTATAAAAAAATATAAGTTATTCTTTAAACGAGGATGCGAATGATTATTGAGAGTTATAAATATAAGAATAGAAAGAAACGAGAGAGATTAAGCTTTGTTTCTTAATACATTAGCATAGTTTTTATGATAGAAATTTCGAGCAATAACGTTTAACGATTAAGCAATTGAATTTTGATTTTTCTGAGCCAATTTTATATTAAAAAAAAAAAAATTAAACGAACAAGAAGCCCAAATAAAATGAATCAGGTTAACAGAGAATTATGTAATAGGTTATCTCAAAAAATTCAGTTTTATCTTACTGGTTATATAAGTAAGTTTTGGAAGTATCGATGCCAAAAATAGATGCAACAGGTTGTCTCATTTATTATTCTTTTACAGGCATCTGTTGCTGTACTTTCTCAAGGTTAAAGAATAAATTATCAGTATTGGAAACTAGGATGACTTAATGAGGCTAACTGGGTGTTAATATATGCTGAAAAACAGAATTTTATATTAGTTTCCGTGCAACGAAAATATAGAATTTTATTACTGATTTGAAAAATATAAACACTTTTGTACAAATTGTCTCTATGAATGATATTTTATAATTAATATGGGTACAAGCACTATAAAACTCACATTTTGATATAAAGTCACTCATTCCTTAAAGTCTGCAGTGTATTCTCTGATTTATATTTTGTACAAACACTAATATATGTACTTAGTAAAGTTATATGGGATATTGTAGTGTACCCATACTGAATAAACAGCCAAAACAGTGTACATATGAATATCACCAAGTTCCTTAACAAACATTCCTTCCATACTGAAAATATCCCCAAAGGTTTTTCATGAAAATATCCCATTTTACAATATAGTACTACAATCTTATGGGACTGCAAATGTATGAGAGGTCAAATATCAAGAATTGTAAGACCATAATTCAGTAAATTAATTAAACATTAAGTAAAACAATTTTGTCTTTAATTTAAAATTGTTTTTACTGTCCTAATTTTATTATGAAAGTGCATCAAAAACCTATTTTAAAAAATTCTTGTGGTAAACGATACTGTAATTACGCATGTGTCACAACAAAACAGAAATGTGTGTCAAAATCAGCAAATAATAATATAAACATGCAATAAACCAAAGCCTGATTTGTTAACTCTACCTAAATGACAGACAATTTTTGGATTAGAGTTATAATTGCAATTAAGTTACAAAATTCAGCCTTTCAAAAGGTAGGTATACTGCCGTCACAAACAACAATCAATAATTAGAAATTGTTTAATGCTATAGTAAAGCAATCACATTTCTGATCTAAATTTAATTAAATATTGCACCTTTGCATGTGTTTTCCCATTATTTTAACTTTATTTTGTGAAAAATCTGTGATATTTCTTCATCTGACAACCGATTTAAAGAGAAAAAAAAGGAATAAATAAATTCAGTCATTTAGGAACATCTAATTTTTACAGGCTCTTAAATATTAGAAGAGTTTCCATGTTTATATATAGAAAAATATTTACATCACTTACATATAAATAAAATTAAATTTCCCAACAGTATAACCTGCAATTGGGTCTGCCGATTTAGCACGCAACAATTCCAGATCTGTTCCTTTGAGTGTAGAAGGCAGTAAGCTAGCCTGAAGGACCAGAGCAGAAATGGCTGCATGTGAATTGAAAAGAAGCCTGTGGAATAAGTAAGGGCTTGCTATTAAACTCTTATAGGCCTACATCTAGAACTACTTCTGATGGCAATGTTTAGACGGAAAGATGCAAAAAGTAAGAGAATAATTATTATATTCAGCCTCTAGAGAGAACTTTATGGAATGTTAGTTTAATAGCAAGCCTTTGATTATTCTGCAGGCTTCTTTCTGATCAATTTCTTATGAAAATGCAGTCTGATCTGTAGGGCCTGCTATAAGCTTTCTATATGCAGTATTTTTTTGCCTTACGAGACACTAACATACTTGAAAATTTATCAGAAAATTAAGACGATTCTTATACTCTAAATAATATATTTTTCCTACAGAATTCATGCATCTTACGAGATTAAAAACACAGTACACACAAGCAAGCAACAAGTCTAATTTATTGGTAATCATCCAAATACCTACTGCCACATTTGTCAAACTATAATTAGGCTACTAATTAAATTAATTAATTACGTAATTTATTCTAAGCCACTCTTACCAGCAATAATACGTTTCTTATAAGCTAACTATAAGAATATTAATTACGAATTCTATAGCGATCGTAAGCTATGGCAGAAAAAAATTTGTTATGCAAATTTTAATCGATACGTGGAATTAATAATAAGAAAAACTATTACAGTATCAATGACCTTAACAATAATTTCCAATTAGTTTTTATTTTATTGAAAATAATTTAATATATTTAAAGATTAATTACAAAAACAATTATAAAGGTGAGCTTTAATGGTGTAATTCTGTAAACGTATAAAACCGAAATAAATAATTTAAACCATAAAAGAGAGATGTGTGTATATTTATTAAGGTGTATCATGTTTATCCTTTACAACTTTATAAATAAAATGTAGGACATGCACGCCCTATTAACTACAAATTATAGGTTACATGTGAACAATATAAAAATCTTGTACTTCCACATTCGAGTAAACTTTCGTAATATACCAACTATCATTCAAACTTTCGAATTAAATGAAAAACTAGGTCTGTACATTGTTATATCAATTGTAAATAAATAAAAGAAAACGCACGAGTGAACTTCCAAATTATTTAAAATGTATTATTTAATAATCCTAATAATTGGTGATTAATGTATCGGTCTACCTCTCCAGGGGTTCCCAGAATCAAATCTTGGTGGTAAAAACAATCGCATAAACTTTTTGGGGATGGTCTGTCGAGGATAAGTCACACCCCATTCATCACCACCAGGCCTCACTACTGTGGGCCAGGCCCAATCCACAAGCTTGAAGAAAAGGCCCCATTAGTGCATATTGAGCAGAAAAAGTAAAAAAAAAAAAAGTAAAGTGTTCTCTCTTAATCGGCAATTAAGGTCTATCTCTCCAAGGGTCCCAGATTAAATCCAGGTGGGCAAAAAAATACATCATACCTCATCCCTCGTCACCCAATCTTACCACCGTGAGCCTAGCTGAATCCACAAGTTTAAAAAAAGGCCCCATTAGGCCATACTGAGCAGAAATAGTAAAAGAAATCCCAATAGTCAAATAATTCAAATTATTTGATCATGTGAATTTTTAATAATTAAGAAATTTAGAATATTAGCATAAATACTTTAAAAATGTGTTTGATTTAATAATATTTTTCCATATTCAACACGGACTTTCCTGCTTAATTAATTAATAATCAAGAAAAGGTCGAACGCATTACAAATAGTAGAAACAGAAATTACACTATTATGCTTTCGAAGAATTTATTGCATAAGATTGCAATTGATTTCGATGGCCATTTGTTCAGATTAAATCTAACTAAAGTATTGCAATTTTTATATGAAATCTAGAAAAAGTAATTCTCTCTCTTCATAATTTCAATAAAGAAAAAAAATATCTCTTCAAATTATCTTATCGGATATAAGTAATAACGTTATTTTATAACTTTCATTCAATTTATAGTTCCGTTTAGAGGTTATTTTTGAAGAGAATCTTACCGAAAATATCTAATTTTTTTTTTTTAAATCGCGAAGAGCTTTAAGTAAATAACTAAATACACGAATGGCAATAACGATTGTATCAGAAACTACAAGAAAAATGCACAAGGACAAATTTAAATCTCTCTCTTGCATCAGAGGTGAATGCGTTCTCCAATTTTGATAAAAATTTCCCGACAGGTTTACATTCTCCAGTTAAGCATGTCAACGAAGGGTAAATCTTTATCATTTTTGTCCGAATTAACAAATGTATTGAACTAACCGCCGGGTACGTGTCTGGGTGGGCCCCAAAATTGGAAGAAACGGCAATTTTACCATTGTAACTATGTATCATAATTCTACAGCCTAAATTAAATGTAATTAGTTTATGGTTTTATAAAATCACATAGAGGACTACAAATTCATACAAATGCAGTTCTGAATGAGATGGATGAAATCTTATAGGAGTAAAAAGTCAAAGATGGTCTACATGTGACCCATTGTGAGCTATAGTGGTGTAACATATATGCATCTGCCCAAGTAGTAGCCAGTACAATGGTGTTTTTGTATTTTACGAGCTTTTAGCCCTCTCTAGTAGAGTGAAAAACAGCATCATTTTGAGAAATAGTTTGAATTTTTTCCCTTTTAAATCGAACCATTTTCAAGGGACTTTAACACACCAGACGAGCCGTCTAATGCAGAGCCACATCTTGCAAAGGGTCGCACACGAACCGACGTTTCCTTTGACTTCTTACTCCTCTGAGCACGATCCAAAACTCCGATAAGGTTCCGCTCTCGTACTTGCAAATCTTCGCCCCCGAAGCATCTCGATCCGACGCCGCTCCGATCGACGGAGGCGAAACGATCCGAAATCCATAAGCGATACTCTGCCTCCGTCGATAGATCGTCATTAATTATTTACAATTAATACTTTCCCTCATTGGCTGGGTTACATAACTCACCTATAGTGGAGCCTATTAACAGAACCAATCGGAATCGAGGTTACATTCCAAACGAGCCAATTTCTATAGGCTCGTGCATACACGTTATTTAAATGCATCAAAGCGGATTTATACCCGAATTAGAATTATATATTAATTATTTACGTTATAAACCGTTAAATTTCTTATTTTATTCTATTTTAAGAGGATTTTTATGACGTCAAATGAGCTCGGTTCTACTTACTTTCCGTTATTTTAGTTAATCTCAAGACGTCGTCTGGCGAAATCGAATCCTTCTGTAGCAGTTCATCTTCGGTCGTGGGCTCTAGATCTAATGCAGGATGATCTTTTCTCGATTTACTTTGTCTCAGCAATCGCTTTCTCGTGCTAGAATTGGTATTACTGCTCTTAACGGCGCTCATGATCGAACCAAACGATCATTCCAAAAACTTTCGGCTGCAAGAAAACACTCCCATCAACAGCGCTCCCTGGAGAGAAATATCTTCGACGATCGATTTTTATATATATATATATAAAATGGAAAATATTTTCTTAAATTTTTTTTCTTTCTTTTAAATAAGAGATTATCGATTGTAAATAATAATATACATAAGCTAATATGTATTTTTAAAATAATTTTCCTTTCGGATAATTCTACTTCGAATACGTGATATTCCCGTTCGGATGACGTATTTATTGTAATTCTTACGCTCTATTTCGTAAAATCGCGTTGTAATTTGCTGGAGAATGGAATGGAAATTGTAATAGGAAAAATTTTTCGTATTTTAAAAATAGGCCTGATTCATATCGAATCGTATAAGGAAGAGTTAATGGTTTAAAAAAAAAAATATATATATATATATATATATATATATATATATATATTTACTATNATAGGAATATTTAACGGATTATTATTTTATTATCGATCTAAAGGGAAATATTGACGCTATAGATTAAGCCATCACTATTATTTATTTATTTTTTTAAAATAGTAACACAGTAATCGGTATTGTGTAAAACACAGTAAATTTTTTTTTTTTTTTAATATCTTTTGACATAAAATTATTCAGACACCAGAGGGCTATGGCAAACAATATGGCAAAACGGGAGCATTGTCCCAATGCGTGTTGGTCACATGATTTAAAAAATATTTTTCACATTTTTCATTGTCCGTGTCGTATTTTATTATTTATTTTTATAATTTTTTATTTATTAATTTAAGCGTATATATAAACCATTATAAAATATATTCTCTGGAGTTTTTTAAAAATCTTTTCACCCACTAAGATGACCTCCTTTTAGCAAGCCTATTATGGGTACGGCCAGGCCCACAGTGGAGCGGCCTGGTAGTGAGGGATGGGGCCCGATGTATCCGCCCCCGAAAAATTTATGGAAATTTTTCGACCCGTTCGTATTCGATCCCGGATCCCCCAAAGCGGTAAGCTGCCACTTTAACCACTCGGCCATCCGTCCTATTCTCTGGTGGTTGTATAAAAATGAGTCGTGTTACGACTAAAAGAATCCGAGTTCGATTTCCGCTCGGGCAAATTCCTTTATTTTCCCACCTGGATTTCCTCTTTCTATTTTTGAAAATAGATGAGATCAACGAAAAATTAATGTCATTTTTGGAATTATTTCTTCATTTTTAACTCTTTACTATGTAGGCATTAGGAGGGCCTTTTTCATATCTAGCACAGGTTCGACTAGACCCGCAATGGGAGCGACCAGATTGCAAGGGACGGGACCGATATATCCAGGGCGGAACGCCATAAAAATTTTGGATTTTCTCTCTTGCCAGGATTCGATTCCGGCTTCTCTAGAAAAATTGGTTCATTTTGTAATCACGTGATGAAGTAATTACTTTATCGGAGATTGTTTTATTGCATTATTATTGAGGATATTTAATTATTCTGAAAATGTCTCATGTATTTCTAGAATACTATCATTTTATTAGCATATATGTCTGGCTAGATGGCCGAGAAGGAATCAGAAAAGGAAAAACTTTTATTTCCTCCTTTTACTCTTTTTTGTCCCGCTTCCCTATTGTATTCGGAAATGCTGCACTGTGTGAGATTTTTATTAATCCTCACACAGTACAGCATTTCCGAATACAATAATAAAGTCTACATAACCAATCAGTGTATCCCTGTGTGATTGAAGTTACTTAAAAAAAATACAAAATGTAGGCTTAGCAAATTAAAATGGGAAAAAAGTAGGTAGCATCTCTAATAACAAGTTCAAACATGCATGTATTTGTTTAATGAGTCGTACTCTTTATAAGAACAGAGCACGAAAATTCCTGTTTATATTTGAACGCTCCCTCGTACAGATTTTTGTAGAAACTATCAGTTTTTCAATGTAATATACACACTTGAAAATTATTTGTTATTTCAGTATCTGGTCCTGATCCGTCATCATAACCTAAAATTACGATTTTTTGAATTAATGTTTGTTTGTTCAGTTTTGGCAACGCAACACTTGGGCGATCTGCCTAGGGGGGATGCCTTCCAGGAGGTCTCTTTAAGGAAGAGTGGCCCCTATTTAGGCGTTACAGACATGAAGAAAACCCGGAAAACTCCACATGGCCAGCCTGTCCGAACGAGAGGGAACCCACAGCGAACTCCCAGTGTTCAGGGTACGAAAACCGCAGGGTACTTTTTGAAATAAAATGCAGGCTTTATAGGAAACACTTATTAGTATCTCTGAATAACCATGCGATAGCTCATCGAAATCGATGAAATACGTTACATTTCTAAGCTTCTCCTTTAAAGATCATGAAGAATGGCAGAGTGACAAGTGAGTCATTTCGTCCATCTAGCTGACAAACTCAGCATTACTTTAAGGTTAAGAAATTCTTATAAAATCGCGTCTTTTTAAATGAAAAGGCAACGATGAACAAATAAGAGGTGCAAGTAAAAACAAATTGAATTTTTTTGTAATTTTAAATATAACATTTTTAAACTAAACATGACTAGCTTTGAAGTATTCCAGTTATATCTTTACTCTTTCCATCTATGAGCACTAAGAAGGCTTTTCAAGATGGTCGTCGATTTGGCCAGTCCCACGAAGGGGCTGTTGAGTAATGAGGATCGGGACCCGACTTATCCCCGAAATATTCTTAAAGTTTTTCTAAAGAGGCAGGCTGAGAGCACGCCTTGATAATCCGGCCTTCAATATTGATTATTATATATTAATTAAACAACATAAGTATACAAGATATTGAACTTCATATTTGCTGATCATTTAAATTTTCAACATTTTATTATTTAAGAGTTAAAAATATTAATTTTATACATGTTTATACACGTGTACGTTACTATGGTTTTGTCAATTGACGATAAAGTTTGACATTGATTGTACTGAATATGTGTAAAAGCTCTTGCGCCATAGCAACAACAGTTTCATTCCAATGATCTTTCGATGCCTTGTTCAAATACGGAATTAATATTGCCATGAAGGTTTGAGGGTTTCTTTCAATTAATCCTGCTATATATTGGGTTCTGCACAAGTTCAGAGCTTTGAGTGCTATATGGCAATGGCAACTAACGATGCAATTAGCTATCTGTCTGAACAGTTTTTCTTGAACTTTCGGAGATTCTCGATAATTCATGTATTTCATCAACTCTTCTGTAATGTCTAGAAATATCAACTCTTTTGGAATCGAAGTTTTTGGCCAATATTTCAGCAAAGTGATTACCACCCTTTCTGTAAATGATGGATCTTTATCCATTAATTCAAACACACAGTTTGTCCAATGAACGTAATAATTTGAAAAATATTTTGTTTTGGCCAAAGGAAAAAGAGTTCTTTCAGCAAATTCCTTATGCTCTTTCTTCAGTGGTATGGATAAACCTTTGATTATACTGACAAAAACTCTCAATAACTCCGCGATTCCATTAAAATATTCCGATTCGTGAATAACAGTCAAGAATACTTCGTTGATTTTATTCCTGATGAATTCTCTTAAAGATATAAATTTCAAGTAAATCTGATGAAGGATATGCTGCAATTGTTCTCTTTCGCGATAATCTTCACTGTTAAACATGTCGATCAGTTGAGATATGAAACTTTTATTCATTACGTGTGTCATCATGTTTATATCGATGTAATTCGATTTTAGAAACTTCAAAAAGAATGCATAAACCAGTTGTAAGTGTGGCCATGATGCTTCCGAAACTGATTCTATTATATCTAGTTCCGGGTTATAGTCTTTTTTGATATATATTATCCGGAATATATTGTTGGAAACCATTTTGATAATCTCCCGATAGACCTCCAAAGAGAATTCGATACCCGGATCCGTTATGAAATTGTCCAGTTCCATTAAAACCTCCGCTTTAAGATTTCTTTCCTGTATATTTTCTCTTGGATCCATAAAGTCGAATATTTTTGAACATTGTTGCAACTTGGCTATAAAAAGGTTTTCCTTTTCGGATTTGGGAACAGTGAAAAGCGATGGCAACTTGACAATAGGTACACCAATGTCCCTTCCTTTTTTAAAACTAGTGCGTGAAGTTACTAAATTGTTAATCCTGTCGTAGCTTTTTCTATCTGTCATCATTTTGTACCAATTCATTTTCTAATAAAATGTATTTTTTTTTTTACTAAAGATACCAGTTTTCTGTTGGTCTGTGAAGTTCCATTCAGATTTCGTAGCAATAATGAAATGAAAAAATAAAACATTAAACAATTATCATTTGTTGTTAACAATACAGACTTCAATTGTATTATTTGCCATAGTTTTGCAATGTTTTGTAATTATTTGTAAATGTTTATAATTGAAATCCTGATCAACAAAGCGGGATCCTACCGCTTTGGAAGACCCGAGATCGAATCCGGGCATGTTAACTTCCCAGAAATTTTTAATAGATAGTCTGGCCCGTTGTTAGTAGGACCTTTCCCCATTGTGGGCCTGGCCGAATCCACATAGGTATGGAAAAAAGGGCCTCTTTATTACCCATATTCAGCATAAGTGGAAGTTGACTTCCCGAAAACACTTACTATAGAAAACTGGCCCCTGTTTAACGCATTCAGTCTTTTTAAGTGAGATATCTGGTTGGAGTCTTTATTATTCTTGTACAGTACTTGTTCTCCTAACAATGTTGTTGTTCTGTACAGCTGTATATTCCTTGCCGTCATTGCTCTTTTGCATGTTTTCTGTTGGCTGTTTCTCTTGCTGAGATGTTTCATGTCACGTTCTTTCTCTTCTGGCAGGCAAACTTTTACTGAATCTTTAGCCGTAGTTGCAGGTTTTGGAAATTTGCGATTTCTTCTGTACTTTTTCCTTCCACACAAACTTCAACTGTTCTGGAACCAACTGATCTTGTACAAATTCTTGACTGCTAAGTACTATCAGTTGGGTTCGGTTTTATTAGCGCATCTTTTCCTAGCACTTTAGGTAAGGTCACGTTTCTTTACGCAGCGCTCGAGAAGCGCTTTACAGCGAACACATTGAAACCCATTTCTAAATAGCCAATACTGCTCGTGACGTAATTTGCTACACTCTCGCTGCTTAAAGAAACGCGGCCTAATGCTTTAGTCTTCTTATCGTAATAATAGAAAGATTGCAGCCGAAGTTTTCATCTCTAAAACGTGAACGTCGAGCGCCGCCATCTTGTAAGCCTAGAAGAGTTTGGAACATCGAGCATGATTCCAATGACATTCCAAACACTTCTAGGCTTACAAGATGGCGGCGTTCGACGTTCACGTTTTAGAGATGAAAACTTCGGCCGCAACCTCTCTAATACTTTGCTTTACAACGTTTTCTCATATTTATCTCTGCTACTTGAAGAATGAGTAGCGATTTAGCTATTGGTAGTACTGTCTTGGTTTTTCTAGACATAAATCTCTTAGCACGACTACTATTAATTTCAGATTTAGGCGTGTTTCTAAGATTAGTAACGCTTTCCAGAAGTCTTTATTTTTCGGCTTCTGTCGTTTTCATTAGATTTTTTTGACTGTTTTCACTTCTGCATCGTCGTTAGATTAAATTAGCTGTGATAGGATGATGAGATCTTGTGTCGGTTAGGAGCTTCTAGGATATATCGCCCCATGGTAAAGTGTGACGTAATTGTCGCGTAATAGTAGTTTTATGCGTTTAATGACGGGGAATAACGCCTTCCGGGAAGTCTTTTAAGGATAACCGGCCCTCATTCAGGCGTTACAGACGAGGAGAAAACCGGGAAAGCTCCCCGTTACCAGCCCATCAGGCCGAGGCGCGAACCCACGAACTGAACTCCCAATGTTCAGGGAACGGAAACCGCTTTGCTACTGGTGAGCCAAGAATTTTCTAATTGGAATACAGATAATATCCCAACAAGAAAGGAAAAAATAATAATAATTTAAAATATTTATCAACTCTGAAATATCCACATTTTTATAACCTTATCATCAATACAAATAAATTATTAATTATTTATAAAAAAATGAAAAATCACCGCGAGAGACCGCTTTCGATTTTCCTCTCCAATCGACTCATCTATTTATCGAAAGATTATCAAAAAGACATAAAAGAAACTTATATTATTTTACATTTTATCAGGAGGAAAACAAAAACGTATTAATAATAACATTTTTTTTAATTAATTAAAATTCTAAAATTTATTCGAATTTTTTTTCTTCAAATTAACTAATCGCCGCTAGAGGGATCGGGACAGCAAGCAGGAAATAAAAAAATTCAGTTTGGAAATTGACATATTTCTCGTGATTGAAATTGATTATTTTCTGAGTGTAATTTTGAATAAGGAATTCTGATGTAAACGTCGTACGAGACTTAATGTTATGCATTTAAATGACACAATTCTAAATATCGAAGATAAAAGTCAACTAAAGTATGTCCTATTGACTCATTTATATTTATTTATAGAAAAACAATGATAAATATGTAAATAAATACTGTTATTTATAGTTTATATACATTAAAATACTCCCATACATGCACTTTATTTACCTACAAAGGTTTATGTCTTGCTTATCAAGTGATTGGTAGAAGTCACCGTTAATTATACAATATATACAAATACACATGTACAGTACACACACACACACACATGTACAGTCCCCTATAACACTGTTGATTTTTGCGTTTTATACGAATTCCATGTTGTACGAGTCACTTAGATTTTACAAGTACGCATGCCGGGCTCTGAACGGCTCATTATTTGTAAAATCTAAGTGACTCGTACAACATGGAATTCATATAAAACTGAAAAATCAACAGTGTTATAGGGGGGTCGACTGTATACGATTCACCTAAAGGTAACGCCTACAAAGTTACATTTAAAGTTTAGGAGAGGTTTTATAATGAGAAAATCTTAAATTTCTCCTACAGAATTCTTCTTCCATTCCCTTACGTCATCTACTCTTCCTACGGAATTCTCTATTACCGGATCTTCGGGTACGGACGAGGCAGGTTCAACCGTATCAAGCCGTAAAAGTGTCAAAAGAATCGACGTGCAGGGCTTCTTGAGATATAGCCCCCTTGAAATTGGTTTATGCGGAATTTTTGAATACCCTTGAAAATGGTATTAAATTTAAGAGCAAAAATTAAACTGTTTCACAAAATGGTAAAAATAAGCATTTTCTACTTTAGTAGAGATGGGTAAAAGCTTGTAAAATATGAGAAATTTCATTGGGGCGCAACTGTTAATTGTATTGCACGTTAACTAGCTGGATATGGTGGTAAATATACTGCCAAGGGTTGCAATTGAAGTGTAGTTCCTTTGACTTTTTTGGTTGTTCAGGGGGATGAAAAATTTGTGTCCAAAACCCTTATTCAAAACTGCAGTTTTACTGATTTCTTTACATTTATACACTATCTCCTCCTCCTCCATTTACAGAATCTTCTAATATTATTACAGGATTAATGTCTGTAGAATCTATTATCTGTTCCTCTTATTTCTTTTATAGAATTATTCATTTCTGCTATGGCAACTGTCATTTCTCTTATATTATCTTTGTAATAAGGAACTCTCTATTAAAATGTACAGTTTTTGAACACGTTTAACCTTCCTCCTTGTCGCATATGATGATGTACAGTACTTTCAGCAAATCCCATCCTCTTTAATTACACATATAATTACAACAATGAAGAAATGACTAAAAAGTTCCAATCGATAGTTTATTCTCATGACTAGTAAATAGGTATATAAAAACAAAACTGTAATGAATAGAGTTTGTGTATAAAATGCCTCAACCCTCTTCTTCCAGGTCTTGAACAATGACGTACTTTTCTCACCCTCCTTCCCCTGTAAACTATACATTTAATTAATAGATAGCCCTAAGATTCAACATATAAATCTTGAATCTTAGGGTTATCTAGCTAGAGATTTATTGGCCTGATTATGGAATGGAGAAGTCCCAAAAAACGTTTAACCAAATAAAAAGTACTGATTACTATAATTTTCTTAGTGTTTGTTACATAGAGATGATGTACTCTGAAAATTGTCGTTATATGTATAAGGTTTTCTTTGATGTGGCAATGTCCTTATGCCACTAGCTCATGAAAGATTGAGTACTACACTGTAAATAACATAACATTACCATAATCCATTTGATTACTAAGAAGGATTAAAGGAATTTGTATGTGTGTATTAAATCTCTTTCACCCTGGGCTCATAATGAGGGACAGATCCCAACATATTTGGGATGAATCACACAAGAAATTCCTGGGTTGTACACCCAGATTTGATTCTGTTTCCCAGGGTGATGAGTCGGTGCCTTAACTGTCTTGACTGTTTGGTCGTCGTTCATCTCGGATCCAAATTACAAACATAAAAGTAGCAGAGTACTCTTGCATTATTGAAGTTTTATTGAATTTGGTTATTAAACAGTTTCATGTTTGATATTTTTCTAAAATTTCAGAACATTGCATGTATTATGTTAAAGTATTGTGTGTAAAGGTTCTAATATGGAGTGACACTTCTGATGCATCTTTGTTTTGAGTTCTATCTTAATACAACAGAATTCATTGAAGAAGAACTCTTGGCTCCATATGTAACTATTCTCGTGAGTGTAACTGTTCATACAGTAGTGCCAGATTTTTATTTGGGCTATAGTATGACTAATTTGAACTAAAGGTAGGCTCTTAAGCTGCCATCCTTTATTAAATATAATAATTTGAAATAAATGAGTAAATAAATTTAGAATATCTGGAAGGAAAGATCAATTTGGAGCAGGATTTGAGCCTGCGATTTCTGTTTACCATTGACAACTACACTACGGGACTGCTGTTCAATGGCTCTCCACGGCACTGCCGACTTTACATTTACATAAACTGTTCTTTCTGTATTATAATATAAAATCTTATCACTGACAAAAATTATTGAATTAATTAAAGATCTTTAATTAATTTAATAAGTACAACTGTGGGATAGGTGGAATTTACTAGGTAAGGGGTACTGAAAGGTGAGATTTTTTTATATAATTATTTGAATTATATAGAGATAATTTGAAAAATAAATCATATAGGATAATTTATTGGAGCCAGATAAGTGGATATGAAGAGAAAAGATGTGTAAAGGGAAAGGTCTTCATTGATAGTAATGTTAACATGGTGGCTAAATAAGGATCCTGGATTACCTGATTGCATAAAAAGGATCAGAGATGACAGTATGCCGATCACCTTATTGTTAAGATGTAATATTTAGGTGATTTAATTAACTGAAAAACCTAAGAAGCTCGAGAGAAACAATGTGATTTATGTAAAAACATATCAGTACACCAAACCAGTTAAACAAACAAGAAAAATATTTAATATAATGAATGTTTTTGACCATATCAGTCGGACATCTTCAGGTTATTATGCCTGTTAAAGAGCTGATGTTCAATTGTTACGGATGAAAATGTTTATTATATTAAATATTTTAGTTGTTTGTTTAATTGGTTTGGAGTACTGGTGTGCTTTTAGATAATATATGCCAATTCTTGAGTGTTTAATATGTGAATTAGCCTACTAAATAGATGAACGATTACTGGAGTCGCTCAATCTTCTTAGAGGGACAAGCGGCTTTTAGCTGCATGAGACAGAGCAATAACAGGTGTGCGATGCCCTTAGATGTCCGGGGCCGCATGCGCACTACACTGAAGGAATCAGTGTGCGTTTACACCAGTCCGGCAGGGCTGGGTAACCCGATCATCCTCTTTCGTGATAGGGATAGGGGCTTGTAATTCTGCCCTTGAACAAGGAATTTCCAGTAAGCACGAGTCATAAGCTTGTGTTGATTACGTGAATTATGTCATTGAATCTAAGAGAAATTGAGATTTGATTTACAACAGTTTTGTTGCTGATGGTTTTTAGGAATAAATTAGGTTGTAAAAGGGGCAATCTACTGTGTATATATACTGTACATTTGTTTGTATGTGTATTATCTAAGCAAGGAGTGATAATCTGTGTCAGGGGTTGCCATATCTTGTCACAATATGAGCCGTATATCATGTTATGTGAGAATTAAAGTAAACACTTAACTAATATATCTTAAGATTGATTTTTAAGAAACTTTTTCTGTGTAAATTTCTACTTTTATTCATTATTTATTCATACTTGTGTGCACTCTTTTGGCAATTGTCTAATCGAGCAAAAAAAACTTCAACGAATAGAACACAGATAAAAAAAAAATTATTAGAAAACAACTTAAGTATAGTTATCGAGTTGCTACAACAGTAACTATAGTAACGGACCACATTAAATGACAAACAAAGGTTACGAAATGCAATAATTAAGAACTTTTAACTTGGCGTCACTAGGATCGACGAATATTTCAGTGTAAAAATGGCACAGATTAAGAATTACGACCGTAAATAGATTAACATTTTAAAATTTCCTAACACGTACGGCTTAATCCTTTATACATTTACACTAATATAGGTTTATATTGACAAAATAATTTATAATTAATTGAATATTACGTATTTTTGTAGGCCGAGTGAGGTTACAACTCAAATGTTAGTTATTGTACGTGTAATTAGAATGAAATTTTTCATTAGTAACTGTGAAAATCCTGAAAAAGTAACACGACTTTTGCCATTTTTGTCATTTTTTTTTTTTTTGTGTCTAGAAATATAATGTAAATATTGATGGAGTGTAACTGAGAAATCAATGGAATTGATTGACGAGTTGTATGCCATTGTTGAAGTTGCGGTAAGCTTTGTGAAATGAATACGTTGTCTTCGTGTGATATGATAAATTAATCATGCATTTAGCAGCTAATTTAAGCGTTTTATATGATACTTTTTTATACGTTGGGCGTAATTTATTTCCTATATCGTGCAAGTTGACTTCTATTACGAAACTATTAAAAAAAATTCAAGTATCTGACATATAATTTCTTTTATAAAAGAAAGAAATTATATGTTATGAAATTATTATATTAATTTGTTTACTTAAGAATTAACGATAATTATCGGGATGGAGAGAGGTGAGATGAGGCCACGAGCTGGCGACAGATGTGATGCCCATTCTAGTCATAAAAATATGATTAAAATCAACAAAATAAATAAGAATAGAGTTTCCTCTTCCATTTGCCTTTTATCGTGCTTTCTTTTTTACGTAAAAAGACTAAAGGCCGGTTTCTATTCGTTCAGAATTGTGGCTGAAGGTACGGCAGCAATGTCAGCATATCAGTTTTGAAATTGGGGAAAGAAATAAAAAGAAATCTCTGTACATACCTTATATGTTTCTCCTCCCCCAATTGTGCTATGTGGTATTGAGGATGTACAGCACGCTGTACATACTATTAATAAAAATTGATTGATTGATTGATTGTAAGAACTAAAGCCAAATATATATGTAATGGAATTAATACGAAGACAAGAATGATAATGTACAAACATCATCAAATTTACATTGTGAAGGATAATTGTACCCTATTATTATTTAGGAAGGTGATAGAAAACATTCGTTCCTTTAAACTTAGAAAGTATTACTGGTTTTGTTCAGACTACAACGGACATTTTGAGTTATTAGTTGTCTCATTTAGGCATATTGCATCTCAGAGATAAAAGAATGTAGGAAAAACGAGGTGTTTTATGTCTTTTTGCTGCTAACAATACTAAGAAGAATGAGAAAAATTGTACAGCAAGATAATATGAAGTTTATTGGGCTTGCAATTTGTCAAACTTTTCTTTCCGATGATGATGATGATGATATTCCAGATTTCAGAGGCAGCAAGATATCAGCCTACTACTTTTGGGATCTGGGATGAAATTTGGATGAGCAAATCCAAAAATTTTCCGTGGGTGGGCCATTCTGATGTCTTTTCCCACTCTGCCACCCTTGTAGGATTGGGCAAGCCCACAATGGACTTGAGAAAAAAAGCTTAGTGCCAACTAGACGGAAATGAAAATAATTTGGATTACAATTAGGATGCCAGCTTGTAACGAGGAAAAATGGATAAGCTAGACAAAGAACAACTCATCGTTTATTTTTCAGAACGCTTCTAAAAGTTTTTGTTTACTGAAGAATTTTTTGAAAATAACCAAAATTCCTTATGGTTTGGAAAATTCCAGACATTTGGTAATCCTAATGCTAGAAAGCTAAAAGTCTGGCAAGCAGCCGCAGAATTTTGATTAGATCCTTTCCGAAAGTTGACGCAGAAGATTTTTTTTTTGAAGTCTTTTATTCCCTAGGCAAAAGATAGCCTTTAACTTATTTATTAAGGATTCGTTCAGACTGTAACGACAGTCAAGTAGCAAGACCCAAGATTTCAAAACAAAGTATTGAGAGAATTTCGTGGATTCAATTTGGACTCGAATCATGTCTTTAAAGTTTTCAAGTGTATGCTTTAGCTTCTTTGTTCTTCTGGCAATCGCAGATCTACCTATTATTCTAAGATTTATCTATTGAAATTTCTTCTGATCTGAGGTTCAACAACTCACAATTTCAGTTATTTTATTATATGAAATCTGACACAAATTATTTAATTTTTTCTTCATTTACTTTGATGACAGGAACCCAGTCGGCTTGAAGTTGCCGAAGAGTTTAACATGCTGCAGTTGGACTTCCCATTAATCACACGTGGTGACTTGGATGCAGTCTGGGCTCTGTGCCCGTTATATCTAGTACTGTGGTAGCACAGATGGTTGAGGTGGTAAATGCATCAGCCTACTCTGCACGACCAAGGTGATAGTTTGGATCGGAAACTCTGGGAGTTATTTACAGGTGTTCTCTCTTGAATTCACTGGACTCATTGTCCTTGTGAAATTTACAACAGGTATAATGAAAAAGGCCTTTGTAGTGCTTTCAGAGTGGAAAGAATAAAAAACAAAACTCTGTCACAACATGCGAAATGTGATTTCCATGTACAGCGTATGAATGTTAGGTATTCAAATCTTAATCCCATTCACGAATTGCCCTGAAGTTTTTACGATAATTTAAGTATTTATAGTTAATTGCACCAAATAATTTGATTGCTTTATCGGTTTTCCCAAGTTTATGTATGTATGTATGTAGATATTTATTTAAATTATTTTAAGATATGAATAATTTATGTAAAGATTAAAATATTGATTTAATATTTATTTCAAAAAAAGGTTCTTGAAAAATTAATAATTGACTGATTTTTCAGCACTCTGTTGACCATTATCAAGAATTCTTCGCCTTCTCCAAACAGAATGGACGAGCATAGTGTTGAAGTGAGTAGTTGGTTAACTATTGTCGAAATCTGTCCTTTCAATGAAGTATATACGATGCATAGTAAAATCGTCCTTATACACTGACGTGTGTGAGCAATGCACAACGTACGAAATATGGTAATGAATGAAACATGAAGGCACAGGAAAATGAGAACGTGTTATAAATACACACGAGAAATGAACGAGAATGTGAGAAGTATACATTATACTGCTTGTGCTCGACGTGCACGTTATCATTTTATGTTTCCTATTATGCTATTCGTGTATGCGGAGTGTGCTTTAGTAGTAAATTAGTTGCGCCCTATGACTTCATAATCAACATTTTTTTTGGGAATAAAAATCTGAAGACGGGAGCACCGACTTCAGATTTTTATCGTTGGGGGGTGCCACGAGCGACTATATGTGACATTTGTAACTGTATCCACTTGCATTTGTCAGTTACATCAGCGTATGAGAACTTTACTATGCATCTTGTATATGTTTATATATATGTATTTACATACAGGGTGTCCATAAGTCTGGAAACATAGAAGTTATGTCAATTTTTGTTTATTCTTATACAGGTAAAGCATGGTGCCAAGTAAGAAGAAATGAATTGGAGTTATTTTGATGGTGAGACCTGCAACTGGTATGAAGTTGTAAAATAGTTTAATGGGCTGCATGCAGACCGTCATGCATGATTGGTGGGGATGTAGACCATTAAACTCTTCGGCAGTTTCATACCATTCGTCAAAATAACAAATTCTTTTTTCTTTACTTGTTATTATGTAAAATAATAAACGAAATCAACATAGCTCTTATGATTCCAGACTTTTGGATGACTTACCGTTTCACACATAGTATTTTGATATCGTTAAATGGATCCTAAAGAAGTAAAGCAGTTGATAATACAAAATGAAATGTTTTTTGAGACCTTACAGACTTGTCATGGATCTTGACAAAACATTTTCAGGTTAGTCTATAAACTAGCGTACACACCGAGTAAGTAAATTAACGTCAAAGGATTGCTAGATATAATCCAGCAATCCTTTCATTCTAGTAATTTGACCTAGAGGCATAATTTGGTAGCGGTACGGCAGTCATAAAACTGCCGTTCTATGCTATATTTTTGCCTTGAATTTGTTTCCGAGGCATACGATTCTTTTCTTGTTTATTTGTTTAAACAAAATTAATTGTAACAAAGAACGGTAAAATGAGAAAAGAATTGTATGCCTTGGGAAGAAATTCACGGCAAGAATATAGCATAGAATGGCAGTTCTATGACTGCCGTACCGCTATCGAATTATTCTTCAAATAGCCTGTGCGCTTGACTTAAAAGGTTATAATAATTTGTCTACCTCAGATGAATTATTATTATAAACTTTTCTTTTCAAAACAAAGAGTTATGTGAAAAATTCATTTACCTGATTTATATTTTAGTATTATAGAATCGTTCATGTTCTGTTAAGATTTGTGACATCCGCTCTATAGGGTCTCCTAGTCTGTATCGGATTTTATACAGTTATTTTTAATTCGGACATAACATCATACCAGCATTTGCATGAAAGCATTTAAACCCTTGAGTGGGGCCTTAATGTTGAAAAGAATTTCATGTTTTTCAAAGCAAATTGTCATTAGAAAAGGTTATAATGCTTGAAAATGTGGAAGGCCAACACAGAGGTGGCCGACCTGCTACAAGAAGTGCCACCCTAATGGCAGTAACTGGCACAAAGCCGCCTCTTAGAGATCTGTCATTCACAAACGTTCAAATATGAGGCTGCTGTCGGCTTGCTAGGAGTCGACATTGACTCACTGGCATGCGATGGCAACACATTCATGGTAGAATGGTAAAGTTTTCCTACTGTAATAGGTTTTAAAATGTCTCTCTTTACTTCTCTGGCCACATAACTCTATTGTTCATCTTCCTTATGCATTTTTAGGAATGAGTTACATCCAAAAATTGGGGACTTTACGCCACTATACAGCACTTTTTATCGCTGTATATTGTTTATTGTATAATGTATAGTATGCGATTGAATGAAAAGTTTATGTACAAAAAGTAGACTCACAACAACATAAGCTGGCTGAATGCATTACCGCTCCGCTATATGTTACGAGGAATACTTAGATATTGATAATTCGTTTACTACAACCTCAAGATATAATCCTTATAGGTATTACTGATTCTACTTCTTTGAAAATAAACTCGTTTAATTATCCTATATTAATTCAACGCGGAATCTGGGCAGAATACAGAACAATTTACACAGACCGTATCTTCTTTTTACAATCTTGAATGATTTTAATTCATTTTCGATAGAAAATCTGACGTAAATAAATCTTAATAAAATAATTTATATATATTTTAGAGCCTGGCGGAAGTATTTCGCTGCTTTATTTGCATGGAGAAGCTTAGAGATGCACATCTGTGTCCCCACTGCTCAAAATTGTGTTGTTACATGTGCATTCGGGTAAGTATCATCGTGTAATTTATGGCTATTAATCCCTTATTAATGGTTTAATATTTATATTTCTAGTCTAATTGGTCTTATAGTTTTGTATTGCAAAGCTATTTGTATGTAAAATTGATTGAAATATTACGTTTTTTGCAGCGATGGTTAACCGAGCAAAGGTCACAGTGTCCTCACTGCCGGTAAGATAAATTCCATATTAGATGAATTAACTGTGCTTGAAATTTATTAATTTAATACAGGGCTGTGGAGTCGCGTAAAAATCTACCAACTCCAACTCTGACTTTTCCTTATCATCCGACTCCGACTCCGGCTAAAACACCAAAACTCCACGACTCCTACTCCGACTCCGACTCAACAGCCCTGCCAGGGCTGTGGAAGTCGCGTAAAAATCTACCGACTCCGACTCCAACTCTGACTTTTCCTTACCATCCGACTCCAACTTCAACTCCTGCTAAAACATCAAAACTCCACGACTCCGACTCCACAGCCCTGATTTAATATTAATCTTGTTATTAATCTTTGCAATTTTTATCGACATTATTAACGATAGAATAAACGTTGTAATACAATAAAACTCGTCATTGATGAAAAAGTGAATTTTGATATGTTATTGAATAATTATAACCGAATAATAGCCAAATTGGTAAAGGTGGGTTGAGGTTCTTAACACGGGCTGCTGGTTCCAGATTTATGCCCAAATTTTAAGGTCAATTTGTCCTGGATAAGTTTGATCCCGTCCTTTGTCTGCCGGCCATTTCCGTTCCGGCCTGGCCAAACCCATAACGGGTACGATTAAAAGGTTAATAAGGTGGAAAGTTTAAAAATAATAATAAGTTTGCTTCCCCGATGTAAAGAATGGTCGATTTTATGTATAAATAATCGTTCGGTTGCAGTTTGGTCCATTTACGGAAATCAGTTATCGCAAATGACCAGATTTATTGTAACAGAAATGAGTATTTTGAATTGTGGGTTTGCATTACGATAAATTAATTTGCTTATTTTTTTTTCTAGAGCATCTCTTCACTTGCATGAATTGGTTAATTGTCGCTGGGTAGAGGAAGTGACTCAGCAATTAGATACGTTGCAATTGGTTGGATCAGCAAAGGGAGAGGTCCCGGAAAAAGAAAAGTGAGACGAAGCTAAAAATAAAATTTGTTTATTTATTAACTTTTTTATTATCTTTTAAAATGATCATTGCTGTTATTCTACAGATGCAAATCTCATAAGGAGAAATTAAGCGTTTATTGTTGGAACTGTAAAATGTGTATCTGTCATCAGTGTGCGCTTTGGGGCGGAATGGTAAGTGTTCTTGAGAAAGCGTTTGTTATTAAATGTGTATTGTAATATTTGGTCATCCAGAGGCTGAGGTGTAGGCCTACTTCTCGAGAATCTTGGCAGTCGAAAACCCTGGAATTTCTTGGTGTGGTCAGGTATCTGCCTCGCTGCTTAACTGCCCTGACCTGGCCGATCCCACGACAGGCTCAAAAAAAAAAAAAAGGCCTTTTTGGCAACCACAAAACAGAGTTTAAAAGAAATAATACTATGTCGTCAAATGAATAGTTTATCTGCAAGGAAAGCCATAAACTGACCATACTTGTTAGGCTGAGAATCCGCTAGTGTAAAAACAAGTATAAAAGCCCTTGCCGTAATTAATTTAGTCACGTGACTGTGATATTTTATGCTAGAGCATGGTGTAAAATGAGTGTAGAGCGGATTGAGTTTTGATGCGAATACGTATGTAAAACAGTACCATCGATCACTGGAAAGTCAATGAGCTTTGAGGTCTTCCAGACCCTTAATGTAGCTTCCATATACATAACTATGGTATTTTAACTTCATAATTTATACATACATACATACATACATACATACATATATATATATAAAACTGTTACAGTAGAAGATGCGACTCTTGTGTATTTGTAATAGGCAATATATGGCTTCTATTGTGAAAAGGTGTGGTTTGGTCACCTCTGGAATATAACATAAGGAAAGTAGGGTGATCAGCCAAATTTTGATATCCTTGCCATTTGCATTTCTCAACATTTTGACACTTGGGGCCCAAAAAATGTAAGGAAAAACCCTTACAAAGTTGTGTCCATGCATATGTACAGGGAGGGCATTTATTTTGCATTATACCTTGGGACTGGACAAACCAAAAATTTTGAAACTTGGCAGAATTATTTCTGTGTGTGGGACATTGATGCTATTAAATTTTGGTGGCTAAAAGTCAAGGAGACGGGAAGATAGAGAATGGTTGTGTCGTATTGCTAGTGGAGTGGAACTTAATGAAAGTTTAATAAGACCAGACAGACTATTAGGATATGTATTTGAAAACAATTTAGATTAAACTTTATTATTATTATTTTAAGCATTCGGGACACGTCTTTAAACCTTTGGACGAAGTGTACGAGCAGCACATCACTCAGATCAAAGAAGAAGTTAGTCACTTGCGTCGCAGACTAATGGAACTCATCAGTTTGGTTCAGGAGGTCGAACGCAATGTGGAAAGCGTTCGGGTGGCCAAAGACGAACGAGTTCACGAAATACGCAATGCAGTAGAAAATATGATAGCTCGTTTGGATTCCCAGCTGAAGAACAAGCTTCTTACATTGATGGGTGATTAATATTTTATATAACGTATGACTTTATAATATAATATATTAATTATTTTACATTGTTTTTATTTACTAGGTCAAAAGACATCGGTTACCAAAGAAACGGAGCAACTAGAATCATTATTACAGTCAGTAGAACAGCAACTCCATGCGTCAAGTAAGAATGAACTCATTAGTAGAAGTGGAGAAATATTAAATATGATTGCAGAAGTTCAGCGGAAACCTATGGCGAGTTTTGTAACCGCGCCCGTTCCGGCCGATTTTCAGAGGTAATTAAATTGTCCCGTGATGTAATTACGTTGTTGTCGTCTAAAATCTGGATTTAATGTCATTTTTATAGTGAGATAGTTCCGCCTTATGACAGCAGTACGTTCATCATGCATAATTTTAGCCTCCTGCAGCAGCGGGCCGATCCAGTATACAGCACTCCTCTTTCTGTTTATGGTCTAACTTGGAGACTAAAGGTTTATCCTGTGAGTTAAAATGACACTTTTGATAAATATTTAAATTAATTTTTTTTTGATTGATAGCTAAATAGTATAATGCATTCTTAAAAGGATGGAAATGGTGTCGTTCGAGGAAATTACTTATCTGTATTTCTTGAGCTGTCGGCCGGATTATCTGAAACGTCAAAGTAAAAACACTTTATTTTTTTAAAAATTAGTTTAAATTTGCAATTGTAAAATTGCCTCTTTTCTAAAGATACGAATATCGAGTGGAAATGATACACCAAGGCTCGCACGATGCAAACAAGAACATCGTTAGAGAATTTGCATCTGATTTTGAAGTCGGAGAATGTTGGGGTTACAATCGATTTTTCAGACTAGATCTATTAGCTAGCGAAGGCTATCTCAACACGGAAATGGACACGTTGATCTTAAGATTTCAAGTTCGTCCGCCCACATTTTTCCAAAAGTGTCGTGATCAGCAATGGTATTTAAATCAATTGCAGGTGGCTCAAGCTCAGTATATTGTACAAATTAATGATCTAAAGGAGGTAAATTTTAAATTTCTAACATTTAATATCACTGTTTTTATGCTGTACTTAAGAAATTTACACTTGTAGAGATTAGCGATTGAATTATCAAGAAATCAGGCAAGCTTAGGAACAAAGAATGATGTTATTGCAGGTAAGCTGTCGTCATTTAATATACAGGGTATTCTCCTTGAATGTCTCTAGTTTCGTGGATTAATTTTGGGAAAAGAAACACGACTATAGTAATTTAGATAATTGTAATAGGAAGTGCTTCTGAATATGTTAGTTACTATGTTAAGTCAGCACATTTCCACATACATTCCTGACATGTATCTGGTCTATATGTTTTGGCCCATGTCCCAGCTGGTACATTAGGATCAACCTATTAATGGGATCCATGATTTCTGTATGTGGGGATCTCGTGTAGCATATGCATGATTCTCGACATTCCTGCAAAAAAGAAAGTTCAATGACGCAATGGGAAATGAGAAATGGGGTCTTGGCAAAGAAGACCATGTGGCTGTGCATGTTCAGATTGCCACCATGCTGCTGCTGTGGCCCCTTTCAAGTGTATGCAAATGAAACTTTGAGTATTTAGTAACATTTATGAACGTCTAAAATCCATTTATTTTACAGACCATTTTAAAATTAGAGATATTCGAGGGGAATGGTAAGTGGTATTTAGTATATATTGATGTGTTAATTCTATTTCTGTAGAATTACAACAGGAACAAACTCACACTATAGCATCTAATCCATCCGTCGTTAGTATTGGTAACTGCATAGGAAACAATAAAATAATTTCTGCACTTTCGTCGACAAGTACGTTGCCGGTGACGATTTCATCTTCTCTCCCGGTATCCATAATCCCCACGGTTCAAAATAAAGCCGAAGGCAGCGTAAAACAGTCCATTCTCAGAGACGTCGCCAGTAAAAGTAACAATTTTAACTGTGATATTAATGCGGCCGAAGGCTGTACTAAAGATAACGACAATGGTAAGTACTATTTATTTTGATATATTTTTACTTTGTGTATGCCGTACATGGGAAACTGTTCCGTTTGAAGATAATTAAATCAAGATTTTGATTGATATGTACATTTTAAGATACTTCAAACATAGTTTTGTTATTTGAGATGATATTCATATACACATAAAATGTGAATTTTAATTATTCTATTTGGTGTAGTTAGAAATGACTTGTGGAGTGAGGACAGTTTTAGTATTGGTCTAATATATTTTATTTAACAATTAAAAACGAATTATTTGAAATCCGCTATTGACCAAGCCGATAAAACTACCAAATACTGGTAGTAGGTTCAAAGCTGAGTAGCGGACGGACAGGTGGTTATAGGCTTGCATTTGATCAATGAACCAGTCAAGTGGCATTTTCTGGGGTTTCTTCAAGCATCTAACATCTGAATAGGGGCCATTTTCCCATAGAAAGTTCTCCCAACAGACTTTCCCTTGGCAGATTGCATATGTATTGCATTGTAGCATCCCATCAAAACAATCCTTTGATAGTAAAATCCACCTTGGCACTAGAGGCGCTAGAGTGAGGTACCTAACACCTCACTCTAGTGCTAAATTTATTTCTAATTTACAATCATTATATTCAAATTTAACCCAATCATTTACGGCAGTTGTGGGTGTATATTTTCCGCCTTGATCATACACATAATTACTGAATCTGACATTAAAAACACACTAGAAAAGGTCTCGACCTTTCTTCGTAAACTTAGCCCCTGCATAATGTTTAAAACATTTTCAAAAACAATTGTCGTGAATGAAGTTTCAATATGGAATAAACAGTCTTGCACATAGAAAATGAAACGTCGACCCAATTAACGATACAAATTGTCAAATGCTACATAAAAGTAGTTCTGAATAACAGATTTAAATTGCCAGTTACTCCAAATACTTTGCTAATCTGATTTGCTGCAGATTAGCGAAGATTTGAAATGTCGACTATTATTATTTTTGCCACTCGTTTGGTCAATCTTCCACATTTAGTTTGGCATTTGCATTTGTTTGGGATGTGCTATTTTAGTGTTTATTATGTTCGGTCCCATCACTTCAATGACGTACCCATATTCATGAAGGTTGACAAAATGTATTTAAACACATTACAAAGTAAACTGTTTAATTTAATACATTTATTACCTTCATGACACCTTTAGTTGCATGTTAATAAAGTAATGCCTAATACAACAGAAAGAACTAGTGTATCAATCTTCTTCTTCTTCTTCGTACCATATCAGATTTCTGACGTCGGCGATACCCGGTGCAGATTAATAATACGCCAAGGTGTTTACTAGAGAAGGTTAGTACCCAGAGTGGTTTCCCGTTGCCTTCTCTGGGGCGCGCTGTTACGCGAGGGGAAAGAATGCCTTCCGGGAGGACTTTTATGGGGAACTGGCCTCCTATTTAGTCGTTATCGGCAAGGAGAAAACCCGGAAAACTCCAAGCAGCCAGCCTGTCCGATCGCGGAGCGAACCCACGACTGAACTCCCAGTGTTTAGGGTACGAAGACCGATCGGCCACTGGTGGGCAGTGTATCAATATGTGGAATAATAATACAAAATCAATAGATAAAATATGTTGTTAGGAGTGTCCTTCTTTAGGTAAAACGGTTGGATTCCTTATTCCCGAACTGATTACTAAGAATGTGGTTGATGTAGGAGGTTACACGAGGACATGTAAAGATCATAATAAAAATAATACATCAGACACATAAGAGAAGAGTAAATGTGATGCTGAATGAAAGGAACACGACAGATACAACGCATGCGCAATAGATATCGCGCAATTGAAACATTGTTTGAATTTCTCTTTTTAAAAAACTGCGTGACGGTGTTTGGGAATAAGGAATCCAACCATTTTACCTGAAGAAGGACACGGAAGGTGTTCGGAAAATGTTTGTTTTTACAAAATTATTTATTTTTGTATTTCTACACACCGGTTACAGGCACGAGTAAGTAGGTTTTTGTTTATAGATATACTTTTATCTGCTACCCAACATCGAGGATACATTCTGAGAAATATTTTGCTAAGCGAACAGTTTACTTGCATACATTAGTCTATTACTCTCGCAGGCTATACATAACTCAACTGTACCACAATGATAAGTGTGTGTATATATTTAAACAAAGAAAAGCTACCGATGGCTACAAATTTTTCACCATCACTACGATCGTGCAACATCACCATCATAGACGATGTTCATTGTCAAGCGGAATGTTGTTATGCATGGAAAATTTGTAAATAGAATAGAATCGTAAATATTTTAGTGATGCAGATTATTATATCGTTTTTTAAACATAACAGGCAGAGAAGAAGAAGCCCAAAACAGTTCCAAAATGAGTAGAAATTATGTTTGCACACCAGTTGAAAAGATAAAAATTAATCCTTCCATTTCTCAAAAGAGAAGTCCGAATTTACAAAAGCCGAGAAAAAACAACAATAGTTATAAAGATCTTCTCGATTCTTGTGATGCATCCTGCGAAGCCGATTCCACTACCAGCTCTGATGAAAGCGAAGTGAGTTAACGTCTACAAATCTAAAGTACTTAAAGATAAAAAACCCGATTAAAGTTAAAATATTTATATTTAGATTCTCACCGATAACGAAAACGACATTACAACAGAAGTCGAAGTGAGTTGCGAAGGAGAAACTGCCGTAGATGACAATAGTAACGATGAAAAGGACATTGACGAGGAGACGATGTAAGTCCGACGAACAAACAGATAAGTAATTTTAAAATAATTATTAATTTCGTAAAATAAATTTTGGAATCGTAGGTTTGGAGAAAACGACGTCGAACGAAACAGTAAGATTGGATTTTTGCAGCACAGGTGTCGTAAGTGGAACATACTTCCGACATCGACGTCGAGTTCCTTGAATCGAACCTCAGCCTCAAGCGAAGACACTTCAAATAATGTCAGCAGCGCGACTGACGACGAAAATATGTTACTTCAGCTTTTGGAAATGCAAGATAGAAGCTCATTTCCACACAGAGCCTGGAGTAAAACATATTGTCGCAAGCAGAGTAATTGTCTATATATTGTAAATAAAATGTTTATAACAATAAGTAAGTATAATAATATGTACTTATACACTTTAACACAGGTAAAATGAGCAAAGATAGTCACAGCTGCCCACACACTTTACTTCTAACTTCGTTACTTGCTCGAAATGTTCCGACAGACTCTGCATCGAGTAATATGGCATCTTCGACGGTGATTTCGCCCACCAAAACTTATTCTTCTAGAAAAAAGTGTAAGAAATTTGACGCATTACTTCACATTCTTAATTAGATATTAGCATTAATTTTTATTCATACTAACAGAAGATTTTGAAGGTAACTTCTATAAATTATTCTAATAATCTTTACAGGGGAAGACGGGTTGAACATTAACAGTTGTCGTCTAGCTGATTTAGAGCACTGTCCTTCTTCGCCTGAAGCTGAGGCAGACATTTCATTGGAACACGGTCCTTTGCCGGAGACTTCGACGTCGGAAATTGACTGCTTGTCTTCGCTGAGTACTTCACGACTGAGGTGAATATATTTTTAAACAAGACGCTAATATATAAATTACACAGTGTTTGTTAGGGAGCACCGATAGGTGTTTACAGGTTTGCATGGTACCAGAAGGCTGGCCACACAGAATTTTCCAAGTTTTCTTTGTGTATCTAACATCTGAGTAGGGGCTAGTTTCTTGTAAAATGCATTAGCAGATTGCCAGTTTGTCACATTTCCATATAAAATCAAACCAAATACGGATTTACTTTTTGATGCCATTATTCAAGCCGATTTATAATACAAGGATTAGGCCACAAGTAATGATTTTATTCAAATTGCTGAGAAATGCTCGGAACTATTCTAAATTGCTTTATATTATCGTTATCCCTCTTCGGCAGACTTCTGAGCTAGACTGGGCATTTTAGCCTCACAAAGACTTGCTCCAAGATCTTTTTGAGGCTATATTGGATGGAAAGATGGTTAACTATGATCTGTCATTTCATCAACATGCAGTCTTATCATTCTTACAAAAGAAAATGTCCTGGCGATTTGTAATTGTCTTCAGCAAACTTGAGCATGAGTAGTGTCAAAAGGTGGGTCCGACACCCGAAAACTGAAAAAAACAGACATTTGCAGTGACTGTCTATGTACTGCCCGCATTGACAACAACAAAGAGAAACATGGTATGCTTGTTAAGGAGAACTTGAGTGATAATCATATGAGAAATTGATGTTGAAGTTGATTTATAGCATTAAACTTCATCTAGGCTACATTGAAGAAACTGGGATAAAGGAATGAATGTCACTATCTTAAAAAGACTTTGGAATATTCACAAGGACTAAGATATAGTTCAAAATTTGTAATGTTTGCATACTCTGTAGATTTGTCCTTTCTACTATGCATCACAGAAGTCTAGCTGAGAATAATTATACGGTGGGTGATCGGTTAACGAACAGTTTCACGAAAGATTTTTATGATCGGACAACGAACACATGTTTGGATAATGAACACTTTACTGAACAAATGTAAAAAGAAGCAACGGAAAATATCAAGTACCGTTTGATTTTCCCTTGTCTTCAGGTAACAATTCGAAACCTTTCGGAGCGCGGGAGACGTCAACATCGACGCTCAACCAGATACGGATCAGATAGTGTTAATATTCCTCCGAATTTTGAAACTCTCTCTTGTAATTCCAGCTCTTTGTTTACCTTTCTGACAAATAATTTTTTATAGTATTCATGAGACTGTCAGATGGGCACTCGTTAAGTTTTGCGTCAGGGTTTATTTACGAAAAGTGAAAGTTTAACTGTCCCATTGGATATTCATTAACGTTTCAATACCAATACAATTCGGATAACGAACAAAGTCATGGAACGGATTATGTTCGTTAACCGATCACCCACTGTACTTTGAGAAATTTTGTGTGATAGAAGCATTGTAAATTCGATATCAGTAGAGTTGTTGTTCTCTCTCATCATCATTTAAAGTTAAAACATTGTGTTGATAAGTGTCTTACTTCTGAGTTAAGTGTTGCACACATGGATAACTCCAGAGATCTAACATTGTATCTAGCATGACTCCCGTCTAGTCTCATGTTCTTGAATCATTCTCTTCTTAGTTTACTTAATTTCTTTTGCTCTTTCTTATAATAATAGTTTTATAATGCTCTTGAAGATGCCCGGCAAAACTTACCTTCCTTTTTCATTATCTGTCTTAATAAACTTTCTCTCTATCTACTCTTTCAATGATTCTTTCATTCACTATCCTTTAGAGTTACATAAATATTTTTCTTGTTTTGTAGTGATTCGAGCAAACAACACTTGCAAGCCAACCCGAAAACCGAAGAGCCTGATTCGTCCGGTCGATCGGTAGCGGTGGCACTGAGTAAAATGACAGGTATTACAACATAAATTGAAATATAAATCAGATATTTTTAAGGATGCTTCTAAATAAATAAATATATTTCAGGATTAAGTCCAACTAAGTCGGCTTTGACACAAATACCTAACCCCATTTGGCAAATCACTTCGAGGCCGGATTTTTCGTCGCTCGTCACTTCATCCTCATCATTCACGTCCTCGACGACCACATCCGCTTCCGGCAGAAGAGCTGCGACGACCGAGAGAAATTCAGAAGAGAACAATGAAGAAAATGAAGAATTAACTGCGAGTGATAACAGCAATGCAGAAAATTCGCTCGGTTCCGATACCAGAGGAAACGACAATCCTTAAAATGGTAAATATTCTATTGAAATTGTTATAGTTTGTAAATACGAACGGTTAATTCAAACATCATTCAACTCTTAGGGCCAGTTAAATGAAAAGTAGCCATTGTTATTTATTTGCAAATTGTTACCCGTAAATTAAGACTCGCCAGCATTGAAATATTTGTTCCGTTGGATAACGAGCCCGGCGATTCTGTTCTCACAGACGTTGTTCTGTCTCTACTTTAGAAAGTCTGTGACGGCCTCTCGTACCCCTACATCTTAGTTTGCGAATAAATTATATTGGATTTCGTTTGACTTACTCTAACATAAATTTTATGAAAATTATTTTCATTTATATCCTCTCTTTTCCAGATTTTATCATCAAATTTCACGGAAAACAATGCCGCATTTCAGTATCTTCTCGACCTACCAAGATTAATTTTCGTAACATACTTTTCACAACATATCCGAAAATAAACCGGACGATTAATTTTATTTTCCTTCATTTTGTTTTAATTGCTGGGACCAAAACAAACAGATTCAATTGCTCATTATTTCCATATAAAAATACTTCAGTTTCTCATCAAAATTATCTTTTTATACATTGAAATACCATATTTATATACTTACATACTTACATACACTCACACACGTATACACATGCAGTAGAATTACTCCCTCGGAGAGACCCCGAAACAACGATTTCGAAACTCGATTAGTCGAATAGGCAATTTATATTATTTAATTTTGATTTTTGTTAAATTAATTAATTAATATTAATTTGTCATTTTTTTTCTTTGTTAATGTCTTGAAATTTTGAATTTGTATATACGATTGTTTGTGAGGTAATTGACAGGTTAATTATCGATTACCTGTTTCGTGATAATTGTTCTTCCATTTTAATTTTTTGTACTTAAAGGTTTGTGTAGTTTCTTTTGTCTAAATAAAGAAAAGGTTTTCTGATTTTAAACATTTTTCTGTTATTTAACAAATAAAAACACCAGCATGCCAGTGTACGCCAGTGACCGAGAGGATAAAACCGCCGAACACTGGTCGTGGGTTCGCATTTCGTCTTCGGACTGGCTGCACAGAGATTTTCGGATTTACTTTGCGTGTTTAAAGTGCCAATCTCACTTACAAGATTGAGTCATAAAACTCGCACGTACTGCGTCAACTAAGAAATTACAATCGGACAGAGTGGCGGTTATCACTTGCCTAATGGATTGGCCACGCGGAGTTTACTAGGTTTCCTTCAATGTTTAACAACCAAATAGGGTTCGATTTTCTGTAATAAGTCCCGTCAGTGAAGGGCTTTCTATGACTTTCAACTGTTAGGCTGTTGTGTTACCTTATCCTGTTAACCTGAGATTCCGACAGGAAACTATTATTAAAAACAGAGCATTGTGTATGTCGACCAATTTTGTTTTGGCAACGTGATCAAGTTTGTGGCCCAAGAAGTGTGGAAATGTGACATATACATTTTCCGTGAAATCATAACTGTACGTGGCAAGCATTAACTTGCTAGAAGGTGGTCAGATTGGTTACGAAAAGCAACACACGAAGGCGCAGGATTTCCTGTATATACCAAGGTGCCGTCAACGTCCCTTGCGTCCGGTGGCGGCCTGCATTTTTGGTTCCATGATGTTCTTTGAATTGTCATGCGAATTCCTTTGCAAGGTCCAATGGGTCTCGATTCAAGCAAGATGGGTGCAGCCCAAATTGGGATTTATTTTGACTTTGACTCTAGCCTAAAGGCTGAGTTGTAGAACTGTCAAGCCATGTCCTAATGGAGGATTTGAGGATGAAGCTGCCAAAATATGTTATGAACAGATTCTGGTGAGCTTAGTGAGCCCTTACAGTTGGGTGTTTGTGCACTGCAAGATCCTGAGAAAATTCTGAAATTTAATCAGTTATAAGGACTTTTTGAAGCCACATGAATTGGGTGTTAGATCATTTTCTAAGATCGATATTACATACAGTACTTCTCTCATTGACTTGTGTTTCTATCACTAAAGTTGCCTTATTTTGATAACAAATACTTAAAATACCATCAATTTTTGTTGAAAAATTCACTCATTCAAAAAGTTGGTACAGGATCCCTTCAGGATTAGGAGATTTGGTGGCATTACCTGGCGTACAATCAGACCACAATTATAATCATTTGTAAACCTGTTTGATATACTGTATATATAACAATCATCTACACAGATCCGAACTTTATGTCACCCTAGTAGCTGCAGTTCATAACATTTTACGTGACACTACAAGTAAGAGGTGGAGCACGTTGCAAAAGGTAAGGTTTGAAAAAAAAACCCAATCTCTTTATTAGTAGAAAACAAACAGATTAATGAAGAAGAATACCCAAAATTGGTAAGTTGTACCAACAAATTTTGTTGAAAAAGCATTGTCATTAATGGTACCTTATAGCGAGGAAGAAAATCTTCAGCTATCAGTTATATCATTTAATGCTTGTGTTACATGTTTATAATGGCCGCATTCAGCAGACTCGAAAATTGTAACTGAACAAGGGTGTTTCAATTGGTAACTGTTATGTAACACTGTGGGTCTACTGAACGATGAGTAACGTAGGCATTGGAACAGAAGGCAACCATCATTGATCAGTTGCAACTAGCAAAAGGTAGCTATGTAAATGAAAGACACCATTAAACGTGACGTCAAGAAACCAAACTAGTTCCGAAACAGCTCTACTATAGAGGGCATTCAGCAGAAAAATACTCAACGCAGCCAGTAATAATAGTTATAAGTTACATAAGATAAAGCAATCTTTTTTTTTTACTCTCTGCCCTGTGGGCACTAAGAGGGCCTCTTTTTGCAGGCCGATTATGGGTTCGGCCAGGCCCACAATGGGACTGCCAGGTGGTGAGGGACGGGGCCCGACATAACTGAACGGATCACCCCTAAAAATTCCTGGGGATTTTTCGACCCGTTTGGATTCGAACCCGGGTCCCCCAGAGCGGTAGGCTGCTGCCTTGGCCGCTCGGCCACCCAGCCGCCTAGATAAAGCAATCTGTGCAATATTAAAAAGCGATTGGTGATTGTTTTCTAAGTCTTGCTTCTAAATACGAACAAAACGAACTTGTAAAGCAGTCTGCCCCTTGTCGTGTGGAGCGTTGCAAACATCGCCTATTAGAGTGACGTAAAGATCGGGTATGTCGTTATAAATATAAAAGTATTTGCTGGCAGATCGCATGGGTCGCGTTTCTTTATTCCATAAAGCCAATCAAATTCACGTTTTCATGATATCATTTATATATTTTTTACATAAACGCGATTGCTTCGATAACGTTTGGACACTGAGAGAGTGGCTTTTAATTATAACGAGTAAATCTAAAATCGGTGAGGGATGGGCCCGACATATCCGTAACGAATCTCACCCCGAAAAATTTCCGGTAATCGGCCGCCCGGATTCGATCCCGGATCCCCCATAGCAATACTCCTGCCTTAACCGCCTTGGCAAATGATAGAGGAGGTCCAGAGTCGTCATCTGTTTTGCCTGTAAACACAAATATATATTATTATTACTATTACACCTCTTACCTGAGCCGGGGATCGAGCCCCGGTCCAGGTCGGCGGCGGTCCACTTGTCTCCGCACCGCCCGCCAGGTCGCTCTGTCAGAACCACTTCGGAACTCATACTTGAGCCATGCGAGGCCGAGGAGTGCACCGTCCAGGCGGCCCCTCGGCCGCAGAGATTCAGCGCGGCCACCCCTCGGCCGTGCAGGTGCAGCGGGCCCGTCGCTCGGCCAATGGCCGCTTGGCCGCGGGTTACGTAAACGCGGCTCCCCCGAGGTTTTATAAGCCTGCAGGCTGCCTTCGGGCATTTTTGCCCGGTGTTTGTTGCCGCAATAATTAGTAGTACGAGTCAGTAAAAACATTTGTGATATTCGAGGCAACTGAAGCGAACGCAGCACGTAATGGTCGTTGTTGACAATTTTCGAAATCCGAAACCACTTAATTTAGTTTACTTCTTCCCAACAGTAAAGTCTTTCGATAACATACAAGGTAGTGTGGAGAAAGTAAACGAATTGGACAATTGTCACGAATTAACGCCTGTGAGAGATTATTAAAAGGAAGCTCCCGCAAGTTATGTATCGTATCATTTTGGAATTTCAGCAGCAACATTTCTCAGCGAAACTTTTCAATTCGCTGGAAAGTGATTCAGATTATTCCAGTTGACTTTTATGATATTATGGAATGAGTTTGTACTTTGCCCGCGATTAAATATCTCAGGAAAACCAAACCTATGTGTATACGTAACAAACAAAACGATTGCTTGTGATGAGTATGAGGCAGAAAAGCTGTAATCGAAGTACGAAGGAAGGGCGATTTCTACATTAAAACTTTTCCTTGCATTAAGATTGCAAAGAGAAATGGTTTTCAAAAATCAAATGCAGATGTTAAAATTCCGGAATGAGATGATAACGCAAGGAGAAATTTTTATGTATAGATTGCCTTTGCATTCCTACTTCAATTACAGCTTTCTTGTGCATGAAGATTTCTGGATTTCGACTATTCTCAACCAGGAATGTGAAGTTTAATTGATGCGCCGACATGTCTAGATCGTCTATATATGTATGTTTTGATGATGTACCCGTGCACGAGGGCGACGAAAAGAACTCCCAGCAAACAGCGAAGCTTGTGTATGTGTATGGTGCGCCTTACCGAAGGATACTTGTACGAGAAACCTGGATTATATGCGATTGTTCGGACAACATCGGGCGATCCCATCTTCGTCGTCGACCTCCGGGACATAGCCGAGAAGGAGGTGGAAGCGGCGGCCTCACTCCATCATTGCCTAAACAAAATCGGAAACGGGCTAGGCGTCGTCAGGTAGCGAGAGGAGACTCTGCCGAAGGTGAGTGTAAAATCTGTTTTGTTGGTTTTTTCCATTGTCAGTTAGAATGTGTTAGAGATAGCGAAATAGAAGCGCGCTCGGTTTAGATGTGAGCGGCGGCGGAGAAAGCCTAATTACCGGTAATAATCGGGCTTTTCTTTAATCTTTGCCGATAGAAGTGGCGTTAGAATACGGCTTGCTGCCCGTTAAACACGCGATAGGCATAGCAAAGAGAGAGAGAGAGAGCGCGAGGCGCGACTCCCCATAGCGCTGCCCGGAAACGGCGGTCGAAAGGTGGCGATCCTCGCGTTTAGGGTGGTTTTGGGATTGTCTAGCAAGTTCTAACAAAAATGGCATAAAATGCGGTTTCGAGATTTAGTTCTGAAAATTTTTACTTTTGAATTTTACCCCATTTTTGAGGGTCTCAAAAAGTTCACTTACAGGCATTTTGCGGGGTGGGGGAGAGCCTATATCTCGCGAAGGGTCGCCCGTATGGGCACGGTTCCATTGACTTTTTTGTTCCTATCGATATGCTCTACAGCTCGCTTCCAGTCTCAATAATGTACAGTACATTTGCCCATGATTTCTGGCCTCAATTTTACCATTTTTTAAATTAAACAAAAAATAATTTTCAATTTGATGTCTATGAATTTTTATCGTTTGGTAAGAAGCGATCCATAGACATTAGAAAAAAAATTAGGAATAAAGTTTTTTTTTACGAAATAAATTCGGTAAAGAGTTATATTTATAAATTTAAAATTCGAAATAAATTATTTCTAATTTAGAAAATTACTAATTAACCATTTACGTAACGGATTTATTATATTTTATTTTCCATTATCTACCGCAACGACACCGAAACGTAGTGTTAGTTTATACAACTGACGTCGGCCATATTTGTTTTCCAGTTTCGTGTCGTCGATGAATACAATGCGATAAAAGTGAATAAATCTACGTAAAAAAGGTTAGAATCCGAATGACATTTCATTATAAATGTTTATTTTATTCGTTTATGACGTCAGATTTAACGAAAAGGCTAAAATAATTTAATAATTTAACATTATAACGTGTCCGGCATTGTACAAAGGCAGTAAGTTGAAAGCGTGGTTTATGACTGTTTAAGTATAAAAATTTAATTTCCTTTGCTTAATAAGCTTATTTTATGCATTTTACAGTCTCGAAATTGTATTATTATTTGTTTTTTATGATTGACGATTAAGGTAAGATCATAAAAGAATGCATAATGTATGCTAATGAGGGTGAAACTGCAGTCCTGAATGAGGGGTTTGGGCTCTCCCTCCATTTTAGACCCCACACCACAATGGATCCTTGCAGATTTGTGGTTGTTGTGGTGTGAGGGTATTTTGATGTGACTTCTAGCCCTGCATTTGTTGACGTGGTGGTGCGCAGACCACCGGTTGAGAAATGCCACATTGTATGACCAAGCTATGGACTTATAAGGACATCTCGTACACTGTTTGGGTTTTGTGTGTTTGGATGAGCTTTAGTTAACTGCTATAGCAGGTCTGGTGAGCACCACCTCTTTTTTTGTGCTACTCTATTCTGTGCTCTTGTCTTTAGCTCCTTATTACTACTCTCTTTTAAGTTATCCGCCATTTTAATTCTCCTCCTTCCTCATTTCTTTCTGCCTGCAACCGTTTCTTTCATAAGCCTTCCTTTCTAATCATGTGTCCCATCCAATTAACTTATCACCTCTATTGTGTTTAATATGCTCTTTATTTTCACCCACTCGTCTTAGGACTTTCTCATTTTTCACCTTACCACTCCATCTGACTTTCTCTATTCTTCTCCACAGTTACATCTCTAGGACTCTATTTTCCTAATGTTGCATTGTCTCAATCCATATATAGGTTGGTCAACAACAACTCAAGGAACATAGGTACACAATTGAAAAAAAAATCTCAATAATAATGTCTCGTTGTAGCATTTGACTGGTCTTTTACTCAATTCTAATTTCAGAATTGTCTTCACACAAAATTGTCTTCATTTTGCTAAATGCCTCATTTGCTATACCAATTCTTCTCTTGATTTCTTTCCCAATTCTGCAGAGTCAAGCCAAACACCCAGCTATCTAAACCCATTTACTTGTTCCACTTTGTCGCCATTTATATGGATGTTGACCTTTTTTTCCTTTACTCCAATCCAAACTGTTTTGGTTGTGTTAGCATTGATTTTCATTTTGAAGGCTGCATGTCCCGTCTCTAGTCCACTTCGGATCTTCCTCGTTTTACCCTTGTTCTCCGCCAGAATTGCCATATTGTCGGCATACCTTAGGCACTGTATCTGCCTTCCCCCTATTTTAATATCTTTCTCTTCCTCTAGATATTCTGTAATCATCTCTTCCAAGTGTATGTTGAAAAGTAGTAGTAATAGGCAACACCCCTGCCTAACACCCTTTTCAATCTTGATTTTCTTACTGTATTGACCATCCACTTTAACTATTGCTTTCTGATATTTGTACAAGTTTAGTATTAATCTCCTGTCCTTCCAATCTATTCCTTTCTTCCTCAGAATGTTTTTTAATCCAATCAATTTGTCAAATGCATTCTCTAGAGCTATAAAACACGCTGACATTTTCTTTCCTTTTTCAATGTATCATTCTCTTGTGGTTCTCAGCACCCCTCTCGCATCTGTAGGACTTCTCTTTCTGAATTCAAACTTCTTCCCTTATGAATGGGTTCAGTTTTCCATAGAGGCATTTCTCTTAAAATGATTTTCGAGGTATGGCAGATCAGGCTAACTGATCTGTAATCTTCATATTTGATTGTTTTATCTTTCTTTGGAATGGGAATTATTAAAATATTCCTCGGAAAGTCGTCAGGCTACTTGCCTATAATCGTACATTGCATTGCAAAGCCTAGTAGTTTTCTTAATTTTGTTTTCACCCATATTCTTGATGAATTCTATAGGGATAATTGACGCCTTCTGATTTTTTATTTCTTAATCCTTCTACTGTACGCTTAAACCAAAATACAGAAAATATTTGTACTATAAGTTTGCCAGACTCGCGACGATAGATAACTGATTCACATCACACTAGTGTTGCCGAATACAGTATTAGTAGTGACGTACACAAGGGTTGACTGTTCGATTCGTTGCTAATTGAACGATTTTTCCTTTCTCCTTTTTTAGTTAGAACATGTTCTAACTAAAAAGGAAGAAAGGAAAGGGTTCATCCAAAAGTCACCTTATGGTCTTCTCTTTCTTTGAGCACAGTTTCCTTTACTTTGAGATGGGCCACTTCGGTGGGAGCTTATTTAGAATTTGCCAGCTCTGGATGCTGATCTCAACGATCAGATGGCTGCTGTCTGAATCTAGATGTAATCACGAACACAGTACCTTCCAAGGAAACTCTAGCTGTTTTCTAACTCGTTCGAGCGACCTTGAAAAAATGTCCGGAATCTTTGTCCTTTCACTTTTGAGGGGATTGTCCAGTCCAATCCAGAGCAGTGTCAGTAGCTTGCATTCGTCTCTGCCTCAGACGGGATCCCCATGTTATACGTCCTGCTATGCTGACCCTCTCCGGAAAAACTGAACTGCTTTCTTTCCTGAGTATTTTTAGATTATTGAGTGAAATGTTGCAACTTACTATTGCAATGTATGGCTACAGCAGAATCAACTTCAACTAAACAACTGGCTTACCAACACCAATCCTACTACAACCCAAAAATATATAATACCAACTCAAATTACTTACAAAATTCTTACTTACATCCGCATAGTATCCAAAAAATAAAAATACTATTAAAAAAACATAATATATCTCTAGCTCTAGTATTTACTAATAATAATAAAAAGTTACTAATAACTAAAGGAGATATCATTCAAAATATTGATATAATGCAACAAAATAATGTTATACAGGGGGTGCAAAAGTATTATGGAAAAAAAAAACATACAGGGAGAAAATAGGAAGAAAAAACATTTATTTTTATGGAATACAAACTAAAAAACATAATAAAAATAATAATAATGAACACCAAACATTTGTATTTCTCAGATTCTCAACTGTATACCTACTTTTGCACTCCCTGTAAATAGAATATCCTGCAGCTGCTAACCAAATTATAGGTGAAACTGGAAGAATCCTAAAAATCAGGCTTTTTATAAGTTTCAAACTTATAAAATGAACTTAAATGACAGTCTAAGTATTAGTGACATCGGGGAACCACTCTTTCTTAACAGGTAGTATCCACAAGTGATTCCATTCCACCCCACTTTCCCCAGATTGCCCCCAACTGGTGAAATTATCCTGCCTTCCCATATAGAGGAATGCTGCACGACTCCACTCACATATACAGAGACTGTGCAAAGAAGTGCACGCCAACTAAAACATGCACACCAACAAAAATAATATTGGAGTTGCCCGACACTTAGCCAAAGATTGCAGTGCCATAGCACTAGCGGAAATTTAAATTTGCCGACTGGAAATCTTTCGGTTAATTGACGTTTCGATCGATCGACATTCAGATAATCGATGCGCTACTGTAACACTGTCACGCTGGATCAGATTAAGGCGTACAAATCACTTGATGCTCATAATTATTTGACAAGCGAATTTAATGATTGTGATATTTTATCAAAAGCCATTCATAATGATTTAATTTTGCTTGTAAGAAAGGTATGTATCTTCACGTGAGACCTTCCATTACTCAATATAAACTGTGTTATGTAAAGATGAATGTAATTTTATATTTAGTCACATTTTAAGCTGTATTTATAATTACCATCAAATTTTTTTTGTCGTCATGGTGTTGTGTTGTGCAAGTCTCTAACAATCTATTATTAAGATTAAATTAATTACCCTAATAAATACAGCTATAATAAATTGGAGGGCTTATTAAGACATGAAATGCATTTCCTCCAATAAAATCAATATCAACAAATGCTCCTTGTGTGATGTGTTACTGAAGAAAACAAAGCCCATAGCTTTTAATTCTTTGTATATTTTTGGTTCGAACACCTGTCAACTGTGTTATAATACAAAACTGTATCAACAAATTTATGCTAATGTGTTGAAATATCATGTCGGCGATAATGAGAACTGGTGTCGTAGGTAATTTTTATTATTAAAATGATATTTTTAACTGTCTGGATTCACCAATTGTTTAAACTGGGTCTAGTAAGATTGTACAAAGTCCGACTCACTGTGTAAGTCTGGTTATGAATACAGTAACTATGAATTCTCTGCCTTAACACTTGTAGGTTGCAATTGGAATTGCTTTTCCGTCCAGTTCGTGACGTCATCTAAGATACTACGTATTAAAGTTAACTCTATACATTACTCTGTAGGCATATTCTACCTAATTTGTATACGCATGCATACAAATTAGGTAGAATACAGTACTGACTTTTGGGTTTGGGACCGTGGTTTGATTACTTCGGTATTGCACGGCACTATAAAGAGCATGGTTGCGAAATGGAAAAGTCATACTGTGCGCTGTTTATTAAAATAAATATAGTATATTTGTTTAATAAAAGTTTGCTTTTGTTAAATGCCCTCTTTTAGTAATTTGAAAGATGGATTGAGGACTCAGAGATTTTTCTCGGAGGGTCAAAGTTAAGGAAGAACGAGTCTCATGCGAAGAATTGAGTTTCGAATAGGGGTGTGTGTGTATATATATATTTATTTCAATATGTGAAGGCTGGTTTTTACCGTAAGTATTTGTCCAGCCTGGCAAGTTCTTGGATAGTGGAATATTTAACTACAGAAAATGAAAAATTCAATTGAAAGTACCACCATTTGATTTCATTTCTTTTGTTATATTTTTTGCAATATTGTTCACTTATTATTTTATCATAACGTTTGTTTAGTTTTTGATTATAGATGCATTTGTTTTTTAAATGGATATTGTCAATTTCTTACTATCTGCTGTGTTTTTAACATGTTAACTACTATTTGACGCGTTGGCAGTTGTAGTAGTTAGGACTGTTTAGAGCCATACGACCACCGGCAGTCGGAGACAACTTTATAGATGTGCATGAGAGGCCACCACTAGGATGTAAAACGTCTTAAAAAGCCAAGATAATTTAACCTTGAGTGAAACTACATTGGTCATAGTGATGTCAGGCGGTCGGATGGCTCTGTATAGTCCTAATTAGTACGACCGCCAGCACATCAGATAGCAGTTAATTAAACGTGCTTCTCTATGACAATGTTTCCAATTTGTTGCCAGACTGATTTGTCTCGTCGTTGCAATATGCATTCTCCAAGTGTTATTATCCTATTGTCTGCTGGATTACAATACTCTTCTGTCATAACAAAAGTAGGCTCTGTGGCTATGCCATCGTGCAAAAAAAAGTGCAGTAGATTGATTCTTTATAACCCTATTACATTGAAATGTTTTAAATATACTTGTGATAATATAAATGTATACGTTTACACGATATCTGAATTTTAAAATAATTCAACATATACTGGCTAAATATATGTAATGTGGCATGGACATCAGATAGAAACGATACCTCAGTCCTGCTATCCGTGGTAAATTATGAATACGTGGATTGATATGTACATAGATATCTACAATAGTAAATGAACTCCTAGCCACATACTCATTTGCCGAAAATGTTTTCAAATTTTTTTGTGTCTCGTGTCTTCAGTCGTGCTTTCATACTTGAATTGTCGAAAACTGTACTGTTGTGGGATAAGGAAAAGAATATTTCAGCCAAAATGCGTTCTATTGTTTTGACGCAGGCCTCTTCAGTTTGACGTCCGCAACTTTTGTTTTTACATCGGGCTACTTTTGAAAGAGAGTTTGCAGTTTTTCTTAAAAATCATCATCTTGCGACATCTGCATTACACAATTTAAGTGTTCATTTCAATGCTTATTAATCAAACAACAAGTTGGATTTATTATCGGGCCACATTTTGGCCAATTAAATATACAGGTGTCACATAATACGAGCTAAAGGCAGATGACTTTCAGTCTCCTTCTTGTGTTAAATTTATTAATTTGGAATATTCTGTAAGGAGAGATCGATCCGAAGCAGGACTCTTAACTTTCAACTTCAGCTCACTTAGCAGTTGTGCGGCCATTCTGCACTTATTTCATCTCTCATATAAGCCAAAATATATGTATTTTACCATTTCTATTACAAATTTTACACTAATAATGACAGTAAATACTCGTAATTCTTGATCACTTCAACCTTGTTTGTTTAATGAGATTTGACTGTGTAATTCAATTGAAACGACCTGCCGAAAGAGGCCCATTGTTTTGATAAGACTTATGAAGCTAATAATAACTTTTTTTTTCCAGATAATTAGTATTTTTCATCTTCAACATGGCTTTACCTCCATTTATGTTGGGTCAGCCCTACATGATGGGCATGTTGGCCCAACAGCAGGCGGTAGCGGCCGCACAGTTGGCCGCCCAAGCCCAGGCCCACCAGGCTCAGGTACAGGCACAAGTTCAGGCTCAGATTCAATTACAACAGCAGCAGCAACAACAACAGAGCGTGCAGGCCCAGCAGCAGCCTTCAGAATTGTTAACGGAAGAGAAGTTGCAAGAGAAAGGTAATGTTCTTCTCTGACTGCACTTAAATAATAACCAAACCTCGACACTAACCTTTAAAAATGCAGCTTTTTTCAAAGGTCAGTGTCGAGGTTTGGAAGGTAACGTTGTCGCGTTTCTGTCGACTCTATATTATTATTATTATAATTTATGATGCGTCATTTAGAATAATCGATTGGTTTAATTGACGTGTAGAAGGCCATTGCAAGGCACTAGTACAGTACATTAAGATATGGGGAGCTATCCATAAATTTGGCTGTTTGGGGTTCCAGCACAGGCAAGGAATGGAAAAGGATGCCCCAATTCATATCGTCAACAGTAAATTATAGGTTTCCGATGGGTTTTGAGCTATAAAATGATGCCCATTGCCAAAATTTAAATGAATATTTTGATAAAATAAAGAAAATTAAAGCTTCTCACAGCAAAGATCTGACGGTTCCAAAAGGAAATATCCCTGATTGTGATCGGCATGTAAAAAATTAAAATAAAATGAGATACACTAATATCATTTTTATAAGTTCATTGGTTAAATTAATATTTTTGGGATGAATTTCTTTAAATTGTATGGTTTTTGTATTACTTTAGCACGCAAATGGCAACAGTTACAATCCAAAAGATATGCCGAGAAGCGGAAGTTCGGTTTTGTGGACGCCCAGAAAGAAGAAATGCCGCCGGAACACATCCGAAAAATTATAAGAGATCACGGCGACATGAGCAGTAGAAAATACCGTCACGACAAAAGGGTTTATTTGGGGTAAGATGCAGGTTTTTTAACTTTGTTTCGTGCATGATTGCTTATTAATTATTCTTACATTTTGTATTTCAGAGCATTGAAATATATGCCTCATGCCGTATTAAAATTATTGGAAAATATGCCAATGCCTTGGGAACAGATAAGAGACGTCAAGGTGTTATACCACATAACAGGCGCCATAACTTTCGTCAATGAAATACCTTGGGTTATCGAACCCATATATATTGCTCAGTGGGGGTAAGTCTAGTTAGTACTTACATTTTTTAATTTGATTTTTACGTAACAACATCGTATTTTTCATCCGAACAAGATCAGAACTATGCATTATTGTGTGTTATTTTGATGGAATAGATACCTGCCTTGGTAGGTGCTGAATTTTTCTCTGTAGCTGTTTGAATCCCAAGCTTGATCTTTATGTTTGAAATGTGTCCGAGATGAAGGAAACCAAGATTTGATGCTGTTAAGGCTGGTTTTTGGTATGACAGAATATGTAATGGTAAGTTGGAAGCCATGACATTGTATCTCGGTGGAAAAGTGGCATATTTAAAGCTGTGTCAAGCTTGATTTTTACCACAACGGCAAGTGGAAAAAGTTAAGTGTCTTTATATACCTTGATGCCATCCATCTTGGTTTCCATTAAGTCATCGCACCTTCTTCACTTGTAGGGATTTGTCACCATTTTGATCTTTTTGACTAAACAGATACTTCACCAGCATTTCACGAGTAATGAGAACGATACTACAACTTTTGTGTGTAAGTGAGAACCAGCTTTAACACTAAAAGAGCATGTCACACATTTAAGTAAAGAAGTGTACTAATTCTCATCAGTACAGACTCAGTCCAGGAACTTTTGGATTTTACCTTCTAGATCTAATTGGGATTCTGAAGGCTAAATTTTACAGTTTATTATCTCTTTAGCATTCAAAAATATGTTTGTTATTGGATATTAGCGAGGTTGCGGCCGCAGTCTTGCTATTCTTAGAATATGAGATAAAAATAAGACAATCTAAATTAGAAATTTAGCATAAATGTAAATACTATTTATAAAAACAAAAATTAGAGAAAAATTAATTGTGTTAGGTATAATAAAATTCATTTATTGTAAATCCAGTTCCATGTGGATAATGATGAGAAGAGAGAAAAGAGACAGGCGGCATTTTAAAAGAATGAGATTTCCGCCGTTTGACGACGAAGAACCTCCGCTCGATTATGCCGATAACGTCTTGGACGTGGAGCCTTTGGAGGCCATCCAAATGGATCTGGATGCCGAAGAGGACGCAGAAGTAACAAAGTGGTTCTACGATCACAAGCCATTAACCGAAACAAAGTATGTCTAAAACTTTATTAAATTTTTGAAAATTACATCGTCGGACTTGTACTTGAATTGAAATTCTTTATTTAGACACGTAAATGGATCCACCTATCGTCATTGGAATCTTACTCTGCCCCAGCTCGCCACCCTGTATCGTCTGGCTAATCAGTTATTAACTGACTTAGTAGATGATAATTATTTCTATCTCTTTGATCTGAAGTCGTTTTTCACTGCAAAAGCTCTCAACATGGCCATTCCGGGAGGTCCGAAGTTCGAACCTTTGATCAAGGATGCGAATCCAGGGTACGTTAAGTCATTGTTTAATCGAAAAATTATTATAAATATATAGTTAAAGTTTAAATTTAATTTCAGTGACGAAGACTGGAACGAATTTAACGATATTAATAAAATAATCATCCGTCAACCGGTGCGGACGGAATATCGGATCGCCTTCCCTTATTTATACAACAACCTGCCGCATTACGTTCATCTGTCCTGGTAAGCTTTATGTTCCTTGCGTTTATGGTAGTGATTAAATTCACACTTAATCATCATTCTATGTAATAAAATAGCATAGATTGTCTCAAAAAGTGTGGGAGATTAAGAAAGGTGGTCGCGTATTGGCAGATAGCCTAAAGGAATGCTTTAAGGCCGCTGAAGCCATCTACATTACATAGATATTAAGGTCGTTTAATAATATTTTTAATAATGTGTCGCTTAAATTAGGTATCACACTCCGAATGTTGTTTTTATCAAGACTGAAGATCCTGACTTGCCTGCATTCTATTTTGATCCGCTTATAAATCCGATTTCTCACAGGCATGCGGTTAAGGTGAGGTTTTTAACTTGCTTAAAGCATAAATTAGTATATCCGTGAGAGTAATCTTGTGATGCACTATTCTAGGGAATGGAACCGCTACCAGATGATGATGAAGAATTTGAACTGCCGGAAAATGTTCAGCCATTCCTCCAAGATTGTCCTCTTTATACGGATAATACGGCCAACGGCATAGCACTTCTTTGGGCTCCAAGACCTTTTAACCTTCGCTCCGGAAGAACTCGCAGAGCGATCGATGTCCCCCTCGTAAAATCTTGGTAATTTGTAACAGTAATTTTTGAGGGTTTTTACTTAATTAGGAAATTTTAATTTAAGAATTGTGGATTTATTATAATTTTCTGCCAGGTATCGTGAACACTGTCCACCGGGAATGCCTGTAAAAGTTAGAGTTTCCTATCAGAAGTTATTGAAATATTACGTCTTGAATGCTCTGAAGCACAGACCTCCAAAACCTCAAAAGAAAAGGTATCCTTTATTGAATTTTTAGCTTAAAAATTATAAATTTTAACAGTATACTAAATCTCGTTCTCAATATTTCTAGATACTTATTCCGTTCTTTCAAATCGACAAAATTTTTTCAAACCACCACTTTAGATTGGGTGGAAGCAGGTTTACAAGTGTGTAGACAAGGTTATAATATGCTGAACCTGCTCATTCACAGGAAGAACTTGAATTATCTTCATCTCGATTATAATTTCAACCTGAAACCTGTGAAGACCCTTACAACAAAAGTAATTTTTCCGACTTTTTTTTCTAGTTTACTTTAGAATATTGCAACTTAGTTTGAATTCTTGGTTTAAACTAGTAAATAATTGCTAAATCAAAGAGGATGGAACAGAAAAGAAAATGACATGTTGTATCCACACTTCTATCACTATTAGAGTTGGTTTTTATAGCAATGGTGGCGTGGTTCTATGAGTTGAGGTGCATATTCACGGAATTCAGAGTTTCACTATGTTTGCCGTCCTTCGCTCTGCTGCTAGACGTGGAACTATATATGCACACTTTAAGTCTATTAACGCGACTTGAAAGTAAAATAATGATTGGCACTGTGCCAAATTAGCCACCAGCCACAGTTTGATTATAAATTGAATAGGATTCTTGTCAACTCTAGCAATGGCTAATGTGAGAGCAAAAATTTTGTGGGTGAAAATTTAATCTTGAAATTAAAACTTGCTATAATTATTCCCACGATTGTTAAAATTGTAAAGGATATGTTTTTATCCCTCTGTGGAGTCACTTCCCTTTCAAGATGAGACAGCAAATGTGTCACCGGGAACTTGGCGATGAGAATTTGCTATTGGATATAGGTGTTGCCACATTGCCAAAAAAAGGGCAATGGAGAAAAGAGGACCCCCCCAATAAAAGGTAATGACTGATGACAACAGGAGTTCGTCCGACCAAGGGAAAGTTCAGTCGCCCGAGAATCTGTTGCCACCAAAAGTTTGCCCTTACCAGAGTTGCCTCAATGCTCGGATACCTTAGTAACCTTCCTCCATCTAAGTGAACTCTATCCAAGTTAACTCCAGCAATCCGTGGTATCGACAAAGTATTACAAGTTATCTATGTAACTTATATGTAAGCTCTCGCTCTCTCCAGACTAGAACATGCAAGAATAGTTATTAGAGTGAACAAAGCTTTAAATACGAATTTTAACCTTGCTTATATCATTGGTAAATAGCTTACAGAAAATAAACGGATAATTGTTATTGTTAGAATTTGTGTTTAGTGCACTTCCTAAATCCGTGCCTCTCCTCTATTGCCTCCATCGAATCCAAGCACCTATAGCGTGACTGCTAGTGCGAAAACCAAAACTAGCGGCCATCAGGGTTTCTGTGTCTATCCTGATGAACTAGTCATCACAAACGTGATGTCGACCCTTCAGTCCCATGCTGCCAAAGCATAGGGAGTCGCTTCGCACATTGTCACACTAGCATCTCTGCTACCGTCAGAGTAGAAACCAACCTTTAATTATGGAAATTGATATTTCAAACCAGTTGTATTGCAAGAATGTGTGTATCTCCTCTATTTATTTGAAGTATGAACACTGCAAAGGAAAAATAGAGAATACAGATTCATTCTCTTCTCTGTTCTATTTCCACGAAGAACAAACAGAACGCACTCTGTTAACTGTTACAGAATTTTCATGCTTATATTTAAATACATAACTTTAATGCGACACTCTCGTATCTAATTTGATTCTTTGTTTTCAGGAAAGAAAGAAATCACGTTTCGGAAATGCATTCCACTTGTGTCGAGAAATTTTACGCCTGACGAAACTCGTAGTTGACAGTCACGTTCAGTATCGTCTGAATAACGTTGATGCCTTTCAGCTCGCCGACGGGCTACAGTACATATTTGCACACGTTGGGCAACTCACCGGAATGTATCGATACAAATATAAATTGATGAGACAGATTCGAATGTGCAAGGATTTGAAGCATCTTGCCTACTACCGTTTCAATACCGTAAGAGTTGTCTAGAAAATTTATCATTTATTTAATTAATGCATTTATTTAAAGGACAAAATACATTTCAGGGGCCTGTCGGAAAAGGTCCGGGATGCGGATTTTGGGCCCCAGGCTGGCGAGTGTGGTTATTCTTTATGAGAGGTGTCACTCCATTGTTAGAAAGATGGCTTGGGAATCTATTGTCGAGACAGTTTGAAGGACGACACTCAAAAGGTGTCGCAAAAACCGTTACGAAGCAGAGAGTGGAGAGCCATTTTGATTTGGAATTGAGGGCTTCGGTACGTCATATAATTTATATATTTAATTTTAATAAATGTTGATAGATTATTTTAATGAATTTTTTTTCTTAGGTTATGCACGATATAGTGGACATGATGCCCGAAGGCATTAAGCAGAATAAAGCTCGTACAATACTTCAGCATCTTAGTGAAGCGTGGCGTTGTTGGAAGGCCAACATTCCGTGGAAGGTATGATATATCAATTTATTATAGTGTATGCTCCAGTTATGACAGTATGATGCGATCGTTATTTCATTAAGCATGTAGAAATTAAGTTACTTTTATTTTTCTCTGCCTTATTTATCAATATCTTAGAATTATCTACTATGACAAGATGAAAGTTTGTCAGAGTGTCTTGCTCGAGTGTTTGTTGCATTTTTGATATTTAAAAATTGTTCTCAAAGTGAAGTTTATCTGAAATTATTATATCTAAATAGTATTTTCTCTTGTAATTGGTGTGTCGTTCAATGAAATGCCATGTTTATATTTAATGTTGGTGTCAGTAAGGAAGGACACTGGCACTGCACTTTCCTTCCTTACTGACACTGACATTGCTCTTTCAATTTTCCATAAAATTATATGTTCTGAAGTTTTAACTTAGAAAATTATAAAAATAGAAAATTATTATTTGAATATAGGTCCCAGGATTGCCGATCCCCATCGAAAGTATGGTTCTTAGGTACGTAAAGATGAAAGCAGACTGGTGGACCAACACGGCACATTACAATAGAGAACGTATCCGACGAGGTGCGACGGTGGACAAGACGGTGTGTAAAAAGAATCTCGGTAGGCTGACACGTCTGTACTTGAAAGCCGAACAAGAAAGACAACATAACTATTTGAAGGTGAAGATTTAATTTCCAAATTATATTCCAATAAATTATTGTAACATTAATTTATCTTTGTAATTTTGCAGGACGGGCCATACATCAGTGCCGAAGAAGCTGTTGCCATATACACGACGACAGTCCACTGGCTAGAAAGTAGAAGGTTCTCGCCTATTCCGTTCCCTCCACTTTCGTATAAACATGATACAAAGTTACTCATTCTAGCATTAGAGAGGTTAAAAGAAGCATACAGGTAATTCTTGTCAATAATTTCTATGTCACAGTTGGCTTCCGTCATAATTTTCTCATATATCTCAATGTTCTTTCAGCGTTAAGAGTAGATTGAATCAGTCTCAGCGAGAAGAATTAGGTTTAATAGAGCAGGCATATGACAATCCTCATGAAGCTCTGTCACGTATTAAACGTCATCTCCTAACCCAGAGAGCATTTAAAGAGGTAATTACAATTATATATTTTATTCTATTAAATTAAATATAAGCCATATATTTTGCTTTCATTTTAATCAGGTTGGGATAGAATTTATGGATTTGTATAGTCATTTGATTCCGGTTTACGATGTCGAGCCGTTGGAAAAGATAACAGACGCTTACCTGGATCAGTATTTGTGGTATGAAGCCGACAAGCGGCGTTTGTTTCCGCCTTGGATAAAACCGGCAGACTCAGAGCCTCCACCTCTTCTAGTTTATAAATGGTGTCAAGGTGTGTATCTCCATATATGTACATGTATAACATATACTGGTAGTGTCAAGGGATTGTTTTCCCACTTATTAACAAGATCGTGTAATAATAACTCTCAAAGAGTGCCGCAGTTTTCTTTTACTTGGTTCATGTGCCACATTGTTCTAGCCATTTCCAAGAACTTTTTTGACATGCCCGACATATACTTATACACACCACATTTTACAACAATTGTTTAATTCTAAAATATTGGTTTTTATTTAAAAAATAGGTATAAATAATTTACAAGATGTGTGGGAAACTGGTGAAGGCGAATGCAGTGTTATGTTAGAATCTCGTTTTGAGAAGATGTATGAGAAGATCGACTTGACACTCCTAAATAGACTTCTCCGTCTCATTGTCGATCATAACATAGCCGATTACATGACGGCTAAAAATAATGTTGTGATCAATTACAAGGTAAATATCTTACTTAACAGTTACCTTTATTAGTAATTTCCAACTAATGTGATTATTACGCAGGATATGAACCACACCAATTCTTACGGCATTATCCGAGGATTACAGTTTGCGTCTTTCATCGTCCAGTATTATGGTCTCGTGATGGATCTTTTGGTGTTGGGTCTGCAAAGGGCGAGCGAAATGGCGGGACCACCGCAAATTCCAAACGATTTCTTAACATATCAAGACATTGTGACGGAAACAGCACATCCGATTAGGTTATTTTCACGTTACATTGATAGGATCCACATATTCTTCAGGTAATAGTTTAAATCGTTGTCTGTTTTCGGAATGTTTTTCACCTTAATTCTAAAAGCTAAAACAATTATAGATTCACAGCTGAAGAAGCTCGTGACTTAATTCAGAGATATTTGACTGAACATCCCGATCCCAACAATGAGAATATCGTCGGATATAACAATAAGAAGTGCTGGCCGAGGGACGCTCGCATGAGACTGATGAAACATGACGTAAATTTGTAAGTGGTATTTGTATTTGCAAACCCGATTGTGATGAGTCGGAATTTTAACACGAATCGATGAAACTTTTCAGAGGCAGAGCCGTTTTCTGGGATATCAAAAATAGATTACCCAGATCCGTGACTACGATTCAGTGGGAAAACAGTTTCGTATCTGTATACAGCAAGGATAATCCAAACCTGTTGTTCAATATGAGTGGATTCGAATGCCGTATTTTGCCAAAGTGTCGAATGACACACGAAGAATTCACTCACAAAGATGGAGTCTGGAATCTTCAAAATGAAGTTAGTGCAAAAATTTTTGAGTATTTTTGTTTTTAATTTAAGCTTTTTTTATTTTTTTTAACCAATCAAATTTATATTCCTAGGTAACAAAAGAAAGGACTGCGCAGTGTTTCCTGAGAGTCGACGATGAATCGATGCAAAGATTTCATAATCGCGTACGCCAAATACTGATGGCGTCGGGCTCTACAACATTTACAAAAGTTGGTAAACTTTCTACAGGATTTGAATGAATACAGATGTTGTTCTAAATAACTGTTGTTTTTATGTTTAGATTGTCAACAAATGGAACACTGCTCTGATTGGTTTGATGACATATTTTCGTGAGGCCGTAGTAAACACTCAAGAACTTCTGGATTTATTGGTGAAGTGTGAAAATAAAATCCAGACCAGAATAAAGATCGGCCTGAATTCAAAAATGCCAAGCAGATTTCCTCCTGTCGTGTTTTACACGCCAAAAGAGTTGGGCGGATTAGGAATGCTGTCCATGGGCCACGTTCTCATTCCGCAGTCCGATTTAAGGTTAGTGTTGTCATATTGATTATATGTTAGTGTTGTAAAAATATACTAATGTAATCTAAATGAACAGATGGTCGAAGCAGACAGATGTAGGAATCACTCATTTCCGATCGGGAATGAGCCACGATGAAGACCAGGTCATTCCCAACCTGTATCGATATATTCAACCGTGGGAAAGCGAGTTCATCGATTCGCAGAGAGTCTGGGCCGAGTATGCGTTAAAACGTCAAGAGGCACTGGCACAAAACAGGTAAAACGTGCATTAATTCTTTCGGTTGTATCTTCATTTGAAGTCGACGGATTAAACAATTTTATCGTTTCTTAAAGACGTCTTACGCTGGAGGATTTGGAAGACAGTTGGGACCGTGGAATTCCACGCATCAACACGCTGTTTCAGAAAGACAGACACACATTGGCATACGACAAGGGATGGAGAGTACGAACCGACTTTAAACAATACCAAGTAAGTTTATTTTTTAGTTGTTTTATAAGATAATTTGTATTTGAATTAGCATTAATAAATGCTCTTTATAACTAAGGTTCTGAAGCAAAATCCATTCTGGTGGACTCATCAGAGACACGATGGTAAATTGTGGAATTTAAATAATTATCGGACTGACATGATACAAGCTCTTGGTGGTGTGGAAGGAATTTTAGAACATACTCTTTTCAAAGGAACGTATTTTCCAACCTGGGAAGGTCTTTTCTGGTAAGTACGGAAAACTTTAAATAGTTTGGCTCAAATATATACGAGCAATACAATATTTACGTTTAAAAAATATATAAATTTTTCTATATGACAGGGAGAAGGCTAGTGGATTCGAAGAATCCATGAAGTACAAAAAATTGACCAATGCCCAACGATCGGGTCTCAATCAAATTCCCAATCGACGTTTTACACTGTGGTGGTCTCCCACCATTAACAGGGCAAATGTAAGTGTCTAAAATTTTGTGCATAAAAATAAAATCTTGCTTTCGTTTACCTGTAATTTTTGATTTTTTCTGCCAGGTATACGTCGGGTTTCAAGTACAGTTGGATCTGACTGGAATATTCATGCACGGAAAGATTCCGACGTTGAAGATTTCTCTGATCCAAATCTTCCGTGCCCATCTGTGGCAGAAAATTCACGAAAGCATAGTCATGGATTTGTGTCAGGTAACTTTTTATTTAAATAACTGAATCCATATTGAAATTTAGACCCCACATAATAAATATGTATTTTTTGCAGGTGTTTGATCAAGAATTGGATGCATTGGAAATTGAAACTGTTCAGAAAGAAACTATTCATCCTAGAAAGTCATACAAAATGAACAGCTCTTGCGCAGACATTCTCCTGTTTGCAGCATACAAGTGGAATGTGTCGAGGCCGTCACTTCTGGCAGATTCAAAGTTTGTAGTTTTACTTTGCTTTTTTTGCGGATTCTTTTTAAAGTTCATTAATCTTTGGGTCACTAAAATACTTTTATTGTTTACAGGGATACGATGGACGGTACGACTACCCAAAAATACTGGATAGATGTTCAGTTACGTTGGGGCGATTACGACTCTCACGATATCGAAAGATACGCGAGGGCAAAGTTTCTCGACTACACCACCGACAACATGAGTATATATCCATCTCCCACTGGCGTACTGATTGCGATTGACCTGGCTTACAATTTACACAGGTTTGTAAAGCTCCAGAATTCGTAATTTTACCACACGAAACAAATTTTTACATTAAAATTTCATTTTCGATAGTGCTTACGGTAATTGGTTCCCCGGTTGTAAGCCATTAATCCAGCAAGCGATGGCAAAAATCATGAAGGCTAATCCCGCACTTTATGTGTTGAGAGAGAGAATCAGAAAAGGTCTTCAGTTGTATTCTTCGGAGCCTACAGAACCTTATCTTTCGTCACAGAACTACGGAGAGCTGTTCTCCAATCAGATTATTTGGTTTGTGGACGACACTAATGTGTATCGTGTAACAATTCATAAGGTATTGTCTTTTCTTTAAATTCGTATTTTCTCTTTAAAGTTCCTTTCTTCAGTACGTATTTTATCATTCCAGACTTTTGAAGGCAACTTGACGACCAAACCCATTAATGGTGCCATATTTATTTTTAATCCACGTACCGGTCAGCTGTTCTTGAAGATTATTCACACTTCGGTTTGGGCGGGACAAAAACGTCTGGGACAGGTAAGTTTTTTTTTTTTTTTTTTGTTAGTACTTGCTGTAAGTTTCTTTGCCACAATTTCAATTGTTAATTTTCATGTGCGTTGTGCATAACCTGCAGTTGCATGTAGTTTATTTAAATGTTAAAAATGCGCACAAGATAGCAATTCCATACCTATTTTTCTCGCATAATTACATTGCATGTAATTTCCATTCCTCAAATTTACAGGATTTTTTTCAGTACTGTCAATGTGTCGTCTTTGCACGTGCAAAATTTCAACACGCATTGCTTAGTTTACAAGATATTGTTCTGTTTTGCAGAAAGCTGTTTGACTGGGCACTCTTCAAACTTTCTGATAGTGTGGGATATTATGAAACGAGTTTGGCTGGAAATATCAGTGTAATAGTAGGTGCACTCGAGTGCAGGTTAAGACAGTAATGAGTGTAGCTGATAGGCTAAACTAATCGTCATTGTGGTCAGAAGAGATGATGATAATTGGTGTTGACAACTTGTTTCATCGGTTGTAATTTTTTCACTGGTGTGCATTGGGTTTTCAGTGTTTTCTTTTCGGTTAGAGATGAGAATGATTTGAAAGCATGACCAGACAGACAGCTTTTCTCCATCCAATGTTCCAAGGACTGTTCTATGTAATGTCACATTTTGTTTTATTTAGTTGGCAAAATGGAAGACTGCAGAAGAAGTCGCTGCCCTGATTCGTTCTCTACCCGTTGAAGAACAGCCCAAACAGATCATTGTAACCAGAAAGGGAATGCTGGATCCGCTAGAGGTTCGAACTCATTTCATTTCTAGGAATAACTTGCTCTGTTGCCGCAGAATATGTTTTATTAAGGAATCGTCTCATCTCTAGGTACACTTGCTGGATTTTCCGAATATCGTAATTAAGGGTAGTGAATTACAACTTCCCTTCCAAGCCTGTTTGAAAGTGGAGAAATTTGGCGATCTCATATTGAAAGCAACCGAACCTCAAATGGTTTTATTCAATCTGTACGACGATTGGTTGAAGACTATTTCATCGTATACCGTAAGTTACATTTTATCATTGCTTGTTTTTTATTCATGTTCCGTAATTTGATTTATTCGCCACTTCCAACTTAAACAGGCATTTTCGCGTCTCATATTGATTTTGAGAGCACTTCACGTCAACAACGAGAGGACCAAAGTCATCTTGAAGCCTGATAAGACGACCATTACAGAACCCCATCACATTTGGCCCACGTTGACAGACGAAGAGTGGATCAAAGTAGAAGTTCAGTTGAAAGATCTGATTTTGGCTGATTACGGAAAAAAGAACAAGTAAGTTAGATTTTAAGGCAACAAGAACTTTTGAATGCATCAAAACTAGGGGGCTAATTTATTTGTTGCGTTTAATTAGCGTAAATGTGGCATCTCTGACGCAGTCGGAGATCCGTGACATCATTTTGGGTATGGAAATTTCCGCCCCGTCTGCACAGAGGCAGCAAATTGCAGAAATCGAAAAACAGACCAAAGAACAGTCCCAACTGACGGCGACCACCACTCGTACTGTTAATAAGCACGGGGATGAGATAATCACTTCGACCACTAGGTGAGTAGTTTTTATGTATTATGTTTATGTGTATAATTGCAAATCGTCCTTGCTAATATTTTAAATATTACAGCAATTACGAGACGTCGACATTCTCATCTAAAACTGAATGGAGAGTAAGAGCCATATCTGCTACCAATCTTCATCTGCGAACCAATCACATCTACGTCTCTTCGGATGACATCAAAGAAACTGGATACACTTACATTCTCCCAAAGAATATCCTGAAAAAGTTCATCATCATATCAGATTTGAGGACGCAGGTGAGTGAACGTCAGCGTCAATGATAGTTGCGTAATTACAATCTTTTGTAACTGATGCTGTAATGTTGTATCTATAGATTTCCGGTTATCTCTATGGAGTTAGTCCATCGGATAATCCACAAGTAAAGGAAATAAGGTGTATAGTGATGCCGCCACAGTGGGGTACCCATCAGACGGTGCATTTGCCAAATATATTGCCCCAGCACGAATATCTACAAGAAATGGAACCACTTGGATGGGTTCATACACAACCGAACGAACTTCCTCAGCTCTCACCGCAGGATGTGACAACACATGCGAAAATAATGGCTGACAATCCATCTTGGGATGGAGAAAAGACAATAGTCATTACCTGCAGGTAAACATAAATTTATTTCTTTAAGGTGTTTTAACTTAACGTATATTGTTATATAACATATTTTAAATAATCTTAGTTTCACACCCGGTTCCTGTTCGCTGACCGCCTACAAGCTGACACCCAGTGGATACGAATGGGGTCGACAGAATACAGACAGAGGCAACAACCCCAAAGGTTATTTGCCTTCCCACTACGAAAGAGTACAGATGTTGCTGTCGGACCGTTTCCTCGGCTTCTTTATGGTTCCGTCGCAGGGATCCTGGAACTACAACTTCATGGGTAAGTTTCTTTCTATACGTCTGCCGGCTTTTTTTGGCACATTAATGTAACAACACAACTTTCCAGGCGTCAGGCACGATCCCAACATGAAGTACGAACTGCAGTTGGCCAATCCAAAAGAATTTTATCACGAGGTTCACAGGCCCTCTCACTTTCTGAACTTTAGTAACCTGGAAGATAGCGAGGGAGTGGGAGCTGATCGTGAGGACCATTATGTGTGAAGCATTTGATATGTAAACAAAACATTACGCATGATGTACACAACCATTTTTCGAGGATGCTCGACTCGTAGTGAAGTCTTTCTTTTTTATTTTAAATACATGTTAAGCACATGTCTGTGTGTGACCGGTAGCACGTGTATCCTTAAACCGTTCCTGCGGATGTATGTATCTATAAATAAAAGTTTTGCTACTGAATTGTGTGTATTTGTATTTGTTAATAGGACTCTAACCCAGATAGTGAATTGTTCTTGCATCTTAGGTGCAATACCGATCAACGAATTTGCAATTTTAACATTCACACAGCATGCAATGAAACCCAATGTTTAGTTTCATTGCATGTAACAGGGGGATCATCTCTTGTGCAGCTAGAATGAATACTTTTACATGATGTATTGCAACACAGCAGTCTTGGCAGGTATCACCTCTAGTGTCTATCGACACTTTCAAACAAGAATCCAGAAGAAAAGTAGACCCCTCATGTCGACACTGTGAATTCTGTAGAATTAGCATTGTGTGTTGCCGTAGTGCAACTAGTTTTACTGAACCATCCCGTATTAAAGCATGGCCAGTGTCTGTACCTTATATCGGACAAGACAAAACAGAATTAAAAACATTTTTTATTTGTAACTGCTTTTTGTACAATATATTCTGGAAAAGAAATGATTTTTACAATAAGATTTTGTAAAGTAAGACGGAATGCTCCATACTTCAAACACGTACAAACATTCAGAAGTTAAAAACTTGGCCACGCAAACTGACCGGACGAGGACGTGGCAGGTACTGCATGTCCTACGCAATGGCAAAATTGTTTTGTCACTGACTTTGGCTCTTTACTGGACGTACAGAACACGAAGGACAGGCACAATTTCAAAGTGTTGATTATAGAATGTGAAATACGCGGCTGTCTCGGAACAAGATTAAGCAATTAAGTTCCAAGATGACAGTACACAGGAACACAGTAGTAGTAGTAGTAGATTCGAGTGTCATGGATTGCATGCCTTTTCATCAGGGATTCCATATCACAAGATCATTATTCTGCTATTCGCATGCTCAACGGAAGAGTGCAAAAACTATGATGAAAATATAATCTTGGAGTTTAATTGCACATCTTGCACACACAAATACAAGGACGTATGCGAAGAAAGATTATGCATGTTTGCATATACTTGCACCAATGTAAAGGATGCACGTACCAACCTCTACACACTTGATTCACACTAATACTAAAACAGGTGTACTTAAGTAGGAATAAAACAATATATAACAGTATATATATATTATAAATTAACAAAAAAATAAAGTTTCTCTCTGCGCAACAAAAATTCAAATATAAAATACTATAAACTCTGATAAGTGTAAATTGACCATAAAAAAGTTATTTATGCATAATGCACTGAATAAACGAGTAGCCACTGGAGTTGTAGGGCATCGAGATTCTTCCGATTGACACACTAAAGAAAGTGAACCGCTTAAAATGTGTGGCATACAAATTTAACCTGTAAAATTTCTGCTGCTCCGAATAAAAGAAAGTGACACCTGGATACAAGGCCATTTCGCTCTGTCCATACAATCTGCCAAAGGTAACTGGGATCTAGACGCAGAGACCATCTTCAAAGGGGTTTTTATCCTGAAAATAACCTATGCTGCAGTGGCATGGGGGAACACCGCAAAGAAGACGCACATCAAAAGGCATCTTCTCTTGGTACAGTGGGCAGCTGTCAGAGTGGCCAAGGCCTTTAATTCTTCATTTGAAACTATTCTAATGATGATAACGGAAAACCCATCAATAGACATTGTTGTTGCCAAAGAAGTCGTACATTATTACGTAACAAAGGCACTTTTGACAAGAAATTGTACATTGTTACAGTTGGGCAAGACAAACTTTATAAGCCTTATGAAAGAATGGTTATTAACATTGCAGGATAAACCAATCATGAAATTAAAATCTATACTGACAGTTCAAAGCATGACAGGAGTTGGTGCAGCCTTTGTGGCCTACAAAGCAGAGGAGGAAATTTACAACAAGCAATATAGGATTAATGATGATTGCAGTCTTTCAGGATAAACTACTGGCAATCTTGAGGGCAGTGGAATGGTGCAAGGCCATCTGCACCGACAGTGTAAGTGTGGTGGAAGCACAATTAAGTATTAAGCGGTCCCTCAAAGGACTAGAATACAATAAACTTTGCATGGGTTAGAGCCCACATGGAAACAGGAGGGAACGAGAGGGCAGATGCACTCGGAGAACAGGCCAAACAAATAAACTATAATATACTCCGGACCTCATATGTTAAGAAACTCACCAAAGAAAATATAGAATGCTCTGATAAAGATGTACACGTGAAATTCCGCAGGGCATCAAGGAACGAACAGAGGCCCTTGGGTGGCTCAGACCCCTCAAATCCTATCAAACCACCTGTTTAGAATTAGGCAAAGTACAAATGCCTATGCAGAGAGGACACGCAAGATACGATTCACATAATAATGAAGTGCAGCGGATATGCAATACAAAGACATCGTGCAAACGGGATTCTTGATTCTTCTAAATCGCATTTTGTTTCGCGCTAGTGCCCTTTTCCCAAAGATGGACTTATCATGCCAAATTAAACAGAGAACAGAATGATCTTGAGACACAATTTTCTTTTGTGTATTTATCAAATTACAAGGGCCACAAGAAAGTTTATATTCTAATTTACAATTACTATAGTTGAATTTATAGAAATGTCCATCAATTGACACCGAGCCATTTACACACATACCATTATATTGGTAACTAAAAGGTGGAGATGTCTTAGAAGACACATGCTTTTTACAATGCATGTACATACTCGTACATGGCGGTGCCTCATAATTTGAATTTAACACCTTTCTTGAGGCTGTTCAAACTCCATATTAATTTTCCCGTTATTTCTAACGGAAGGCAAATTAATTCTTTCCAAACCCTAAATGATGGCCATTTCAATGAACTTAAAATGGAAAATACACATAATTTAAGGTAAAAACCCAATAAAATGTCAAGTAATAACACAAACATACCGATAAACACGGCACCGGGTCCACCATGCGCATACTACTTTCAAACCTCACCCAATCGTCAGTACTACTCCCTTCCTCTTGGACGACGTTGCTAACGCATTTCTTGGATGCCGTGGAACAATTGATATAGATTCAAAAGAAGTTTCAATTCTAATTTCTCCCCTAAAATAACAATTGTTTATCTAAAGGGACTTGTTATTCCATCGTTGGAAATTAGAAGGAAAATTAAGGATGCGAGATTCTATCCTTCCAACATTCAAAACAATTTGACCAATTGGCATATTTTCTCTCTGTTATACATAACAGATAAATCTGTCTTTCAATGATTTATGGGATGTAAAATCTTTGCCTGTTATTTCATATATTGCAGAATACTGTATAACATATGGGACAGACCTTGTTATCCAGGTGGCGGTGCATAGACTCAGTCAGATTTGTAAATGAATTTAGGTTACGAGAGTAAACCGAGAGAAAAGAAATCACGTAAGAGCTTGTCGACTAAAGCTAGTTTACATACGATGACTGCCGACAATCTGTCACTCGAAAATGCAACAAGCGTGGTCTGATTTGAACAAATCAGTTGCGAGCAATCTCCGAGTCATGAACGTTTTGTGGGAAATTGAACCTGTTTGAGTTTTTCAGTTGCCACATTAAACCAACTGGACCGAAATCACACATTAGATTCCTGTTTGAGCAGGGCTGTGGAGTCGGAGTCGGATGGTAAGGAAAAGTCGGAGTCGGATGGTAAGGAAAAGTCGGAGTCGGTAGATTTTTACACGACTCCACAGCCCTGGCAGGGCTGTTGAGTCGGAGTCGGAGTCGGTAAATTTTATGGGACTCCACAGCCGTGTGTTTGAGAGAAACTAATGCTTGAAACAATTTTTGTGTATCACTCTGATCTGCCGCAAATTGCCCGTAAGTCTTGTCTGTGTGTGACAGAATAGCGGCAGTGATCGTATTGCACAAACTGGCCTCAAGGCGTGCAATTTGGCATGTTTAATGTATAAATGAATTCAGTTTTTGCCTGTCGTTAAAATCAAATTACATTTGTCAGAACAACGATCAGAATGTGGCTATGTTTTCACCGCCTGCACCAGGAGTGCCCATATATTGGGGCACGTGTCCCCCCTTTCATCCATGCTGCTCTTTTCCTAATGCCTGAGGGGATCTCAAATTCCATTATCAATAAACAACAGAAAATTTGTGAATTCTAGCCTATTCCGCATATATAAAAGAAACTAGTGAATGATAATTGTCTTTTGTCCAGTGTAATTTTGTCATACTTTGATTGAAACTTGTCCTCAAAACAAGGAGCGTTCCTCATTTTTGAGGACTATTTAGCTCCAACCGCAACCAATGCCACCTCGTGCAAGTGCCGAACTTATGTTGAACCATAGTTTGAAGCTTCTTGCATAACGTATGATGTCCTTTTTTATTCCCTGTGGGTGCCACTGGTCCACAAGAAATCAACAATTAACAAAATGCATTCCTGCACGATAAATGGGTACTAAACTATGAGGGAATTTTTTACAAATATTTGATTTTTGCATAGCCAGATATGGTCTTGCAACTGTAATGGATGGCACGGAGCAGTCCATAAAATGTAAAAAGCGCCACAAATAATTACCTGAGTATTATTTAGCAATATGGCAAACAGTCCGGTAACCGCTAACTTAAGAAAATCTTTGTAAAAATCACAACCGGAATGTAAAATGAAAGAGAAAATGGTAAAAAAGAAGAGATTTTTCTGCAACATGTTTTCCAACAGTCCCAATGAGGTCCTCTCTAATTTTTCTTGGGTAATTCTTCGCGGGATAACTGCAAAATAATCAAAGAAGACTGCATTACGTCGGAGCTTTGCCAAGTAAATTTTACTTTAAAATTCTTAATAACTAGGAAAGCGTAACTAATGGTATTTATTAGAACAGTTAGCACATTTGATTAGTTTTGACGAATGAAACCATCCCAATTAAGTACCGCAGTTAGCATCAGTTTAGCCTTGTGGCATTTTCTGTAATGTAATGGCACCTTGAACCGAGTACCATACCACGACATGCTGGCCTAACAGAATCCTTTCCATACTACGTTTGGAAGCCACTCCATCGAAAACAACAAAGAAATGTTGCATTAAGGATGATGGTGTGTCATTTTCTCTTCTCATTTCTACCTTCAACTTGCCAATTTTGTTGTGGAAACTTATTACGGCTTGAAGCCAGTAAAAGGAGACTAATAGAGTGGTGATCTGCTCAAGTTACCATAACATTAGTATGCCTGCAACATGTTAGTTTCTTCCATGCTCATCCCTTATTTACTTGCATTTCTAAAATCAAATCTATGTTCTGTTCTCATTCATTTACATAAAGCCAGTCAAACTTGGATCTTTGAGGACTCGTACAATTAACTGTAGATGAAAGAATACGAATTTACTGTACAGGTATGCACCACGCGACAACGTAGGTCTCATAGGATTATAATGAAACCGAAAAATTTGTAGCCACTCATATCTTTTCTACATTTAGATACGTTCAGATACATAAGCACACTCCTGTGTTACGCATAGCCTATAATAGTAGCAGACTATACGGTCTTCAAGCAATTATAGAAAGTTGCTTAACAACATACTTTTTGGAATGTATTTCAGTTGTTAAGTGCCACCCTTATGCTACGTATATCTTAAACTAGTATACAATATAAGCAAGTACTTACAAAATTTGACGAGAAGTACTTGGATTTATCAGATTTATGGAAGTTTCTGTGTAAATATAAATAAATAAGTAAACATAAACAAGAAGTAAACAAAAGCATAAATGATGATACCGTTTACTTACGTTTTTACACTCTGTTTCAGAAGCGTTAGAGGAGAAATCTGTTAAGAAAACATAATTATTGCTGTCGTTAAACAGTATGAGGCAATGGAACAAACGGAGACTTACCCTCTTTTCTAATACTGCATCAAAGTCTAATTTCTTAAAAAACTGTTCTTTCTTTAAGTTGTACAAATGTTGAAGACGTTTGTTCGGATCTTTACAGAGGAGCTGCCCAAACGAGAAAGGAAATTTACGTTCTGTAAATCATACAAGTGAACAGATATACTTACCTTTCTGACCACGCTATTGGCTTTGTCGCTGCAGTGAGACGGAAGCTTGTAATCGCAGTTTTCTACCAATTTATGCATTCCCGTGTGATCTCTTCCCGAGTTGATGGGATACTATTCGATCGCGTACAGAAAACACTCTCAGAACTCTCAAAATTACGGTTAAAAATAATAGAAAACGTACCTGGCCAGCCAGCAGGGCATACATGATGATGCCCAGAGACCACCAGTCGACAGCGTGGGTGTAAGGTTTCATGCTAAGAATTTCGGGAGCTGGATAGAGAACAGTTATGCCAATTTTGTTATCGAGAGTGATGTCTAGAGCTTGCAGGATACGAAAATTACTTACCCATGTATCTTATGGTTCCGCAAATGGTGGTGGCTCTCATCCCCATGCTTAACCACTTGGCTAGTCCGAAATCTATCAGTTGTACGTGACCTTCGTACATCATTAACAATGTCTTATTAATCGTAAAAACTTGATTTCTAAGCGAGAATTTGAATGTATTAAAAAAAAACTTACCGTCTTGATCGATCAGAATGTTTTCCATCTGAAATAAATTAAAACAAATTAGAATTGAGTACTTTAATTTGTTGTAGAATAAAAATTGAGCTGTTCCTTACTTTCAAGTCCCGATATATTACTCCGGTATTTTGTAAAAAATCTGTAAAATCATTTAAATTTATGGAGAAAGATTTTTACACATTTAAAATGCATAAAATTCAAAACATGCTCACCTATAGCCAATGCAAGTTCAGCCACGTACAGTCGGACAAGATCTTCGCTAAACCTGTTGTATTTTTTCCACAGGGAGAGCAATTCTCCGTGAGTCACATACTCCGTAACTAAAAAGAAATCTCTAAAGATTGTTCCTTCTGCAAGGAATCTTATCTAAACTATAATTAAATGCACCCACCTATGAATAGTTCTTTCCTATTTTGCCAACGATACTGGCATTGCACGATGAACGGATGATGACCTAACAGAGACTGAAAATAAAATATAATCGATTAAACGAGCATGCATAAAGCATTCTCTGTTGGAATTTAACACAAATTCCAACAGAGAATGCTTTATGCTTTATATTTATTTTAATTCACGAGATGTGTAAAGAAGTTTTATGTGGTCCCCAGTTAACCGAATGTGTATATTGAAGCATTTCCCCTTAGTGAAAAGAATGCACATTAGTATGTGTGATATTATTCCCTAAAATATATTGTATTATCAAGAATACACTTCTCTACACAGTATGAGATTTTTTGACTTTACCTGGTCTCTAGCCTTATCTGCATTCTACGCAAATGTTTGGGCTTGTAATCAGTGTGTAAACAGTACAGATTTTGTGCCCATTTTTCGTTAATGTCTTGTGAGTCCGCACGGTTTGATTATATCTGGAGGCTGACCAGCTTTGCCCTGTATAACATAACTTTCAACCTTTCACACTTATTTTAAAAGGCTGTACACACTCCTATAATCCTCAGACATCATCCCTTTCACTTCTATTAAGAGCAAATTCAAGTATCGTAATGACACTATCCATAACCACAGTACATTATATTATATCTTAGAGTGTTTATCAGAAAAAGTACACAAATATACTTCTTGCACCACTATCATTATGCATTTACACACATACGCTCACGAACGTATAGCACATATCAGTTTACGACAGTATATAACCAGTACATCTGAATATAGCACATACAAAATATGTTTCTTGCACCACTAAATGCTGCAAAAGTACAAAGTAAAAGAATAAAGCGAGTGTCGGGAAATCATAAAGCAGCAACGACAAAGTAACCAAAGTGCATATTAGCATTTCTTTATTCCCTAGTGTTAATATTATTCTAAGATACTTGTCGGCAATGAACAGAATGGGTTTTAGAACCGAACATGATTGTTCGCTAGTGGCTTAAACCCGTGTGTAGTCAAATAACAAGTCTATTTTTAAGTATAATTAATCAATACATTGCAGAAAACTGGGCAAAATTAAAATACAATTTCAAATTCATTTGGAATTACCTGAATAGTGACTTCGTCTTTGCACTGTTGTATGGCATTTTCCATTATGACTTTGGCCTTTGATAATACCTTTAATAATATTTCACGTAATATGTAAAGAAGTGCATTTAAAATGTTGAAAAAATTGTTAAACTCCTTACTTTCATCGCATAAATTTTTTCCGTATTTTTCTTTTTAACTCTTAATACCGACCCGAATGCTCCTCTAGCAATTTCTTCCTCGATCTAATTAAAAATGGATCGCAGATATTTAAAAAATATTTGTGTATTTTAAAATGCAATTACATAATTTGCTTACCTGAAAGTGAGATTCGTCCACTTCTCCTCTTATCGAGAATTCTGGAAGAAATATGGATTCGATGTAACGGACCGGCCAGGCCGTCTTCGAAGCCTCGTAGGAGTTTAGTAACGTCGACTGCCTCCACCTTCTGCGAGACGTACGGGACCAGGGACGCTGGAGGCTGGCGACAGACAAGCCACTGTGGACGCTCGAGAAACTGATCTGCAAAGAAAGATGGCATGTTTATGCTCTAAACATGACAAACCTGTAACAAGGAAGCACCTAAGACTGGAGACGTGCGAGTGTATAAAATATGTGTGTTACAGCAATGTCACTTTGACCAGACATCGCCGAGACAACTTACAAACGTATACATACAGTATGTTTGTATGATAGATATACCATAGAAAAGCACTTTTACTAATGTTCTTAGACATCCCGTTAGCACATACAGTGGTTTTTAACAGACATACTCTATACGCTCCCGTGTCCCCAGCCTAAAAAGAAGGGCAACTGTGATAACGTTAATCCTTCTTTATAGGCTCTTCTTTCCACAAAACTTTGTAAAATTGCTATTAAATTTCCACTTGATGCCTTCTTTATAAGGAAAGAAACTATACAGAAAGGTTGACTCTGTCATGTTATAATAGTTACGCATAATAAACCAAGATCAAATGTATCATCACTTTCTCCTCCTCCCAGCCAATAGTCTGCGAAACGGATCGCATAGAAAGTCGCAATGGCTCAACAACACGTTCGAAGGCATTTTCGGCATCCCCATTAACACGATCTCAGATAATCGAGAGTCAAATGTATATTAAGTGACGATTTGCAACAGCGACTTTTGAGTCATTAACCACGTTGAATTGACAAAGTTTGTAAAAAACAAGTTTCATTTTAATCTTAAATTAATATAAATTAAATATTGGTTTTTTAAATCAATTTTTCCGACAAAATTTTCATATACAAAACTCAGACACAAAGTCATGCATAAAACACTTTTGCCACAGGCGGACGGCCGGGTTAAGACATAAATTCCGACAAATTACCGACTCGTAAAGATTGCTTCATTTTCATCACTTAGATTTTAGAAGTTAACTTGTTAAATGAGCATATTAAATTGGTCGTTACAAAATTCTCTTTCGATATGTCACACATTAATTTTTAAATTAAGTCATTAAAATATCTAAACTCTTATTTATATGACAGATGATTTGCCAGGAAGTTTTTAATGCCATTTTATCGACATTACCGAAGCAAACATCAGTTATCAAGCTTATGACAAGAGAATATAAGCATATCAGATAATGCACTTGTTAAGGAATCTCTTCAAATGTAAATCCAATTAAAACTGCTTTGCTCAATACAAAAAGGTTAAAAAGTAGCACTTTTTGGCCATCCATTATCGGTAGACAGTAAAATTCCAATAATAAAATTCTTGGTTCTCTCGTTTACTCCTGATAATGGGCACACAGTTCAAAACTGTTATCATCGGTACACACGAGCACGAACAAGACATTTGAATATTTGCTAAAACACGACTGCATCTACAAAATTCTCTGATGGGCCAAAAGCAAAGGAAGTTTACCACATCCAGGATTAACATTTGTGCTGTTACACTATCAAAACCTTCAGTGCAATATATTTGAGTGCTCAAAAAGGTACCATTAGAATTTTCTAAGAAGCTTTCACTGTAAGAGTAGCAGTTTTAATGGAAAATTGTAAGAATAACTCTTTCGTTCTCTTAAATAATCTTACTTTTTACATTATCCTTCATCGTGTGTCTTCATTGAAGCTAAACAAATTGCGTATCTTAATTAATTAATTCACTAAGCTCCCGATGACTTAAATAATGTACAGATGTTAGAACACCTTACTTAATTACAATTACACAAAAATTAAATTTATAATGCTAGATTACAACACATTTTCTCTCTCTACATCCTCAACGTGCTATTTAAGCCCTCTAACTTTTGCACCCTCTCCTCTCTCGGTACTATGAGCTCAGTATCTGAGTTTGCAGGATTAAAATAAATAAACATCGGCTTACCGTTAAGAAGTTAGTCGACGCTTCCTCGGCCCCGTGCATCAAAACAAATGCGAGCCATCGGGACAAAACCGAATGCAACGGTCGCGTTCCACATTTATCAACAGTAACGATAATAAAATAATTATTTTATGTATAAATTCTTAATATTTAAGAACTAGATGATACTATAATACACGAAAGGAGGTAGAAAGGAAGGCGTACAGTCACCGGAATTAGATTTACATGTAAGCTAAACAAGCTTTACCTTAGGGGACCGTGTTAACAGGTGCCTCAGAGACTGTTTACACGCATTTCCCATTATAATCCGGCAAAGGAGAAAGAGCCCAGAGTGTAAATCCGGCTCCGACGCTAACATTTGTACGCCGTTAAGCCGACCTTCCCCAGATATTCCATGCATCTAGACGCCAAACCGACCTACACTCAATTTAGCATCCTGGAAGTGTTTTTCGTTTATTTATAGCTTCGTACAATGGAACAATGCAGTGTTAAGGCCAGTTCGATCGAGCATGTCTGAAGTGTTGATGAAGCAACCTTCCTTACTTAATGATGACTTTTTAAGTATTAAACACTTATTCTGTGACGCTGAATGATTAGAAAGAAAAGAAATTTAGTGATTTTATGTGTTTTTATAAGAAAATAACACTGTAATTAAGTATTTAAACTATAATAATTAAGCTAGATTCAATTGATAGGAGGTGATATGTAGGTAAATTGCATGTGTATTTGTATACATGCAAAACACTTAAAATACAGTCCTACCATATAATGTATGACTCACTTGACTTTGTGTTGAATGCCATCTTTTATCCAATGGTGCTATCTTTACAGACTTATTTTGATTGTTTCCCATCCAAAATACACTTCAGATCACCTTTCTCCTCCTCTCAAATGTCTCGATCGACCGTTTCATTATGAGTCAATTGTCATTTGTTTACTTCCTGACCACCTGCTCCTTTCAAAATGGCGACCAAAAATTTTACGCATTTTAATTGGTCGATTTCGAATTAATTTAATTTTTCCAACCGTTCGATGAATTAATATTTAATTAATAAGGAAATTTTACGATAAAGTATTAATTTGTATCAAAATATCTTTAAATACTTCTTTTATAAAATTATAACGTCATTTTTGATTCGGTGATAGTCCGTAAATAACGTCACGTGATATTAAATGACCAATCGGATGTAGGAAGATGAGAATTTAAAATATTATAAAAAAACTTATCGTCTGTTTATTTAGAATTAAATGTTTATACATCAAATTTATTAGTATAAAAAATATAATAATTTTCTTATCGTGTGTATTTTTTATGTGGAAATGACGTCATTCGTTTACTTTTTTACGATTGAATTTATAAATGACGTCATTAGATTTAACCGTTTATAAACAGGGAAACGTTCGAACAATAACGTTATATAATTTTATACCGTAAAAATAAACAGCAAAGCATAATTTTTTAAGTTTCTTCTATACATATTTTTCATTGAGTAATTTTTTAATTGCATAATTTATTTAACCAATCGAAGCACTTATTTTAATAGAAAATAAATAGAGCAAATCACGTGACTAATTTATCCAATAACAACTGGATAGTAAATTACACGATTAAATTATTTCGGTAAAATATTACAATTTTTGTATCAAACGAATTAAAAAAAAGTTAAATCAGGTTTAAAAATTTTAAACTTCTAAAAATCAAAACGTAATTTAAAATTTTGTGACGTGTCGTGTGACGCATAAACGAATCACGTGACGTATATTAACGATTACATCATACGATTACTCTAATGCGAACTATTATTTAATAATAACAACTTATTAATTATACTTAATATATTTAAACGAAAAGCATTAGTTCGTTTATTATAAATAACAATATTTTTCTTTTAAAAATACGAGACTTATAAAACACGCCAAGTGATTGACAGAAATTTAGTCACGTGATAAGCGCGAACGAATAGAAGTAGAGGATCGTCTCTGGTATTAGTAGAAGGTGAAAACAAAGATGGCGGCCATGGCATCGTTGGGGAAACGACTTAACTTGAATGCGGCGAGATTTATTCGACAGAGTAGATTAATGTCGATGGGTACACCACCCGAAGTAGCAGAAGGTTGGTTATTAATTATAATTAATTGTTTTTAGCGTGGAATTAATGATTTAACCGTTTTACTAATGTACTTTACCCTTACCAATGTACATGCTTGAATTTACCTTCAATATAATTAGATTTTAACCACTTAAAGCAACACAATTAATAATTAAATTCGTTTAAAGTCGTCCATTTTATCAAAATTAAAAGAAATAAAATGCCATGCTTAATGGTAATTAATGCCCATGAGTTAATTAGGTTTTGCTGGGAGTCAGCATTAATTGCAGCATTAAACATGGCAAAATGTAATGAAATTATTGATAAAATGGATTTAATAAATGCAAATCTTATTGAAATTGAAGTTATGAATGTTTTCAAGGTATTAATTTGCTTAATTAATCAAATCTTTCTCAATGTTAATCAATGTAGCGTGTCGGCTTCTTCCACGGGTATTGCGAGCTTGCAGTAGAAGAATTTGGCCTCGTCCTCGCATAAAACAATACATTTTAGGGACCCCGTACAGAGTTTTAGAGGAACGTGGCCTCGTCCGATCTCTGACGTGGTGCTCGAGAGATTTAGCGGGTGCGACGGTGCTTGGAAGTGTCGAAAATTGCCCGAAAGGATGGAGACGTAGTGGATCCGACGACGCGTGGATCTCGTCAAAAATTGCCCGAAAGCCTTGGAAGAATTGCATGCTCGCACCGTTGTTATTGCACGAGTTTCTCTTATAGTATAGTAATTTTGATTTCGTGGTTAATCAGTATCACTGTAAGTTAACAATTGCAAGTCTTGAAGGATTTTCCCACATTTATTAAATGTGAAAAATGCTTCAAAACTTGCAATTGTTACTGCTGTAATGTAATAATCTGTAAATCCATTGGTAAATAACAATTTAGCCTTCTATCTGGGAATTATTCTCGCAATCTTCTGTTGTCGATGTCTCTTACGCATTAAGACAAATCAGAAACGACTTTACAGACATGTTAATATCCAGAAATTTCTCTTCCAGCCGCAATGAAGAAGTGGAGAATGCTTACTTTCTTAGTGGCCTTGCCGAGCGTAGGCATCTGCATGGTTAACGCCTACTTGGGCGAAAAGGAACACATGGCGCACTGGCAACGTCCCGAATTCAAGCCCTATGAACACTTGAGAATTAGAAATAAGGTAAAGATACGCAATAGAATTCTTATATCCGAGACGTAATACTTTATTCTAAAAACTAGTTAATTTTTAAAAATATTATCAAGTACCGAGCGCGTAAAGGGTTAAATGTGGTAATATTTGCATCATTTTTAAGAACAGTTTACCGTAATCATTCTTTATATTAGCAAAGTTGATTGTAAATCTGTAAGAATTTGTTAAGATCCATCATAACGCAGCCGCAATTTTACCTCTAGAATTTTGGCATTTTAAAATCACATAGATAAATTATAAGTCCCACAGCTTAAGTGTTAGATTTTATACGAGTCAGATTTTACAAATATGTGAGCCTTTCACAGCCCAGCACATGTATTTGTAAAATCTAAGTGACTCGTACAACGTGGAATTCATATAAAACGGAAAAATCAACAGTGTTTTAGGGGGGTCGACTGTATACTGTATAGAGCTTGTCTGGAATGCTGTAAACAGAATACAGGATAATAATAATGGAATATCCTACCATATTATCGTACGAAGTGATTCTAAAACGGGAATAAATGCAAGGATATTACCATTTTTACGCGTTAAATCTACGAAATTCTGCGTAGATTTTTGGCTTAGGATCAACATGCTTAACGTCCTTTTTATTTTGTTTTTATTTTATAGCCATTTCCATGGGGTGACGGCAACCACGGCTTGTTCCACAACCCTCACAAGAACGCCCTACCCGAAGGTTACGAAGACGAGTTGTAGAATTTAAATTAAAATCTTCCACGAGAAATTTGTAATAATAATAAATAATAATGTTAGAAATGGTTTACGAATGTCTGTAAAAAAAAAAAAACCTTAGATAAATAAAGTGATGAGAACGACGGGAAGTTGCGTAATTACGTCGGGCGGAAGTGACGGTCGTAACGCGCATTTACGAAACGGTTGTGTTCCGTATCGCCGCGTCGCAACCGCCGAACACGTGATCGGGGGTCAAGTTAGGGCGGAGAAGGTCAAAGTTTGCGATTTGCAGCAGCGTTTTACAGCAGGATGCCGCTGTGCACGTTCCACACCAATCTGCCGAAGGAGAGGATTCCCCACGATCTCCACAAGCAAATTTCCGATCTGATCAGCAAGATCCTGGACAAACCCGAAGCGGTGAGTGGGCCAATTTCCATCGTAATCGGATTAATTACGATTAAGGAAGCGAGTTTAATCGCGTTGAAAAGTTACGAAATCGATCGATCGTTCGTTCCTTTTTAAGCCACGTGATCGATCGTAGATAACTCGGAATAGCATTGCGTAGCGTAATTCTCGCGCGACGACAGCGATTCTAGAGACGTAAATTCCTCGCTTTGTCTAGAATTTTGTTGTTGCATCGGCTCTTGTTTCACTTATGTAGTCTCCACTCCCAACTGACACCATTTCTGAATGGGTGGTGCTTCCTATTATGTAGTTATGAATTAAAACATGGTTTAAATTACACTAGTTGCCGTGCAACAAATGCTTGTTGCATGGTAACTTAACCTATTGATGAATATTGCAATAGGTTATTTAAATGCGAGTGGGTATGTACTCAAATTAGATGTGAACCCGAGCGTGTCGACTCTGCCCTTTGTGACGCAAATCTCTGCCGCGTATACGTCTGGAATTGCCGAAAGACTGGCCGTAGTTTGCCGCGTGGCTGCTTCGTCTCTGTTTCCGCAGCGTGTCGAGTCGCATGGTGCCGGTTCCGGCATAACGGCTGGTATACGCTGTATTAACACAACTCCGTTGTTTGTTTTGTATTTTAAGTTTACGTGGGGATCAAAAGTGATGAAAAATAGGACGACTTTTATTAACCGACATGGGTCGTTCAAATTGTACGTGTCAGTAGAATAACTCCTCGTCACAAAGTTGCGATTTTTTTGGGATGACATGGGCATCGTTCTCCTTGATTTTCTGGAATGTGGCTTACCGTGACTAGCGAGCGGTACTTTCACACTTGAGAAGTTTGGAGGTTTTGTTTGGTCTCTTGTCCTCCTTGTGGGTGAGAAACAAACACCTCTGGCAATTGAAAAATTTGGTCAGTTGATGGTCCTCCATCTGTGATCTGGTGCCCTCTGATTTCCAGCTGTTTGGTCCAATGAAGAACAATTTGATGACACAGAAGAGAGGAAGAAGTGGGTACAATAGTGTACATCTGAAATTTTTCAAAGAGGATTCCAGAATCAGGTTCAATAATCTTTGTGTAGAGGAGTTACTCTATCAACAAGTGGAATTTGAAAGAACTGTGCCAGTAAATATAACAGTTATGTCCCTTTTGCATTACATTGGGTAGTCTTGCACTTAGCTTGGCAAGTCTGTGGAGCCCGTTTGTGTATCTTGAAACTTTCACGATGCTAAATTCCTTCAATTTTTGGCTAATATAAGTAACTAGAAAGATATTACTGTTTAAAACCACTTAATTTTAAACAGAAAGTGACCGTGATAGTCCACCCGGACACTCAGATGTGTAGAGGAGGAAGTGACGATCCTACCTGCATGTTGGAAATTTGGTCCATCGGAGTGTTTTCCGCGGAAAAGAATCCCAAATACTCCGGACCCATCTACCAGTTCATCAAGGAAAAATTAGAGATAGCCGAAGACAAGTAATGATCTTTATTTGTACTAAAAACAACCATTGCAGATTTTTCTTTTCATAAAAATCTTCTCCTTTACAGAATAGTGATCGTGTATCACGATCTAAAGGCCGAGGAGCTAGCAAAACCCAACTAGTGCCAACTCTCTGCGGGACGAATGCAGATTTTTACTCTTTACAGAGTTATAAATAATATAAGAAAATTTCCATTTGTACAAATTGTTAGATTGTTTAAAAATGCATTATTCTATATAAAATGTTGATTTTAAAAAGTATCTATGTACAATTAAAATAATATTTATGAATCCGCGCGGTCGTTTCTCTTGTTTAAAACGGCACTTCAACTCAGTAGAGAGATCAGGGCATCAAAGAACTTGGCACGATCTTCGGTCCTCAACTGCACCACTGTAAATACAAATGTAAGTTAACGGTAGCAACAAAGACATGGTTTTACCAAATAAGATACTCACCCGAAGTGTCAAAGTAGTCCAAAATCACTTCCGCCCGAGATTTGTGAGCAGCCTGTTCGAATGCTTTTCCAAAGAAACTGAAAATATAATTTATAAAGTTAGTTAACATATTCCCATAGTGGCGATTTAAGTGCCACTTTATACTAACTTCTTTGTCGATTCTTCCGCTATTGGTGGAATGCCAACCACAAGACTCGTTCCCACACACTCCAGACTCGGTGTTGCCAACACCAATGGCATATTCCTCAGCCTCCTATTCTTCGTCTAAAGTGAAATTGGTTAGTTTGAAATTCACAATACAGATAAGTTTATAACGAAATCAACTCACCGCAGAATACTGTGCCTGTAGTAAGAATCTTGCCAGCATTCCAAGGCGCCCCGGAGAACCAAAATATTTGGCTTCTGGTAAACCCTAGAATGTAAAATAAACAGTTTATATTGTCAGTTACACACAATTTCATTAAATTTCACACAAATTTTAAGCATATTTTCTCCAATTGTTTGTTCACGTTCTGGACAAACATTCCTAGGATTGGCTTGTTCGGTTTCCATCCTGGGTCGGCCACCAAGCAGTTATTTTAGGCTTTTCGTTTATAGGTGAAATACTAAACGTTCTAATTCTTAAAATTATAAATAAAAAACTCCCCGCCACAGAGACGATGACTACCTCTTCGATGGCCGCGTATAAGTAGGGTCCAGAGCACGTCAGTTGCCTCAAATCCAAAATGGTCTGAACCTGTTTGAAGACCGCAGTCAGCTGCAATTTGACCATTTCGATTCCCTTCAAAAGTAAGTCCGTGTTCTTCCTAAAATGGACAATTTCCATTAAATTTCAAGTTTTGAACTGGTACACGGGGACAAAGCAATGCTTACTTGGCCAAAGAATCCAGAGCCATCAAGAATCTGTCTGTGGGGTCACTTTCTTTATCCTGTTACGATTATAAAATTAAATATATGTCGATTAAAGTAATAGGAGCAAAATCTGTAATAGGTAAACTTACCGCCGTTTCCAATAGCGACAGTGTCGAGTAGACTACGTCCGCGGCGCAGAATTTATTCCGAAAACCGTGTTTTCCCACGAAGGATCCGTAAACTATGTCATCCAACCTGTAAAAAGAATAACTATTTTGGTAGGGAGTTCTCTATTAAAGTCCAAGTCTATTAAAAGTAAATTGTGTGTGTTTTCACTTATTTATTTATTTATTTAGGTTTCAAAGCAGCTTTGAAACAATAAAATTGTAATAACTGACTATAAAAGGCAATCAACACCCTTATACAACCAATTGACAGTTTGAAACCTCTCCCATTTCCTACAAGAGAGGACGCGTAACATAATTTTATTGTTAAGAAGCTCTTTTGAAATAAAAAAAGTCCGTCTGCAGTGTTGTCAAGTTATTAACTCGTAACACTTCACCTGGAGCAATCTGTGTATCACGAATATAACGACAACATTTAAGTTATCTCCCAGGAGGGCTTTGGAAAATCACTCGTATTTAGATGGTAGACACACAAAAAACCTAGAAAACTATGTGGCAAACCCACAACCAACTACCACTGTTCACTGGTTTTATCTGCTTGGCCAGTGACGGGGACAAAATTGTAATATGTTAATAATGATAACCATTAATTTAGACACATTCTGTATCAGTCCACACAGACTACTTCTGAATACGGATCAATAAACAGATGGCCAAGTCATCCGGCTTGTCACTGAATGACCCAAATCTTGAATCCATAGATATTGACTCACTAATCACAATCTACCATCATAACGTTATCTATTCCTATTGAGGACTTATTCATTTATTCATTGTATAACCCGCAACGAGCTTGCAAAAGACCTGCTCTTAGTAAGCGCTAGTCAGAGCAGAAACTCAGACGGGATACCAAAATTAGTTATTGTGTTACAATAAAAATTGTAACATCGGACACTCGACGCATGGAGTTTCGATTCCAGGAGAAATTGCTGGAAGAGAAAGTCAAGATTTTGGCACTGGCTTCAATCTTTTGTTCTACGGTGTAATCACAAATTCTCTCCATAGTGGGCTGTGACCATGTGGTAATGATGTAACTTTTTAATTCTTTCAACTTGCGGTCTGCCTGTAATGGCATTGCCTCGTTCCTGGAATCTCCTGTTTCCCTGACCATTATAGAATGACTTTATGATATCCGGAGAAATAAACAAGAGTTGTGTGTGAATGCTTAGCGGCAAACAAACATTTCTTTGTACACTCGCTACAAGTTTTAATATTCTTTAAATATATTTAAGCATTTAACGAAACTAATGTAATCAAAACTATTAAACATAATGAATATACGCACCTGTATTTCTCTGCAAGTTCCTCGAACCAGATTATTACATTATTCCTCAGATGCATGTCCATGGCAGGAAATTTCTGTTTACATTCCACCAAAGGTAACCTGTTTAATGACTCTTAATGAGAACTTTGCATTATTAAATCATTTCAATAATAAAAATGTCTCACCCCATCTCCGCTAAGAATTCACAGAGTCGTTTCTGACCTTTCAGGCTCCACAGCCTGAATTTACAGGCGGTGTATGTAGTGTGTTTTAAACTCTCGTACAGCGACCAGTGCCTATATAACGCTAGCTGCAAACTAAATTGAGAGTCAAGTACAAAAATTTACAAGTTTATAGGGTGTGTAATGTACAAAATGAAAATAAAGGATACTCTTTCTCAAAGGAAATGCGCAGCGAGGTGACCGATTGTACATTTGTATCTCTCACAGAACTAAAAATAGATTTTGAAACATCAATTTAGTCAGAATTGAAGGTGCGGTAGACTCGGTGTGTATCTTACATGTGATTGTGGCGCGAGACGTGAGTTTGCAGATTTCCTACTTGAAGAACGTACTTATCCTGTTCTATCTTCCTGAAGAGATATTGTTCGGTTAGGCCGACTATTGCCCACCTGTTGGCGATGAAATTACATTAAAATCTTTGAATAAAATGATTTTCGTATACATTTGATTATACTCACCAGAGAAGATCATTCGTGTCTTTTGAAAGTTTCCACGCCAGTTCGAACATAGCTACAGCAGTCTGTTTAATAAATAATGTCACCACTACGATATAAACCCATTTAATTTAATGTTTAAAAACTTACCGATATGCCGTAGTAACTGAATTGGGTGTAGTCAAACATTATCTTTTGTCTGCAGAAAAATCATTCCATTTTAAAAAGTCTTAAAGAATTGGCACACAAATCCAAAAGCATAAACCTACCTTTGTTCTTTCCATAATCTTCTCTCTCGTCGACGCTCGAGAACTCTTTCATTTAACCTGATATCCGAATCGCTTTCGTCTTCCGACTGAAATAAATTACTTTAAAATTGGCCCCCATTTAATCTATAAAATAGTTTATTAGTGAAAGAATCACCTCGTCTTCTCGGAAAATGTTGTCGAATTCGGGAATGCCTTCGACGTCATCTGGTTTAATCAGAAGGCGAACCTGAACACCGTTATAAATATTATACACGTCAACTGGCCGATGGCTGTAAGAGGAATTTACTTTAAAATTCCGCTAACTGCAACAGCATAAATGTAAACGTACCTATCGGCAATGTAAAATACGACTTCGTCTTTTGGTTGTAGTAACTCCACGACGTCTATCGTTGCTCCGCAATTGATCATTATCACGTATTTCACCTGAAAGATCACACAAAAATTGCCGATTTACAAAACTTCACTTTACACACAGTCATACTTTACAGAATGTGTATGCATAATCTGTAATACCTGTTCTCCATGCTGCTTGAATGCTTTCACCAAGGCAGCTCTACCAGGTACTGGTATTAATGTGTATAAAATATTGTCGCAATGGAAAAGATACTGGTCGGAGGAAAGAAAACTATCAGTTACGTTCGTTTTCTATTTATCAAACAATTATAATTACTTAGGGAAAGGCAACTTACTTGTAAAATTCTACAGGCACACAACGAATCTACATCAAATCCCGCTAATATCAAAACTCTCTGTAATATATAAATTAAATTAATAATCTAATTAAACATTATAATAAAATAATCTAATTTAAAACCATTAAAACAATAAACTAGAATTAGTAACCTAATTAAACAAATATAAATTAATATTAAAAGAGTTTAGAATGGAAGCAAATGTTCATCCCTTATTAATGGAAACAACTAATCTACCATATTTATGCTATTGTAAATATAAAGTACAGAGAAAGGTCAGAATATATGCATTATGCATCACCTCTACAAAGTTATCTACTACGAGGCAAACTGGAGTGACTCAAAACTGATGCACACAAGCAACAAAATTAAGTGTTGACTCATAAAATCCATCGACGACACTAATTTCCATCTCGATTTTGCCACTCGTACATCAGTCTCACATATCGGACTTTCTCCCCTATTTTCTGAAGTCGTCTCTCTCGTTCCCTCCATCAGGAATCCTATATACTGGTTTCGCATTTCTAGTAATCGCATGAAATCCCCATTACGCAATAGCTGTTTTCTGTAGAGGTTTTATCAGTATCAGTCCCATCCCAGTAGTTATCACGCCACAACATATAACCCAGTACTTTCCAAGTGACACAGACAACTTTGATGCTTTAAAGCAAGGTAATGTTAAAACACCATTTAGAATATCTGATTTGTCCTAGACTCACAACTTTATACATTATCTGGATCCATGACAATGTATATTTTAAGTCTTTCACAAATGGTCCGACCAAATACATTGGGCCCCCACCCCCCATTAGCCTGTCACACCAGTGTTGGCTGGATTGATGGGATAAGGCAACACAATACAAGAGTAATCTGCCTGCAGGGAAGACTTTCTACAGAAAACTGGCGACTATTTGTGTTAGACAAATGGGAGAACCAAGAAAACGCCACTTCGGTTGAGATACAGGCAAGTCGAAATGATGCGAGTGATTAGAAAGGTTTATCGAATTGAAATTATTCGATTACTCCATCTTGTCAAAATAACTAATGCGGTCTTTCTGCAAGACGGCAATAGTTACTTCTGATGTACGTTCCTTTGAACTAACTTCCTAGCAGATGGATAGACCAAATGAATCCTATGGCTCAGCCTGCATGATATACCTATAAAGTTTGACTTGGAAACATATAAAGGTCAAAGTTTACACGTCTCCTTTGCCACAAAAACTCGATAGACCCAAAGGATCACACAGAGCGGTACAAATGATAATCTAATAAGGTAATTTTTACCTTTCGTCTAAAACAGATAGTAGATTGGCCAAAATTTTCTATTTTTAGCATTCTAAGACGACAAACTTTGTAATAAAACTAAGAAAATGTGATTTTAAATCATTTTGAGGCATTAAAATGAAAGAATTAAGTGAAAACTGTTAAGAAGAAGCATGTTTTGTGTCTTTTCTGTAGTTTTTAGTTTGAAGCAGCAGAAACTAAGAAGCTCGCTTCTTCAAATCAGCAAGGAGTCATCGTATTAAACAACAAAAATGTTAATAAAATTACAATTTAGACCATTATTATTATCTATAATACTCGACAAGCATTAAAATAAGCAAAATTCTTTAACAAAACACCATTTATTTTGGTAAATTACAACGAAGAGTCGGTACAAGTTACTTTTAGGTATATAGTACGTATGTATACATACAATAATTTTACTAAAAGTAAATCCTACTAAATGGAAGGTTTTAACTTGAATTACTCACCAAAAAAACCTCATGATTACAGAGAACTTTGTTTAATATAATTTAATTTCATTTAAATTAATAATTTCTCATCAAAATAGACATTTCTGAGCTAAAATTCATGCGTGATTAGTCAATTTCATAGCTAAAACCACGTGACAACACGGAGTTTACTAGTTTATGGACCTTGTAAGATAATAAAAAGCACTATACAATATTTACGGATAGTTTTTTTACTTACAGAATCGAAAATGACGTCGTAAAACTCCGTTTTCATGTCATTTACAAACATATTCGATCTAAAACCGTCTAAACCACATTCAAAAATAAAATGGCCTCCAGGTGATAGACGATCCCGCCAATAGATACAAAAACACGATGACGTTTTATAAATCGTCCAATGACGTTTGGCGTTTTACGGAATTTTAATTTTTTTTTTATTTTTTTTTAAATCGTTCATTATTAAAATTAATTTTGTTATATTAATTTATTTCGTGATTAAATTTATAATTTTTTTAGATTTATGCGGCTCTGAGCACAGCCTAGTCAAATGGGGAAAATACCATTGAAGTGTCGCGTCAAAACGAAAATATTTTCTCCCGCTAGACGGAGCCCTAGCGAAAAAACGTGCAAACCGCCTCAGGTATCGACACACGTGTTCAGAGCAAATGACTAGGCTGTTTTTATTGTAGGCTGTGCTGTGAGGGATCCGGGTTCGAGTTCGATCCGGATGCACTTGGGGTCACTTACGTAAACGTCATTCATTTTAAGAAATTCGATAGAGCTTTTGGGAATTTTATGGGCCAGTTTGGGATTAGTTGTACTGTACAGTACAAGGCAACGCGACACTGCCGAGAGAGGATTATCCTCTCGGAAGGACTTTCTTCTGGAAATTGGCCCCTATTTAGGGTGAAAAAACCGGAAAAACTCCACGTAACAGGCCTAAGCGCGAACTACCAGTGTTAGGCGGTTTCATGCACTAGCGAAGATCGCTGTGACCGGGAGAACCACCCTAGGGATTTTTCATGGAGACGAATATTTCGGGCCCGTTTCTCGCCATCCTGCCGTTCCATTATGGGCCTGGTGGAGCACGCTATGGGTATGACTGAAAAGATCCTCTGAAGCGTCAAGATGTTGGGCAGACGTCATTGCGCCGTTGGCATTTGTCTCACGATCACACTGTCATCTCTAATAGTGATCTGAATGAAACATCCATTGTATGATCACCATTTACGCGCGCCATCGTGTATCACTACCCCCAACACCTACTCAAAAACGGTCTAGATGGCCAACAATTCGGCGAAACGACCACCATGCTTCTCTGTCCCATGTGGCCTTTCTCAAACTCCATCAACTGTGTGCAATAAGCTTGATTGCGCCAAACAGGCATGTCTGGTGTTTGAATACTTCCAAACAATAGATTCACTAAAAACTTCTACAAGCCTTTTTATAAGGTACCGGGGTAGCATTTTAAGGTCCTTTTTTTTTACATTCTTGCCGTTCGGGCATTAAGAAAGGTTTTTCAGCCGTGCTAATCACGAAATCATAATGGAATAACCAGATTTTGAGACAGGCTCCGAAATATCCAGGTCACACCAGCCTTAAAATTTCTCAAGTTCCACCATGTAAGCGAACCCCAAAATTTTACACTCATTACATGGCCGCTCTATTATAATGTCAGGAGTTCTTCACGGACAGTGTTCTCTCCCTCAATATCCATTGTGAGCCAGGCCAAATCCCATGACAGATATGGTTAAAAAGGCTCTCTTAGTGACGATTGAAAAAATCAGTGACAAATGCCATTACATTTGTTTAATAGGGAAGATAATCAGAGCCTTATTACTAATTACGAATTAGATCTGACCGTTCCTGGATTTAAACTAGATTCTTTGCAGTAACGGGTTGATACTTTAACGCTCAGTTGGCAGACCGACCGGGTTACGGAACCGCCGCATCCGCCGATTCTCCAAAATGCAACTATTCCTAACCGCAAATATTTTATTTCAAATAAAATTATATGTAATAACTTTCAAAATCATTTACAGATAATTCTCTAGTCAAAAGTATAGTTTTATTTGAATAATGTCAAGTTAATAGCGTGTCGTCCAGTTCTTCCTCCTTTGGTTCTGGTTGACTTGCGACTTTTTTCAGCACTTTGTTGACTACGTCTTGTAGGGCGTCCCTTGCTCCGGCGTCCAAGTTGTTCAGACACATCTGACGGGATGAATTTGTTAATTAATACTTTTCAGAGGAAATCGATATCCGAAGAATGCGAAAATCTAACTCACCTGATGAGTTTCGTCTCCTTTCCTCAGTCTCAAAATTGCTACTAGAGCAAACTCGCTATTTGCCTTGACGATAGTATTCTTTTCTTTTGTTCCATTAACCAAATTTGGTACCAATACCTTCATTACCGATGGAGGGAGAGGTTTATTTATGACTTTGGCAACATAATTGGCTGTTAGTGCTACAATCTGCTTCACTTCATTGGTGTTGTGGTTCATGCTCTGAGAATAAATGAAGAAATTAGAAAATAGGTAATGCAAAATAAAATACGATTGTACAGTTTATCAATTTTTACCTTCGAAAATGAAAAAGTTAAAGGTTGGGAAACATTCTGACCAGAATTTAGCATGTGACAGAAGTAATAACCCGTTCCTCGAATTCCACTTAGCACAATTGGTAACTGTAAATGGCTCTCTGGTTAGTTTTATCAAGTTAAAAAACAAAAAAAAAAAAAATTATTCGAACAAAAACCTTACCCTGTCTGCCGTAATATAAGCTATTAACGTCTTGGTTATCCTGTCCAACCAGTCGGCGGTGAGAATCTTTTCTGGTGCCTCCTTCAGTGCGATCATTAACGCCACGCTCCTTCCATGCCTTACAGTCCATTCTAGTGTAGGATCGTCGTCTATTTTTCAAATTATCTATCATTAGAGCTTGCAAAAACCATATAAAATCTGTGGTAGGTTATGTCTAATTAGTTAAAGTGGCAGCCTACTGCTCTAGGGACCTGGGATCAAATCTGGACAGCATTGTCTGTCCAGATATGTTGGGCCCATTCCCGACCACCTGGCCATCCCACTGTGGGATTGCTAAAGAAAGACCATCTCGATGTTCACAATATAGAGAGTAAAAAAAGTCACTTACCTAATAAATATTCTCTTGCAACAGCTGCTAATTCATCTTCTGGTAACCACATGCATAAAGTGCCAAGACATGCCGCAGCTACAGTTCTTGTAGTGTCATCGCTTTTGAGATAGTTTGACACTAACATTGTTATATTTGACCTTATGGCGGGTGACATTTTGTTACCAGCTTGACCAATTACGCAGCGTAATGCATGCAGCATCGTTTCCCTAAATTTTAAAAGCAATTTAAACTTTACATTTTGCTTTACATAATAATTTTAGTAACATTTTTCAAAATTTAACATTACCTAACAGATGTATCTTCAGTAGATTTGGCACTGGTATGTAATTCATTAAATAAAGGATCGCACCTTGTATGAATAACTATTAAATGGCTTAGTGCATTTGCAGCTCTTAGCCGAACTAACCGATGCCCGTCACTTAACGCCTTTAGGAAAGTAGTTTGTAGTTGAGGCAGAAAAGGTTTCAGCATTACTCCTACCTAAAATAAAATCACGGTTTAAATGATATATAACACTAATTAAAATATGTGAGGACAAGTCAAATGAAAATAAGCAAATGCGGTTTATTCACAAACTATTATGTCTAAGACGAATGTAATTATCAGCAACATTGAGGCATTTGTTCAATTGGGTAATGAGCTTGTGATTTTGTGTTCATAGAAGTCCTCTCTATATCAGAGGCAAACCTACGATCCTTCAGGCTTTCTTAATTCTCCGAACAATATGAAAGTTGCAGGGTGAAAGGTCTGGACTGTAGGGTGAAATCTTGCAATAATTTTGCACAACAGTCAAGAATGAGCACTGTGCTTGATGTTACATGGCACGATCCTCTTGTTTGACAATGTGAGACTGCACACTACCAATGTGGCTCAAAAGAAGCTTAAGATCTTCAAAAGGAAAATTCTGTAGCACCCACTCTACAGTCTGGATCTTTCATCGTGCAATTTTCCTGTGTTTGGCAAACCAAAGAGCCGAAAACTCTGTTTGATTCGGATGCAGAGGGAAAGGTGGTGGTCACGAACTTCTGGAAGCAGAGGCCAAAGGGCTTCTAAAGCACAGAATCACTAGACTCATTTACCAAATACCAACTAACGAATTAGCAAGAGACAATATCTCAATGCTAGTAGCCTTTACTTTTAACTTAGTAAAAGTTTTCGACTAAACTACGTTGGCTCACTTTCATTTGACTTGCTTTACTACAAGAAACTTACTTTTTCTAACAATAAAGCCAAAGTTTCCAAGACGGCAACTTTGACATTCCAACTGAATCTGTCGCCGAGTATGCGAATTAATGGACCAGTAATATGTACAACAGACGGTTTCAATGCTTCACTACTTGTTAACCTAATGACTTCTCCCAATCCCTGAGCTGCCTGTTCTTTGAGGTCAGGCGATCCATTAAGTATGGCTTCTCGGAATATTGGAAGAATCGGTGTTATTCCCTAAAATAAAGTTATTTTTCAGAGGTTTTTTAAAAATATAGTTATGATATAATATATAGAAAAAAAAATCAGACCTTAGAAAGACAAAATCCAGGTAGAAGTGGCTGTCCTTTTAAATCACCCATGGCAAATCTTACCGCTAGCCGAACATCGGCTACATGTTGTAATTGCTCAGTGGCATCGAGAGTCTGAAGAAAAAAAAAAAACATTTTATAAATTATCAGCAATATTTAATTGGGTAATTTTAAATGCTCGATAAATATAAATAACCAATGTAACTTCGTCGCCCAAGCTACCTAAATTTAATAATTAATTATCAATACAGAGTATCAAAGTGGGTTGATTACTGTATACAAAACTGTAGTATCACTCTAAAAGTGTTAATGAAATAAACAGAAATCTTTACCTTAGTAACTGCATTCAGTGCTTCCCAACTTGAAAGCAAAACGTGTTGGTCTGAATCTGTAAACAGATGAATCAAGCCCCTCAGTAATTGCGGGACGTGCGCGCTAATGTCGGCTTTTGACTGATAACAATAGGTATAAAGTAAGGCAACTGCTGCTCGCCTCTGTGCTACAGATTCGCTACGAGCTGCTTCTAACAAGTGATCTATAATTGTTCTGACTCCTAATTCGTCGGTAACAGACAAAACAACTGCTTGACAATATTCTAGTTCCTACAAAAGCAAAACGTGTTAGAAAACAAATTAATGTAACGTATTAAACTTATTAATGTGATTAATTAGATACCAATTGTTCATTGGGTGTATCTAATGCTGCACTAAGTGCCGACAAAAGAGCTGGTAGAATTTTTCCCAGATGTTTAGTAAGAGCGTCTCCGGCAACAGAAGACAGAAACGATAGCGCTTTTGTATTGATAGGAGGAGCAGTTAACTGAAAATGAAATAAATTATGAGCTAATAATATAATCAAATAGTAATAAATCCATTTCACACTATCATAGTTTTGGTGTGGAATTAAAGTTGCGCTGTCACCTGGAGCAGTTGGAGAGAGGAATAAGTTGGGTTCCCACAGTGAGAAAATTTTGACACGACCACAGCTCGGAATTACACAACCACGACTTTTTGGGATTTAGGCTTGCACGATCTGCTCTGCGGCAGAAACGTCGCACATATAAAACCACTACCATAATAGTGCGAATTGGCCTTTATACTAACCTGAGGTATGAGATAAGGCATTACAACTTTGCTTTTAATAGCCATAACTTGCCTCAAACCATCCAGTGTATGGTCAGATAAGAGTGGATCATTCTGAAAATATAAAATTTTGAATATCAATAATAATATAAAATACAAGAATTTACGATATAACTTTTCAAAAGAAACCGTACCAATTGTTGCAAGAGTGAAGGAAGGATGTCATCAAGGGCTCGGACACCAACTGTAGAATGCAGACTGTCGAAAGTCTTAGCTGCTGCCTGTCTAACTTCTGGTAGAGGATCGCATAACGCTCTCCTATGAACAAAATCCAAATTAATATTATATTGCAACAAATTTGTAAAATCTAAATAAGGCAATAGGATCAGATTGAAATGCAGATGCTCACAGTGTTTTCTGGCCAACTAAATTAAAGTGAAAGAGAAAAATACTTTCACATTTACAAACCTGACAGTTGGAACAAGACTGTCGACAAAAGTTAACACCATCTCTCTGCTTGTCGATGCCATTATTTCACTCAAACCAATACAAACTCCCTGTCTCTGATCGGCTCTATCCGAATCAAGACCTCTTTCCAGTATAGGAATGATTTCTGGTAGAACACGTTCACCTAATTTACGAACCAAGTCGCCTAATGTCCTTGCGGCAACCTTAAAAAGAGAAATTATTGTTGTGATTTATATCAATTCTTGATTTTCTCCTGAAACAGAAACACTCACCTGTCTTTTGTCATAGCTATTACTTGCTAAACATCCAAGTAGAAGATTGAAAAGTGTAGGAAGTAATTCTCTTAGTGTGCGAGGTGTGTTTGTTACTACCACCTTCCATACGTGCAGTGCTGCTTGTCTTACCATGAGTGCAACGTCTGACCTGCCCATATACAATCCGGCTAGTACGCGATTCCTACGTTCTTCACCAAGAGCATACAGTATAGCCTGTAAAATTTAAATGTTCTGTAAAATACCATACATTTAACACTTTTCATAATAAGAAGCTTACGCATACCTTATGCGATTGTTCTGTTCCAAAATTATCATCTTCATCTGCAGTTTCAGTTGACATTTTACCAGAAACACCTAAAAAATATAATAAAAAATTAATTTGTACACTCACGCTAATATATTTCAGTTTGGTTATTACATAAAATTACTTACCAGATATTTTATATAACAAATCGCCAAGAAGCTGAACTGAACTATGACGGATACGCCAGTTATCGTGAAACAGCCCCTTTTCTAATTCGGGAAGCAGCAGAGTTATAGCCGTATCGGCATACATATTTACGATCCTCTGACCAGCTTTTAGAGCCGTGTCTCTGACGAATTCGTTTTCGTCGGCTAAAGCCTTTACGTAAAACACATTTAAATATTTAAACACAATTAAAAAGTAAAAAGACATTTTAAAACTAAATTACCTTCAATATTGGAGTAATTATATGTCCAATGTAAGGCATAAATTCCTTATTGAACACCATAGGTAAATAAATAAACATCATGATGTAACCATCCTTAACGTGAGGAGCAATATCAGATCTTTCAGCTGTAGAAATTATTTCTGGCATAAGTTTGTTCAGTTTTTCCACGCCAAGTCCACCCATTACTTCACTTAGACCTGAAGCAATGCAATTTTATAGTTAATGTTTTAAAAAAATAACACGAAAGGCTAAATTTATTTACTTAATACCTTGAGCGGCACCAGATCGATCGACGGAACTTGCTTCAGAAGTAAGCGTCTGCATTAACCACGGGAGTAGATCTTCGAAGCTGTTTTCTCCCATTCCTTTAATCATTGCACCCAGTGCTCGAGCAGAGACACTTCTTACCTGTTATTTTATAGAAGGATTTTAATCTTAAGATGTTTTGCTTCTTACTACAAATATTTTTCTATTTATGCATGTTTTCTCATATGTATGAATTTAGTATAATGCCTGGAGCCAGTCTTGCTAATTGTGCTGCTGGCTTGAGCTTCACGGAGTCTGACTCAAAGCATTGCTAAATTCCTTGCACCAATTCTTACATTTAATCAACCATCATCCACAAGGATTCGTCTAAATTTTGGACTTACCTCTGGAACTGGATCCAATAACGATTGCTTGAGACCAGGAATGATGGTCGGTAAATACGGCGACAAATCCTAAAATGGAGTTTGTAATGTATAAACGTTTATCCGAGGTTTTATAAATGAATAAAGTTTTCATTTAAAGTAATTTACTTTTTGATCAGTTAACGAATACATGTTTCCGATAATCTGAGCTGCCATCTTACGGGTTTCCGTTGACCTATCTTGAAATGCCCTCTGTACGACTGGCATGATTAAAGCCAACGACGGTGCATCAATAAAATGAACGAATTTTGTATCTAGAAGAGTAGCTAGACAGGGTGACGTTTTCTTTGATGGATCTTGTAATGCATCCAACAATACAGGCACAATAGCTAAAATAAGTAAAAACAATTCACGTTTGTAGTGTATGATTACATAGTCACGAAACCTGGTTTTTGCAAAGATTACCTTGAATTTCGGGATTTCTAATCACGGATCCAATCTGACGGAGAGCCTGAGCACCAGCTTTCTGAACTTTCATGTGGGAGTCTGACAGCACTTCAATCAACTTAGGAACTATACTTGGCAAACAAGACGATAACTGTTTTGGTGCACAGAAAGCCATGGCCCCTAACAATTCTACAGATCCTGAAGTATTTTTCATAAGTAAGATTAAAAAGAACACAAAAAATTTATAATAAAACAATCACAAGTATTGTAATAACCTGCTTTTGTTCTCCACGAATCTTCTTCAAGTGCAGCTAAGAGAGAAGGAAGTACCAGTTTTACTCCATGCGCACTCAGTCGACTCATTACTGCTTTAGCGGTATCGTCGGTAGCCTATATCGCGGTATCATATAAGTAAATGAATGCAATGAAAATAAGAAAATTTATGTAATTTTTAATGGTTACCTCTCTGACATACTGGTTACCGTCACCAAAACACAGCAGGAGATGCGGCAAAACGTGCACGATGTAAGGCTCGAAAAGTCGGCCCAGCATGTTACATAACATTTCAAATGCAAACAGTGCACCTAAAAAAATAAATTTATGGTATTTTGTTGCCTGTGTAAACAATGCAAAATTATTACATACCTTCTCTATGCCTGTAATTCTTTTTATCTTGAATAGCATTTGTAAGTGTTTTCATAATATCTAATTGTTTCAGTGACATGATTCCTAAACCTTTTACTAAACCAGCTAAACCATAGGCAGCACCTTTCCTTTCTCCATAATTCTCTGAATCTAAAAGAAGATGTAGTAATTTGGTTACGAGTGGAGGAGCTCCATCTTTAATAGCGGGAACCAACGGCGGCAAACAGTTGGCCACAGCTTCTTGAACCTTAGGATAATAATTACAGGTTACGTAAATAATTAATTAAATCATGGGCTCTCGCGGTCAACAAAAACAAAAATTTACCTGTTGAGACGGCGTTGAGAGAGCCTCAATCAATTTTGCCACAATTGGTTTAACTTTCGGATCACTCTTATCTAAATGATGAGCGAGAGTTCCCATCAAAATCACAATTCCTTGTTTCACTGCATCGAAATTAGAAGAGTCAGGTGCTTTGTCTAGAAAGTCTTCAAACATCGGTAGGAGAATATTGATCGTTTCCTGCCAATTACAATGCAGTTACAATTAAATATAAATTTAGATCTTAATTTAAATACAGAATTCAATTACCTTGCCGTGATATTCCACGATGGCAACTGAAGCATCCAGCATATGTTTCCGCACTGTCGGATGCCGATCGCCAAGACTGTCGGAAACGAAAAAGGCCACCAAGCTCGACACCATGTCGGAGTCTAAAAGAGGAGCCATTTTGTTTAGAGCCATGGCAATTCCGACGCGAGGTACCCAGTTATCGGGAGGAGATTCCGAAATAACTCGTCCGAAACTATCTAATTTTGGAGGCGATTGCTGCGAGAGAGAGAAAGAAAATCTTTTTATATGTGAAAATATTTTGAAATAATGATATATTTAAACACTTTAAACATACTATTAAGTGTTCTTTATAAATTATAAGCAATTGATCAAGTGTTGGTTGCACCGAATCTTTATACTCTTTTAGAGCTTCAGCCAAGGCTTCTGCTGCTGAAGATTGTATTTCTGTTTCTGGATGAATGACATCATTAAGAAGATTAAGTGTCAGTTCAGGAATAGGATGGAAATTTACTTCTTCCCATAAACTATTTAATTAACATTTTATATAAGAATATAATTATATTAAATTTTTCTAAAAATTTAAATGTAAGAAAGATGTCTTGCCTATTTGCTAATTCGCTATTTTCTTCGTTAGGATCGAATCGTGCAACCCATATCCGCTGAATGAGAATTACGGCATTTTCTTTTTCGAATTCCAAAGACGGATAAACTCGTTGAAGCACCGCGAGAGCCTAGGGCGCGTAAAAATAAATTTCAGTTTAATGACGAATGATATTATTACAACGCAAGAAACAAATGAAAAGAAAATACCTTGAGCGCAGTTTTCCGGACCAATTCGTTCATTGACAAGAGAGCATTTAGTAGAATTTGAATTTCTGAAATCGATGCTTTTGCGCAACCATTCAGACCACTTCCCGAGCCAGCCACGTCCAAAACTGCTTTACAAGCAAATTGCTAAAATGCAGAATTAAATAAACTTTCTACCTTTCTATCTATACAAATTTACTCGTAAACAACTCACCTGTACGTAACCCGATGTATTCGCTATTACTTGCATCAGAACTTCCAACATTTGTTTACGAGGTAGATAAATAGGGCTTTGCTTAAATTAAATTTTTGTACGTAAACATAGAGAATATACCTTATGCAAACAATTTATTACAAGAGAATTAATCCATTTACTCACTTGAACGACTTGATTTTTATCGGCAGAACCGTGATCTCTCATTTTTCCATGTTCGCTAATGATATTGAGCGTCTTAATTATTACTTCTTCTGGAAGATCAGAACTGTTAAGAATCCAGCGCAACAGAGGAAAGTAATATGCAAAAGCGAGTGCAGATAATCTTTGAAAACGAATATTTGAGAGATGTTCATCGTATTCAGAATCAGAGGGTTGACATGTCAAAGAATGCAGAAAATTAATTATTTTCGTAACCGCGACTTCCAAATCGATCTCTTCCCATTCGGTATCAATTGGGCAGGCGGGTTTAATTACGCGCAGTATAATGTAAGCCAACGGCAAACCTGTAGACGAATATTTATTTTTATGTGATTAGAGTTACAAATTAGATTTTAGACTTAAATAACATATATATATATATGTACTGTACATACTCCAATCTTCTAGTTCTTCATTAATTGCACATTTTCTGAGTTCTAAAAAGACTTTTGTGACTAAAGGAGCGCAGAGTGGTGACGGCATGACCGAGATAAGAAGTTCAACCAGACTAGTCACGTGCACTGCCAAAGCCAATGCTTTCCCTTCGATAGCAGCATGGAGTAAACTTATGGCATGCTTCAGTTGATTATCTAACTGAGAATAATGTTACACTATTATTACTTTATCAAAAAGTATTTTAAAAAATAAAGAGTAATAATACATTATAGTAAATCATTGCTTTTATAACCTCATACTGTCATATTTCCCATGTCATTAATTGGAATTGAGTTCTCAGAAGTATGCTTGTAACAAGCCATTCTTTCACACTACAAGAACTCGTATCGACATCCAAATTACACGATAGAACACAAATCTACTGCTACAAATATCTTTACAGGGGGTGAGACCACCCTAGATCTTAAATAATATAATGAAGATCAAAAAAAGATATGCCAGTTCATACAGTTGTAAAACATAGAACGACTATATATTTTTATACTGAACAGTACAAACAAAAACACTTAATAAAAAAGATAACGGAAACAAATACACAAAAAAGAAAATTATTGTAATAAATATTTAATTTGTGCACCATAATTCAATACAAATTACTTCAAAAATACCTCTTTTATCCTCGAACGAATGATCGATTCTTTCTCGAGCTGGATCTTTTTAGCTTCTAGTTGTTTTTTAGTAAGTTCGGGTTCTTTCAACAAACCTTTCGCCCTCTTCTTCTCTTCTAGTTCCTATTGTAATGTATGTAAATCTTTTAAAGATACTTCTTTGCTTACAATTTTACTAGTTATAAAAATTTATGAAAAGAAACTCGGAAATGCCGACTTGCCTTCCTAAGTTCAAGTTCTTCCAATTGTTCTTTGTAGGAATATAATTTGCTCTCTCTCTTAATATTTTTGTCGATGTTAATTGTGTCTTTCAAACTAAAAAGAAAGTAAACTTATTTATTATTTCTTTAAAAATTAACTAACTTTTATGCAATAATTTTGATTACAAATAAAAGTGTTTAGTGTGTAATTCATATACGGCATATACATGCATATATAAATTTGTATACGTTATGTGTCGCTATTAATTAATTAATTAATTTTGGGGCATAGATTGGACTGATAATACATCTGCATGGTAAATGGAAGCAGCAGGTCTGAAACCTCACTAATCCAAACCCCAACAGTCTGAAATTCTGGCTAAAACGAACAACCAAATAAGAAATAATTCAAGAATCTCTCTTTGAACAAAATACGTGGCCACTGTGCTTACCCTGTGCCACTCAGAATAGCGAGGTTGCGGCCAAAGTCGTAGTCTCTAAAACGTGAACGTCAAGTGCCGCTTACAAGATAGCAGCGCTCGACATTTGCGCTTTAGAGACGACAACTTCGGCCACAACCTTGCTATTATGCGGCGTGTACAAACCACAAAAATAAATTTAACATTTGTTATTGAGATAAAGCAAAACCATTCACCTATCTCTCCTTCCTTTACAGTCATATACTCACTCACAGAAAGAGGTAAAAACCTCACTACGTATGTAAACCAATGTGGAGGTTTTGAACCATTATATTACATCAGTCACCTTAACTCAATCCAATTACAGTATATGGAAAAACCTGTCAGTAACAAAAATGTACGTGAGAAATAGGAATTTCAAATCACCCGAAACACACTAATCTGAACAGATTCGGGTCCCAATCAGCAAGATTCTACTGTATTTAATAAAATAAATAATATATTTTAGAATATTATCTCTAACTTTCTGCTATCGGTAACGTATTCACTGTTTACTTATGCACTGAACTCAGTTATTAAACCATCTACTGAACTAATAGCTTGTTTGATCTGTAACAAAGATAATATTATTAAGTAGCATCACTTGATGTTTGTTTATTCTTTTACAAGCAAAATGTGGTACTGAATAAGGAAGAACAAATTCAAGTTATTCATGAAGTTGCCTGTTAACATGCTCATCCGGATTTCTACCAATTGTAAATGGCAGTATGTTATTTCGCGACTTTACGGCAACTATGGATTACTAACATCGAAAAACCCGTCTTACTCGGTGCCACGCTTTTCCTATAAAATAAACAAAGATCAACATAATATGGTTCCAGACTTATGGGATGATGTTTTCCTTTTAAGCACTTGAAGATATTTAGTACATTATACACATATCATCATTAATCATGGTTTGTTTTATATCAATAATTATCAGGGCTGTGGAGTCAGAGTCGTGGAGTTTTGGTGTTTTAGTCGGAGTCGGATGGTAATGAAAAGTCAAAGTTGGTAGATTTTTACGCGACTCCACAGCCCTGATAATTATTCTATTATTAATAAATAGGAGCACAAGACACTATGTAATTTTTGATTTTCCTTAAAACAAGATGATATTATTAACAATTGACCTGTATAATATCCACATATTTTCTATTAACTATGTTTAAAATATTATCTTGAATTATACGGAAAATATTTAACGTGTTGATATATAATTGAAAAAGCAAGGAACCTACTTTTCAATGACACTATTGTCATACAGTTGACCATCCGGAGTTAAAAATATATTATACTCTTCTTTGGTTAGTTGAACGAGAGCCGGATTACCCAATAGATGCGTGACTTCTCTTACGACGATAGGAACATAATCTCCGGGAGCGACATTAACCAGCGTAGTCACGGCATTTTCCATTGGCTATTTATCAAACATAAAAAACGCGTTAAAAAATTTTATATCATACTTCAATGTAACAGAGTTTACATATATAAAACTAATAGGAAAAAAGGGCCCATTTCTCTTGCTTGGCTGCTCCCATTGCAGGCTCACAATTGAATTGACAATGGGTGAAGAAAAAAGGCCCTTTCAGTATGTTTTTATGGTGTCTCTCTCTTGGCAATTAAATTGCAAATTCAAAATAACAGTCAACAGTTATACACTCACCACAGTAAATGGACTACTTTTAATTACTAATGAAGTAATCTTCTCCTTTTCTGTTCTCAGAAATATGGTAGGCTCTCTTTTGAGTTTTCTCAGTAATTTTAACCATATGCTCTTGTTAGATTGCACATTTCCTGTCAAAAAATGTCACAATGTTTACATTAAAGTATATTTTTACATATAAAATCTGCTTTAATTCTACTTACCGAGCGCAGGTAGATGAGAAGGTAGTAAAGTCGCTATTCCTAACTGATGGGCGTCTAACGGGTCCAAATTTGATATCGAACAAAGCGTTACTAAACATTCTAATAACACGTGAGAAGTTACAAGTGGAACGTTTTCCGTAGCGTTGTCCGACTCCTTGTTTTCTTTATCCGAATCAGAGTTCTTCTCGTGAAAATGAATTGAATAAACTTAGATTTTGAAAATATTTAAATGTAAGGGATTAGCGTTTTCTCACCTGTATTCTGAGATTCTCTGCATAAGCACTGAACTCTTGTAATAGTAAACAGGCCAGTTTAGCCCCTCCTAGTGAAGAGATCAATTTGCGAGTCGTGACCTGAGCCTCTCTCCGCAGTTTCAGAGACGGACGAGTTAGAATATATATTATCGCTCTCTTAAACGGCCTTTGAGAAATAAGCAAAGAATAAAATTAAAAATAAACAAATGGTGTTTAAATATTACATAATTTTGTATAACAGTTTGCATTTATTTTAAATATATAAATGTCACTAAGCCTGATGTATTAATAATAAACCAAATGATCACAGAAATTAACCTATTATCAACACGTTAACCGCTGTCCGCTATTGGCAGTCGTACTAATTAGGGCTATACGGAGCCATTCGACCGCCTGGCGTCGCTATAACTGATGTAGTTTCACTCAAGGTTAAATTATCCAGGCTTCATAAGACGTTTACATTCTAGTGGTGGCCTCTCACGCACATCTATAAAGTTGGCTCCGACCACTGGCGGTCGAATGGCTCTGAATGACCTTAACTACTATGACTGCCGGCACATCGGATGGAGGTTAACGTGTTAATAATTACTAATACTAACAAAAAATAACTCGATTAATCATAGAAATTGTTTGGTTTATCGTTCATTTTAAATTTTTATATAAATAAATATACATGTTGCTATGACGGATATCCAATAAGATTATAATGAAACAATTTGTAGCTGCCCTTACTTTTTTAAGTTTAGATACATCATAACTACTTCTCATTGTGTCACGTACGGCCTAAATGAATAGTAGACTATACCTGTGTCTACAGAATACGTCATAGGCTTGACAATACTTTACAATTAACCAAACAAATGTCAAATTAAAATAAAAATTAACTAAAATATTAAAATTATATATTTTGTAAGGTTGTTTGATGATAAATGACGATGAGGTGCAATCTTTGCTTGTCTCGACGACAGGATTTGCAACTCATCAACCTATGCAAGCAAGTGCGGAATGACATCTCTTATCAAACCATCTGTAGTATTTTACGAGGATCTGTTTTACACTGCTAATGCACTCCAAAGACAGCTAAAGTGGAATTTTAACAATTTAAAGGGGAAATAGGAGATGCAAAATAAAGGTCGACTTTACCGTAGTCTTCCTGAGACTACATTAGCCAATCCTGAAGTGTGAAAGCCGAGGAATTTCGAAGACATTCTTACTCTAATTTAGTGTTTCTTCCAAACTTGTAAATTTTAACTATAATTATTGTCTTGGAGTTTTAATCGACAGTAAAAATCAATACACTTTTGCCTCATTTGAACAACTGGTAACATCGTTACTAAAACTGCTTACTCAAACAAATAAAACTGAAACATTACCTTTTAGTGATTGGAAATTCGGGATGATCCAGAACCAATCGTTCGATCATCATCAGGACATACGATAAAGCTAAAAGTGAAAAGAATAAATTTTAAATAATAAACGAAACACTTTCGGTTAAGATATTTTAACATTCTAATTATTTAGTAGTTTCCGATAATCCGTCATTCCACTTTCAGGAGAAATCTCTATACTATAGGGTATTCTTAGAAGAACGGCAGGATTTCGCAGACACCTAATTGTCAAATTTTGATGACAAAATGTAACACGTACATAGATCCATCACTTGGCGGTCCGAGCTTCATCCAGTATAGGGTAATCATGTCATTTCTCTTTATGCCTGCTTGGGAGTGCTGCAGTTATGGACAACCACCTCTTCCAGTGGCCGAGACCTAATTCCACGAGACTTTTTTCTTTGGGTATACATAAAAGACACAGTTTACATACCCAAATATTATAATTTCTCTGGGGCCTACTGGTGGCCTAATGGATAAAACCAACAAACAATGATAGTCGGTTGTGGGTTTATGCCCAATCAACGGGGAGACGGTGTAGTTATCTGGATTTTCTTTGTGTCTAACACCTAAATAAGGTCCAGTTTCCCAAAGAAAGTCCTCCGGGAGGCATCCTCCACCGGCAGATTCCCAACTTGCATTATCGTATCCCATCAACTACCTTACCAGAACACTTCATGTAATGCATGTCACACTCGGACAGCTAGTTACGTCATTTCGAACCGAGACACGCAATGAAGATAAGAAATACAGAAAATACGTGTGGAAAATCCCACCATTCTTTTATGGATACCCCATATATAGAAGTTGATAGCATCGTATGACATTCGATTACTGAAAATAACTAAGAAAGAAAATACGGAAACCTGCTCACCTTCGTCGCTTGCAGACATCAAAAACTTTTCGGATAAAAATTGATGCTTTTCAATATCGACTAACATGTTTATCACATTTTTTAATTTATTCTCTGAAAAAATGAAATTTCAAATACATACTACAATTAACAAACATTTAATTACTAAACAGATTGCTTAATTATATTTAGAACTGAATGAGAATTTAATTACAATTGTTCTAAAAAATACCGCACTACAGTCGACCCCCCTATAATTACGGTCCCTATAATTACAATTCCTATAAAACTATGAAAAAATTGCTACCGGTATCCGTAAAAAATAGTAAAAGTTCCCTATAAACACCTCAAACGTCATCGGGCAGCCGAACTACTTTCCCGCCGTCCGTAGCACCACGCTACGGAGAGATTTCTATCGTCTGGACAGTATTATATAAATTATATATAAATTAGGTACTGTACATATAATTATATATTAATTATATATAAATTAGGTACTGTATATATAATTATATATTAACTTATTGTAACTTTGTTATAATTAAATATATAATTTCCGCCGTCTAGCGTGGCGCCACGCTACGGAGATTTTTACGCTAACTATCGTCTGTCAGTATGTAAATTAGGTACCGTAAGTCTAATACAGTACTGTAATTTTATACATTTCTTGTGAAAGAAACATTTCTTATTCAACGGCGATTAAAATTATTTATATTAATGATGTCTCCGAAGTTCTACGAAGTTTTCACAGAAAAATAAGTTGTTAGAAATCGGCCGCTCTTTGCTGAGCTGTTCCGCGACGAAAACAATGTTGAGCAATGGCAATGTCGAATGGTGACACTCGGTAAGTAATCCTACAATTTTTTGTTTATAGCGTAGTTTATACGGATTATTCCCAAAAAATATATACGTATTTTGGAAATGTTGAGTCGGATTAGTCTAGAATCGATTAATTTTATGGAAGAAAATCTTTCAAACAGCCGTAGTCCGTAAACTTGACACGTGTCGGGTTGTGATTGGAAGGATTCGTAAGAAATCGGATTCCTAGAGAATGGAACGTATCTCTATCTTATAGGGGGGTCGACTGTACATTAACCAAAGCAAGTTTCTTGATATTTAACAAATCTAATTGTATGTAGGCATTTCAAATGCTGCTATATAGATACGCATAGAAAGTATAATTTATTTTGAAGTAAAACTAACTTTTTATATCTAATTAAAGAGAAATAAAATGCTTCATAGATTCATAAAGCTTGTAGATGATTCTTTTGTCTTAAACTGTGTTGGAATAATCAGTTAACAAGCTGCGGAAAAGGCCATAAATCATGGCCTTTCCACTAGTGCGATCCAATAACATATAGCACATATTTAATTTTGTAGTCATGAATTTTAAGTTATGAGGGCACGCTTTCCGTTCCTTTTTCGATAAAGGCATCGACATAAATTCAATTTATGTATATTTTTGGTAAATGTATGTACTTAAAACACACGAAACACACAATCTTAGAATTACGGAAAGCTTCCCAACTCTGAACTAAACAAATGGTGTCATTATGGCAATACAAAATGGAGAAACAAGGAAAAAATACCTGTAGTGATTGACTGATAAACAGCCACTAACTTAGTCTATTAATAGTACATTTTCTTCACTTTATCTAACGTACAGTTTGCAAGCTACATTACGAGTGTAATTATTCTGCCGTAGCTTTAAAGTAAAGCATTAAACTAACAACTTAAAAAAAATATTTATGCAGAAAATCTCAAGACGACATCAAAATAAAACATGCAAAACCAATAATATTAATTTTTTGACTTATTTTAATCTTCAAAACTATAAATGAACCATTTCTGGACACCAAAAAGTCCACTAATCAGCGCGTTAAAAATAAGCCATTCGCGGTGCCGACAACAACTTCAATTTTATTTCTATTAATCAACACATCGTATCAAATTTATGATTCTATGTGTTATCCCGTGACGATGCTACATGCTTAAATTAAATCAGTCTTTTAATTTAAAACATTTTTTACATAATTTATTTGTTTAGTGTCGTGTGGCAAATTATTCAATAGGTTTATTTAATTTAAATTTTCCAAACTACATAATAAAAGTAATTATTAATTTGTTCGTAAATTGTCGTTTTAGTACTGTACTGCTTCTTGTTCGCTGTATTTAGGATCTTTGGAAATAAGAATAGAATTGCTATGGAGAACTTACACTGTTGATTGGTTATGTAGACATTATTATATAAAAAGGAAATGCATTTTGGGCTATTCAATTCTCTTTGGTCCTTATTATTATAGTGTTCCTGTATGATAAATTCTCTATAGTAATTGAGAACATAAGGGAAATTTGAATAAGCAAATTTATTAATAATTTCGGAGTGATGTTTAAAGCCGTGCCATTTTAAAAATCTTTTTAACACATTGACTGCTGTCTGACGCGCCGGCAGTTGTGCTGGTTAGGGCCGCGCAGAGCCATTCGAATGCCCGACGTCACTATAATCTATATAGTTTCAGTCAAGATTAAATTATCCTGGCTTCGTAAGATGTTCTTTTACATCTAATGGTGGCCTCTCGCGCACATCTATAAAGTTGGCTCTGACATCTGGCAGTCGTATGGCTGTTTGCAGGCCTGATTGGTACGACCGCTGGCGTGTTGGATGGCGATTAACGTGTTAATGATAATTCTCTAACAACTTATCAAAGATTGACAAATTTATGCCATTTCCAAGTAACACGGCAATGACAATTTTAAGCCATTCAATTGATACTAGAGTTAAACATTACCAAATAAACTGCAAAAATGTCGATGTAGATGTAGGTTAATGTAAACAATTAGCAGTTATTTATTGCCATGCAAATTCTGAAATGACTCGTTTAATCGTACATGTCACAATATTGAGTGCGTCGCCCAATACAGCTGGATAAAATGTTTAAAACTTAAATAAACAGTCATAAAAGTTTACATACAGTAGTCCGCTTGTCCACAGTGAACTGTAGATCATTAAAATTAAGTATAAATAGAAAATATTTACCGGCCTCGACGTCGGCGCTCCATAAACGCAACAGGAGACAAGCGCTACTCAAACCTTCTATGACTAGAGATAATTGAGATGGATGCGCGATTGCTTTTTCTACCGTTTTTATGAGCAGAGAGACAAATTCCATGGCTTGTAGCAATGTGTTACCTGAAATAGTAATATTAATGTATCTATCTAAAGCAAAAACTTTGCAGACATGAAAAAACTGAATAATCTTACCATGAAATGCTGCAATCATGCATTGAATGTATGCATTTCTAACAGGTGATGTTGATGTTTTCAAGCTGATACCAGTCTAGAAATTTGAGAAAATTCTTAATTTCTTCTTCTAACAATTGAATATTTATATCAAATTTATAAATTACCTTAAACCAAGCTGTAAGCCCGTCAGGTATTCTAACCGTAAATTTAGCGCACCACAAAGACAGCATTTTTAACGTGTGAACCAATGTTCCTTCGTGTACTATAAGTACAAAATTATAAGTAAATAATACATTCATCGTAATACATATTTTTATGTTTTGAATTTATCATGATTACCTTCTTGTTTTAATATGAGAATAAAGTTTTCTGACACCGTTTCGCTAAGAGCCTGTACGGACAAACTACCGTTTACCATGTGATAACTCAGGCTGCCGATGCCGCTCAATATGCCAATTCTTTGCGTAGTTACAGTCAATTTACCTTCCGAACCTAAAAAAGTGATGTTAAATAAAGAAAAATCCCTTTGTTTAGGTCCAGTAAATGCATTTAATTTTACCATTTAAGATGCCAAATAAATGTTTTAGAAGTTCTTCTAAGGGAGAGGAGCTGCTACACTGCTGGGCTAGATTCTTACAGGCTATTATCGCTTCTTCACGGCAAATGTCATCCTTCGAATACAAGTGAGCTGTAGGATAAAATGCCCAAAATTTTATCAAGTTTAAAATTATTAAAGAATTAATTTTATTTAATATTTTGAATTTAAAGAAAATTCGACTCACTCCCTAGACTTTTTCCAATGTCTACCGCATACTGACTTAAATCCAGAGATACGCCAGTCAGAATAAAGCCGACAGCTGCAATGTAAATATATGCATGTAATTAAACGTCCCGATGCACAAAAATACCCGATCTTAAACACTTACTTTCTAAGATAATTTCGGGATTACGCAGCATGGATTTCTGGAGAGCTGGGAGAAACGTTTGCTGAAAGATTTCGTGTGTCACTTGCCTTAATATCGGCTGACAGTTTTCCTACAAACAGAAAATGGTTTATTAATGCATTAGCACAGAAAACATTGCTTTGAAATCATAACCGAATCACTCGTTTGTCTAAAAATACGATTTTATAATAAATTTCTATATCGGTTTTCAATGTGCGCAAAACATTTTCACATTGTTCGGTGCATTTCCCTTCAATCTCCAAGTATTTTCGTACAAGACAAGGGGTATTCGTTAATTGTACTTACAGTTTTTGAGCTAATTTTGACCCCCCCCACTGTAAACACGTGTTTTTGGCGTCAACATCTCTTCGAATAACGTCAAATGTTCCGCCAAATACAAAGAATCATATGTCATGTGAAAGTGTCTAGAATTTGAAGGAATCTTCAGCACATTCTTTGAAAATATGTTTCAAGAATCATGCAGAAGACATGTGAAATAACAGTGGAAGAACTCACAAACAGTAAGATTTAAAATCAATGCAACTTACTAGTACGTATGGAGGTGGTTTCACCTTGCTACCAAGCATAACTTTAACAAACTGATCCACAAAATCGTTCTGAAAAAAATAAAAAATGAATGAAATTTAAGGAGGAAGTTAGAAGCAATAATATAGAAGAATGAAATCTACCTTTGATTTTCCTAAAATTTCGTTAAATTTTGCTTCTGATAAATACTTGACGAAAAAACTCCAAAGGATTACGGTCGCGTATGATGGCTCCAGTTTCAAAATAATGGTACTGTAAGTTTTGGAAATCTCGCTGCTCTAAAATTATATTTACAATAGCTTGATTCGTACAGTGATTTATGGAAACAATGTTTACAGAAAATTAATTTTAAGTGAAAAAGTACCTGCTTCCATAACAGAGAAAGCTTCTTTAATGCTTTCTGATTTAATATGTTGCATCTTGCTCCTACTACAGATGTTAACAGCAACGATTGACTCTCAACCTGTTTACAAAATAATGTGTAAATGCTCAGATTTTCTACATAACAAGGAATTTCCTATCTATTTTTGTGTGTGAATTTACTCACGAGTTGCCGCTTGTCTTCTTCCGAAGATTTGTTCTTCTCGTTAAGGATAACTTCGGCTATGAGGCAAGTCCAATTTAGTGCAGTCAAACACGTTCTAGCGGTCGACTTCCTACGGGGAGATATTTAGAAATTAAAAGAACATTTTAGGAATGCTACATAAAAGCGAAAATGGCCGACTTACGTTGCGTTGACGTTCTTATACTGGTAGGCAACGTCGTGTAAGACTTTGATAAGGCAACGATGAGAGACCGATTGGTATTTGATAAGCGTTTTGGTGTAAGCCTCGACCAAGTGACGCGACTTACTGTCATTGTATCTCAATAACGTCAACTGGAGAACCCTGCAGATACCTTTGATCACGTGATCGGGAAGATCTGAGAAAGGAATACTAGATGTTATTAAGTTGTGCTACCTCAATACATTTAATTTAACACATAAATATGAGTTCATTAGACACTTTCATTGTGTCTTCTAATAGATTTTTACTAATTTTATCCTAATAACAGCTAACTTTAATAACATCACACATGCAGAACAGCTATAGAAGAGAAGATGCAGATGAATGTACGACAGTGAGAGAAAGACTTTATATTTTATTCGATACCTTATCATTTATCCTTCCTTATCTATTGAAACGAACTTTATTTAAATGACTAAAGCGCTATTTATGTAACATTTTTCAACACATTTTTCTAATTTGATAATTAAGAGCTTTTCGTACACGGTCGAAAATATTCATTTTTTGTTTATAACTCGCCCAACGGACGTATGAAATGATTTCTCTAAACTAATTTACTCCTCCCCGGACATAAGACATCTAGGTATCCCGCTTGGACACCGTCAATATGCAAACTTATCTCTCGTGCAACGCGTACTAAATTAGGCCGGAGTTTACGTGCAAGACACCGGACTTTGAGCAGCGGCATGTTTTGTAATCCGGCTACTTAATACAGTCCATAAATTTAGCTTTACATGAAGCAAAGTGACAATACTATACTGCAAAATATGCAACCAATAAATATTTAAGCGTAGATCAAACTATTGTTTCATAATTTCTGTGTAGGTAGAATATGTTTCTTCCAATTCTACCAAATATTCAATGCAACTTTACTGTAAAATACAGTGTTACATACAGTTTATAAAAGAATTAACTACGTTTGTTGAATGTTTGTTTAATCCTACGTTACATACTTAACAGCGTCAACCCCCTAATACACAAATAGAAAAAAAGCTCAAACTTTTTTGCATTTCTTGATGTTTGAAGGTCGTCCAAGTCCAAAAATGTAAAAATCTAAGATTGTTTTTTTTTTTTGCCAATTTCCATACTTTTCCTCTGTTATATATAGCAGACGGGAAAGTAATAAACAGGATAAGTGTATTCTGGAAGTGAAGATGTCAGAACGCACTTATATATATATTTTTAATGGGTTTACATGCATCATTTCCATCTAGATTTCAACCTTTTTCTTCAAAAGAAGTTATGTTTTAATTACGGGCGTGTGCCACATAGCAACAGGAATGAGAAATATGCCATTATGTGAACATCATGGAGCACACCAGAATTTATACAAATCTATATAGTATAGTCTATACATAAAACAATGGTAAGTATTCATGTATGTAAACACAGAAAAGTTATATGGCAGCTATAGACTTACAGAACCACCGTTGTTAAGCAGTGCATATCTATATTAAAGTTTAATCACTAAATGTTCGCTTATAACAAAAAAAATAAACGAACATCATTCCTATTTTANAGTAAATAAGAGCATTAAATACTGGTAGTTGGTTCAGAGTTCGCGCCTCACTAACGTTGGCCGCTTGAAGATTTTCCGAGTTTTATCCGCGTGTCTTGACACCTAAATAGGTGTCAGTTTCTGAAAAATCTTTCTGGAGGCATGTTCGCACATGTATTACATTATATACCAATTGTATCTCGGCTAGTTACCTTTTTATTTATTCCCACAGATGTTTATTGGGATTTAGATCCGGTAAACGAGCACACAATAACATCTCAAGATTTCAAATATTCTTTCACTATCTTAGCCGTATGAGTCAGACCGTTGTCGTGTTGAAAGACAAAAGTTTGTTCTATTCCTAATTTAATGTCTAAAGTAAAAAGATTTCTAACAAAAAATGGAGGGGTGAAACCTGATGCGCACGATTATTTACATCTCTGGCGACATCGTTATGATGGTCAGAACCACCTGAAGCAGACCTCGATGGAGGTCGAAAGCATTTGTGGAGTTAGTTAAAGACATAACACTTGTACAAAAAGGTTTTCGTGGATTGTTATTAAAAAGATTTCTGCACAATATTTGTAAGGTTATTCTTTCCTCATGGTCTGATCAATAAATACCAAGTTTCCCTTTACCGCGTGAACATCATGGAGCACACCAGAATTTATACAAATCTATATAGTATAGTCTATACATAAAACAATGGTAAGTATTCATGTATGTAAACACAGAAAAGTTATATGGCAGCTATAGACTTACAGAACCACCGTTGTTAAGCAGTGCATATCTATATTAAAGTTTAATCACTAAATGTTCGCTTATAACAAAAAAAATAAACGAACATCATTCCTATTTTAAATTAAAAAAAAAAAAAAAAACATTCTTTGCATTCAACTTTCCGTTTCTTTCAAAATGGCAATGAAAAATGCTTTATGTCCGAGCGTACAAGTTTCTAACAAAAGCCAAATCAGACGGATTGAAGAGAAGGACTTTTGAAGATGGTTATGAGGTTTCTATTTGATCTGAAATTGTAAATTTCACATAGAAGGCTCCACGATGTTTTGAAAACAAACCTTAAATATTATTCGAAGTGGTTAATTCCAGACTGAATTGACGCGCAAAGATTGCCGACAAAAAAATACCATCTTTACTCACATACAGGACGAGGTGTGACTTTAAAGATCAAAATAAAGAAAATTAGATTTATTAACACAATTCTAATTTTATTTTGTTTAATCACAAACAAAATATCAAATGCACGTAAACGCACAGATTGTCCTGCAAAAATTGCTGGCATTATAAACTCGTATCGGACTACCGCGCGATTTTGGAATTTCAATCTTCACTCCTGACAATACGCAAGAACAATTGAAATAACCCAGATAAAATACTTTTGTCTTTAAGCACCAGAAGGTGAAGTATCCGGTAAAAAATGCGAATACACGGTTCACAAAAACTGTTGCAAAAACACAAAGAATTTTTCGTTCGCGCGTCTAGGATTATCTTGGTTTTTGAAGCGGTGAAAAATAAATAAAAAGCTCGTCTTATATGCGTGTAAATACGATAGATTGCAGAAGATTAGTGCAAGTTTTTCATCTTGGATGATGAATCTTACTTATCCCTCTTGGACTTGATGACCAATGTTAATAGTGGACTTTATACAGTGTTATCTCTCCTATACCTGCTGATGTAAACGAGTTTATATAACATTGCCAGATTCCTCATATTTAAATGAATTATTCTGGAGTGGAATATGTCTTCTAGCCAGGTTGAGCAAGTTTCCACTACATCAAAACTGTAACAGATTACCTGGGACGAGAAAACAGATATTTTCCAGAATAAAAACGGATATAAGAGAACAGGAGATAAAAGCAACACACGGGAAGTATCTTTTAAACAGGTATCCGACGACAATATTAAATAATTGGTATAACCAATTCACACTGAATGGATATACAGTAAAAGAAAAACAAGAAATAAAACAGTATACAGTCGACCCCCCTATAACACAGGTTCCCATAGTTCGGATTCCTATATCACAGCGAAAAAATTGCGACAGTATTCGTACAAACATGCTAAAAAACTCCTATAATTCGGTAAAACATCATCACTGACTTGTGTCGCGACAGGATTGCACAAACCATTGAGTTTAAATGAGCAGTGGACTTACTAGAAACCATTTATTATTTAACGTCCATAAAAATTATATTTATATTAATGATGTTTCTAAAGTTCAGAGAATTTTCCGCAAAAAAAATAATTTATCAGGAAGCACGCGAGCGCCATTCAATGACAATCTCCACAATGAAAAGAAGCTTAAGCAACGGCGTAGTCGAACGGTGCACGCTCGGTAAGTAATCCTACAAATTTTTGTTTATAGCATAGTTTATATGGATTATTCCCAAAAAATTATACGTACTTTTGAAATGTTGAGTCGAATTAGTCTAGAATCGATTAATTTTATGGAAGAAACCTTTCAAACAGCCGTAGTCCGTAAACTGCATACGCGCCGGGCTGTGATCGACTGGACTCGTAGAAAATGGATTCATAAAAACCGGAACGTATCTACCGTGTTATAGGAGGGTCGACTGTATATCATTTTCTTATATAAAAGACGTATGAAAAATATAATAAAATTCTTAATCAAAATCAAATTAAACTGGCTCCAACTCAAAAGTCAGATATATAGATGAAAATCTGTAATAGGATATTGTTGGTCTTTTATATTTAGACCATAGAGTTTTTCTTTTCTCATGGTAAAAACTACATTCCGCAAACTTAAGAATGTGTTCCTTCAAGCTTGGGATCGAATGCAGGAGTAAGGAAATATTCCAATATGAATTTTGTGTATTAGAGAATAGCCTAGTGTAATGTGATTTAATAGGCTGCATACTTTATCCAACAGCAAGTCCATCCGTCTATTGTTTAATTCCAATGTAGCACATTATAGAAAGTACCGCATGCAGTAGGCAACAGGATTCAAACATCCTGCCCGAAGGTCAACTGTATAGCAAGCGACGAGGCTTTTCTTGGTATTTAGAAGTGCCTAAAGCTTACGTAGTAGATCTGAAGATTATAGATTAGTGACTATTTGGAGATTTTCCTGTTAATCTGCCAAGAAAAGATATACGAGAAAGCCTCACCCAAAATAAACCTTCACTCAAACTACAGATACTTAAACTGTTTAATTATATATAATTTAAGTAAAATACATAACTTAATGATATTTTTACTATACCGGACGATCCCGAAGTCCTTCGATACGGCAGCAATTTGCACTGTTATGTTCTGTTGTTGTACATTGTGTTGGAAGTATGTATATTAGAACTGTACTTCCCTTCTAATGCATATTAATAATAAATACATGCATACATAAGCAAAATTAATCTACAAATTACATTTTTAAACTTTATAAAGCTTCCTTTCTGAATTAAAAGGAAATTTAGTAACCTTCCTTTCTGTTTGATAACTGCTTTGCAATGACGAGGCACATGCACGAATAATTTTACACAGAATTTAGGGTGAATTTCATTCCATACCAATTGTATCTCGGCTAGTTACCTTTTTATTTATTCCCACAGATGTTTATTGGGATTTAGATCCGGTAAACGAGCACACAATAACATCTCAAGATTTCAAATATTCTTCCACTATCTTAGCCGTATGAGTCAGACCGTTGTCGTGTTGAAAGACAAAAGTTTGTTCTATTCCTAATTTAATGTCTAAAGTAAAAAGATTTCTAACAAAAAATGGAGGGGTGAAACCTGATGCGCACGATTATTTACATCTCTGGCGACATCGTTATGATGGTCAGAACCACCTGAAGCAGACCTCGATGGAGGTCGAAAGCATTTGTGGAGTTAGTTAAAGACATAACACTTGTACAAAAAGGTTTTCGTGGATTGTTATTAAAAAGATTTCTGCACAATATTTGTAAGGTTATTCTTTCCTCATGGTCTGATCAATAAATACCAAGTTTCCCTTTACCGCTTACGCATCCCCACACTATTTCCAGTTGGTTATACACATTTGATTAAATGCTTCTGTAGCACCATAGTGTCCAAACAAGTCAAACTTATTTTTGTCGGGCCAAATAATGTGATTCCGAAACACAACCGGACTTTCGACGTATTTTCCGGCCAACACGAGTCTTTCTTCTCGTATTGTTTGCTTATCCGAGGTTTCTTCCAAGCAACTCTAACACGATAACCAGACTCTTGCAATCTATTTTGAACAGTCTGAGGTGTAACACTGACATTACCTTCTGTTTCCATTTTCAACTACACTTATACTGGCTTCATTTCTTAATTTCTTCTCGATCACTGTACTGTGCAAAATTTATTTTCCTCTTTCTGTCTTATTTTCTACTTTCCCAGTGGATTTAAACTAAAAAATTTCCGACAGAAGACGTGGGCATTCCGAGCTTTCTGCCAATTTTACTCAAGGACGTGCCACATTGTCTAACGACACAATTTCTACTGGCATTAAACTACTCATATATTTTTTGGAGCCATGTCAAACTACAAATTACTTTTCAAGTCTTGCTTCTTCTGTTATTTATGCAAATAATTGCATTCTTCCATTTTTATGGGAGGGACGAAGAAATTTATACTGTGCTTGGTTGCTGGATTGCCTGATAGATGCCTTGTACTTACCGGGCAATCCAGCAACCAAGCAATCACAAAATTAGAAAAAATAAAGCAATTTTATTGCTGCAATTGTATAGCTACAATTAGATATTATTAGTTTATAATGTAAATTATATAGAGAGTCCTAATCTTCTGTGCTTAGAGGTTCCAGAAAGTCTTAATTCATCAATGCTTTCATTCATTAATCATTTATATTTCTGATTTATGAAAAGATAACATAGAGAAATCCTTGAAAAAAGCTAAGTATGAAGAGAAAGGAGATATGTTTTTTGCTTCCCCTATGATGTAAGATATAATGTTGAGTTATATAATGGAAGCTCAATCTTCCCACAGGTCAATTTAAACAATATGTGAACACAAGCATAAATAAGCTGTGAATATGCAATCTCTTACCCATTTATTGTCCATACCTGTGTTAATAATCAAATGATTACTCAGGAATACATTGTTTACAACACACATGAGGTATTTAATTGGCAAGGAACAAACCATGCAGTAAGTAGTGTGAGGTGTAGCGCTTAATTACTGCACAGTTTGTTCCTTGCCACTAAATATTGCATCTGTGCTGTAAGCAGGGTTTTTTTTGTGTATAATCATTTGATTATTAACACAAGTGAACAATAAACGGGTGAGAGATTGTATACTCACTTCCTACACATCAATTTAAGCAATAAGAGAGTGCAAGCATAAATAAGCTGAAAGTGTACAATCTCTCATCCATTTATTGTTCACACTTGTGTTAATAATCAAATGATCACTCATGAAAACATCCTACTTATAGCACAGATGCAATACTTAGTCAGCAAGGAACAACTCATGTAGTAATTAAGCAATAAATGTCACACTGTTGACCCATATAATGGAAGCCCAGGCTTCCTAAGCTCAATTAATGCAAGAAGAAGCCACAGGTACAATTACACCTCCGAATGAGATGATTGGGACCTTACCAGAGTTGTATGCTATACCCATAGGAGCAAAAACGTCAAAGAACCATACTACTACTTGTGATCCTTTGCAAGATACAACCCCCCAAAAGCAGTCTACTTCCAGGATGCACACAATCAGGAGTTGCATTGTGCTGCCGCGACTATAACATTTAACTATTTAGCCCACGTGACTATGCCTCATATCACAACTTCAAGATAAAGCCCCTGCTCCACCAAGTGGCACTACAGAGAACAAAGAGACCCTATTTTAATCACCGGCAGCAGGCACCGAGTAATCACTGCAGTGTCTAAACCATTACAACTGAACTGAGGTAAATGCTCGGGCTCTGGCAGTACAACCCAACGGAAACTAACCTTCCTCGCTCTCAAGTCTGATCCTCTTACCTCGAGATACAATTTTGGTGCAGCTTGCTCTGCACTTGAAGTCCTCTACCAAAGGGAGATCGGCTCTTGCACGGACAGTTGACAGGGCTACAAAACTTTGACTCATCCAATCGGGACGCTGCCTAATACGGACAGCGGGGCCCCCTCTTCTAGAAAGAGGGCCCAACCCAATATTCACTTGGGCTCATAAGTCAAAAAAGCTATTACAATTCCCATCAATTCCTTTAGTTTCAATAAGTTTCCTTTACTTACTGCTAACATTCAAAGCACTAGCATGTGACTATGCAGGCTTTGAGTAACTAACTCGACTGTTCACAAAGTATCCAAAGCTATATAGTTTTAGCGGGCGTGTAAACTTGCCTCCACGCAGGCACAAAAGTACGCGTGTAGAATAGGTAGTAGTACTGGTTCACGGTAAAAACAGACCTTCGAAAGCAAATATCTCACGAAGGGTAACGCATTCAGATTTTTCGCTCGTATGGCATTCCGGGATGGTTCGGAGTTCACATCTTACCGCAACATTAACGTAGGCGTGAGTGTACAATCGCCCGCCGACGTGTCGATTACTCGTAAAAACCACCGCCGTACGGCACAATATCGAACCGGCTAGGCACAAACCCCGCGGTAACCAAGCAACACACCTCACACTACTGACTTACATAATGGAAGATCTCTCTTCCTATTGTGTATGAGCATAAATAAACTGCAAACATGCAATTCCTCACCCATTTACAGTTGAAACCTGTGTTAATAAACAAAAGCAATTGACACAAACACCACTCTTATAGCAAACACATGCATCATCTAACCGGCAATAAACCATGTGGCGATTAAGCAACACGCCACACACACTACTATTGATTTTAATTACCTGTTTTAGTGATGGTATCCAAATCGTGAAACACTTGCTCACGGATCTTCTTCTTTCCGGTTTGAACTTTCAATGGTAGATCCTTAATGACCGCTTGCACCTGTAAATATTGCGCCGGAGTTTATAAAAGAATTCGCCTTAATAACAATCGAAATCAAAACTCGTGCTTGCACCAGTCTGCACTCACCTGGAAGTCCGCCATCTTCCCAAATGACGTTATACACGGCATCGAATTTTAAAATGTGATAAAAATTTAACGTCGCGCCGGTTTCTTTTTATTACTTTTAAAATTAATTATTGTATGAAATTTAATTTAAAATATTAATATATATATATATATATNATTTAATAGCATTAATGCCTTTTATACACAAGTGACCATGCCCAATTTCGATTTTTAATCATTACATCATTGTGAAAAATTAAATATAAAAATTGCCAACAGAGAAAGTAGTTTATTAATATTTATTTTGCGTTTATTTTAAAAAATTTTAGTTAGTTTATGGCGATAAAAATTAAAATTTAATAATTTTTAATTATCAGGATTTATTGGCTCCCGTTTTTTTTAAAACTCTTTCCGCCATGTGAGCACTAAGCGAGCATCTTTTTAGAAAGCCAATTATGGGTTCGGTTAGGCCCAAAACGGGCCAATCGGGTGGTGGAACGGTGCCGGAATATCAGGCCGCTTCCCGTCCGGTTTCGATTCCGGGTTCCCCAGAGCGATAGACTGTCACCTTAACTGCTCGGCCATCCGGCTTTTTTATCGGCCATTTGTCTGGACAGGGCCGCCGTAAGCGGGCGTGCAAGGCGTGCACCGCACGCGGGCGGCACGTCCAGGGGGCGGCAAAGAGCCTTTCTGGCAAGCTCAGCATAGGTAATCGTAGTTAAACAGGGGGCGTTCAAACAGCTAGCGGCGCCCCTGTGTCTGGATAATTCATTTTTTAAAATATTCCTCACTCTTTCCACCTTATACACACCACGAAACGCTCATCGTGGTGTGTATAAGGTTCGGTGCCCGCAATAGGTGGTAAGAGGCGATGCCCGACATTTTCGACGCTTACCGCCCATGAGAAATTATTAGAGTTACTCGTCCGAATTTAATCCCGGATGCCCCAGAGTGGTAGACTAACGCCTAAACAGTCTCCATGATACGGGGTATCCAGTTTATAGGTTTAATAAAAGAAAAAACTTATAGCTTGAATGATACTCGTATCATACTGGAAATTGTTGTGTATTTTATGTTGACATTTGTGGCTATTTACGAGAAATATCACCTCTTGGCGATGAAAGGTAAAGTAGATACGGTACATACTAACAAAGGACCAAATGATAGGCCACAGCATATTATTTAGTCATTTATTATCCCTCAACTTCCTCCTTGCGTCATTTTTCAATAAGACGTGGCTCTTCCGTGTTTGAGTGTAAAAAAATCTGTTAAAGTTTATATACTAAAACACAACGATTTTTTCGTTAAAGTGATATGCAAATTGTGTAGATTATGTAGGGAGTAATCACTCAGCATTGAATTGTAAGGCTTGAAAGGCCTATTGTGCCAGGGTCAATCATATTTTTCACAGTACAGAATTTTATAAGATGACACGCGCAAACATAAAGATACAAAGTACACTGATACAAACAACGAGAACAAAACTTTTGTATGAACATACTTGTGCATGTAAATAGACAGCGGCCTAAGCGGTCTTCCTACCCCGAACACTGGGAGTTCGGGCCTCGCTCGGATGGGCTGGCCACGTGGAGTTTTCAGGGTTTTCTCCACGTCTGTAACGTCTAAATAGGGCCAATTTCCTTTAAAAAGACCCCCCAGGAAGGCATCCCCTAGGCAGATCGCCCAAGTGTTACGTTGCCCGTTGCCATAACTAAACAAACAAACAAGCAGATATACAATTCGACATTTGTGTATATAATACCTACACAACCGCAGAGGAAGGAGAGTTGAGCGTACGAATATCTAAACCAGGACCACGAAGTACCATAAAAAATAATAAATTAGTAGAATAATTACAAATTTTTACCCGAAATTACTTCTATAAAGGGATATGATGGTATATTGTGGACCAGTCTATATCTTCGTGGTACTAAATAATTACACACATATTTATATAGGACACAATTATACCTCTACATATATGTATATGCAAGCAGTTCTCAAATGTACAGTACATTCATCTATATTTAAACACACCTCTACGCACGCTTACCTACGAATACTCTAAAAACAAACACACACACACACAAGGGGGTGTATATTTTATAGTTTAAGACATAAGTCTAACTATACTCGTGAGAGTATAGTTAGACTTATGCCTTAAACTATAAAATATACACCCCCCTCCTTTCCACAAAGTAACGATACACGTAAAAATATGTCGCCCTAAGTAAGAATTCGCATATAAGTTAAATAAGCCGCAGTTTAGAGCCTTACACTTCATTTGATAGAAGGAAAGGGCTTGGTCTACAGATTTAAAGCCCTTCTGTGTGGCACAAACCGATACCATCGATTGAAAATTGCTTTAGAGTACATTTTACACAAGGCAATTTATAAAAATGTTATAAAGATAATTATTTAATTATATTTAATTACATTTAACTTACGCACTGCACTCGTTAATAACACTAAAAGTTCACGTAAGAAACAATTACCGATGCGTGAAAAATGAGATCATAGAGTAATTACATTTTACAAAGTAATTCTTATTAAAAATTATAAATCACTCGCAATTCAATCTAAATATATAGAAAAAAAAGGGCACGAAAATCCATTTTTTTTATAATTTTTTTACAGTTATTTCACGTCATTGCATAATCGAATATTGGAACACTTGTTCATTTTTAATTACACATTAAACAAAATTGTGTTCGACTTAGCAGAAAGATAACACGAGAAATTATCGAACCCGTGCCCTAGTTCAATTATAATTCCAGAATTAAATAGTTTTTCTATACGCAATCCATAATTTATAGATTTTTCTATAATTAATAAACACGTAATAGATGATTTCCCGAAGATGCCACGGTACGTCGTGGCTCGTATCTCGATGCAGCAAACACACACACGCCTCGAGCATCGATTTTATATTAAAAAAAAAACACAGAAAAACCTCAGAAATTTAAGTTGAATAACCTTACAAAACGACGTTTTTTTTAATCACTTCTCTATAAAAAAAATGCATGCAAATCGCTCCGTCGGCCATGCGTTGCGGCTATCTTCAACGAACATCATGAATGGAGATAGATTAAGATTTTTTTTTTTATTATGTGAATATTTTAAATATTATTTTTAAAGTATTTTAAACATTAAATATCATTCGATACCATTGCACGTTGACTCCCGATCGTTCTTCAATTTATTAAACGGTGGGTCTTTATTATAAATTGTTATTTAATGCGCCTATTACCTTATTTACATGTTCACTCACTGTATAAATATTGACCTCTTTTTTTTTTGATTTAATGCCGAATTCCGATCGGGTGCACGAAGTATATATAAGAAAGTTGCGGATGAAAAGAGTTATTATACTTTCAACTCAAGGAATAATCAAGGATGAAGAGAGTTTCTCAGGTAAGTAAAGTCTTCTATACACGATGATGTACGTTTGTGCTATTTAAAGTGTGAATTTTTAAAGATTTAACACTATAAAAACAGCAAATACCGCCCGTTTTTACTGTGTGAATCTATCACTATTGGCTGAGTGGATAAAACTACTAAAAACTGGTCGCGGGTTCACGCCTGACCAGCGGTTTATTACGTGGAGTTTCCTGTGTTTTATTTACGTGTTCGACCCCTAATTTCTCACATAAATTCCTTCAGGGAACCTCTCCCTCTTTGCAGATCGATCTCCCATGTGTTACTTTATTCTATAAATCGTTAAATTCTTCATTTTCCACATTATATATCCATATCTGTGCGTTTGCAACACATAATTTAAGTAGTTTCTAAATATATACAGATTATACAATGATATATGAAACTTTATTTACAGATTAGCATAACTTTGTTCGCTTTATGCATGCTCATGGTTGCATTCCGAGTGGAGAGCGTGCACAAAAGCGAAGGACCTGTGAGTATTAAAGTATGGAGAGGACCTAGCGAGCATTACGGACATCATCATCATCATCATCATAGCTTCGCACCTTTCGCATATTACGTAAAGCAACCAGCCGATAGCCATCATTACGGTCATCATCATGGTCATCACCACGGTCATCATCAAGTACATCACGGCCATGGATACGAAGATGGTCATCATGGTCATCACGGTGGTCATCACGGTGGTCATCATGGTGGTCATCATCCAGAACACCACGTCCATGAATATCATGAAGGTCATCATGGCCACGGACATGGTCAAGGACACCATGGTTATCATCATTAACGAATGCGTGAGTTGTAATCTATGAAAGGTTGGCTGTAAATCATGATCGAGGATAACTGTTAAAATTTGATGGAATTTTGGATGTTTAAATTTTAAAATACGGGATTGGTTAATAAATGGAGGAGGTTCAGTTCAAGTAAATATTCAAAAATAAATTGTTTTGTTTCGAACAATAGTCATTGTTAATTAGAACAAAACTATATATATATATATATATGCATACAAATCTTTAATTGGTATGCAAAATCAATTGCAGCAATGACCACTTGAGAGAAGTGTGGCTTCGAAGGAATTCACGAGTTAAAAAATGAGTAAGGGTTTTTAAAATAAAAATAATTCGAGTATTAAACAAATTGCACTTTTATTATTTTTGGGTCAATGGGGCATAATTTAAAAAAGAAACTTATTAGATTGAGCAGTTACGGCTGGGTGCTTTCAACAATTTTAAAGAATGTTAATTGACAAGATCTTGATGAGAACAACGAAAGCGCGATAAAAAACGGTTTTATCCACTTGGCCAAAATTAGTCCACTTTTGGCCAAGTAAATAAGAGCATTAAATACTGGTAGTTGGTTCAGAGTTCGCGCCTCACTAACGTTGGCCGCTTGAAGTTTTTCCGAGTTTTATCCGCGTGTCTTGACACCTAAATAGGTGTCAGTTTCTGAAAAATCTTTCTGGAGGCATGTTCGCACATGTATTACATTATGCTATCAATCCTGTCCCAATACTACTGGAAAAAGTAACTGTTGCAGTCGTGATCACTAAGGGATCTGGCCTACCAGTGGCCAGACGGTCTTCGTCCCCTAAACACTAAGAGTTTAGTCGTGGGTTCGTGCCTCGCTCGGACGGGCTGGCAACGTGTTTTCCGGTTTTTCTCCACCATCTGTAACGCCTAAATAGGGACCAGTTTCCCTTAAAAACACCTCCGGGAACATCGCCCAAGTGTTGCGTTGCCACAACTAAACAAACTAAGAGATCCCTTTGTTATGCTTATTAGGGTCTAGTCAGACTTATAGCGATGTAACAGCATTTATTACACCATTGTAAATCTCAACATCTGCATGAGAACATTTCCTTACGATTGGCAACACTGTGAATGAGCAGTCTAACAGCAAAAATCTCTCTCACAAACTGCTGATTGGGCAACAATGCTGTAACGGTGCTGCAAGAATGAATTGTCACCTTCATTGTTAAAAAAAAATAATTTTGCTTTTCTAAAAACAAAAAGTTCATTAACACGATTTATGAAATTAGACATAAATACGGATAAATACGGCATTTTCCCTTTTAATTATTCACTTTTAAAGTATTTCTTAAAGAACTAAACGAACTGCAGATTCTTTATTGGGCTATAAGAGTAAATAATTCTTAAGCAATTTGGCAAAATATGAGTCGACAGAGCGCCATCTATTGTAAAATATAATAACTATAAATAAATAAATACAGTAGATTTAATTTAATTTTAAAATATTCTGGGAGAAAAACATCCGCACGTGTGTATCGCTCCGGGACAATTTTTTCTTCCAGTATATTCTAAAATTAAATAAAATGAATTTATGTATTAATAATTATTATATTTAACAAGAGATGGCGGATGCTTACTTCCAGCCAAGTTGCTTAGTAATTATTTACACTTATAGCCCAAAAATCGAGCTAAATGTTTGTTTGGTGCTTGTATGAATATTAAAATAATTTAAAGGTAAGATATGATGTACAGGGGCAAGCCACTACTAATTTGAGGTGGAAAGCATATATTTAAGTTAAATAAATTAAAAAATAAGACTAAAAATTGCAGTCTGGCATCTTGTAAGACTCATAAATTCATTGTGAAATAAGCATATTATTTTTATACCACTATTCTATCGTAGAAATTAACAAAAGCACGAAAATATATTATATTTTATTATAGAAAATTATTGAAATACTGATAAACATCTTTAAAAACATTTTTAAATTGCTCTTTACAATTTATACACCTATTAGAAATGGCAAGTCATCTACAACACAATACACACACACGTACACGTATCAAAATTAATTTTGTAACAAGTAATACATTACAGTAAAACCTCGCGTAACGAGCGAAACAAATTGTAAAAAACGAATCGGTAACGAGCGACGTTTATCGCATAACGAGTAACAAGGAGAGAGATAGTTCCGAATTGTGCCATGCTCCATCAGTCCGTGTTTAGCACTCGTTCCACTAGCATCTTAGTGTCCCTTGTGATAACACATTCTTCCAAACTTGCGTACACACATATTACGAATAAACATAACAACCATAGCCTGTTATACAATAAACACGCCAAACCATATGCCAAATTTTTGAGCTATGTACAGGCTATAATTAAATATTAAAAGTTGATTAATTTGAATTTAAAGTACGCAGTTATGCCGCCATCTCGTATTACAGTAAATTTAATGACCAATTTCAAATTAAATTTTGATATTTAATTTAAGAAACGTAATTTATCCAATCAATAGATTGGCTAGCTGAACTTAGTCCTATATATTGTGCCACTTCTGTGACGAAATCCTGAGATGTATTAAATCAAATTTAAATGGCATATAATGCGCATCGGTTTGGTATTTACTTTATATACCTGAAAAAAACGAGAATTATGTATTTTTCGTATCAATAATTATATAGATAATAGTATTGTATTTACTTGATCGTAGCATTTGTAAATTTATTTCTTCTCTTCTTTACGCAACAGATATACATTAAAATCGAAACAGTAATGATCACTATTAGAAGAACAGCAGAAGACACACCAGATACGATTTGAATCCTCGCTTCTTTATGAACAGAATCTGTCATAGAGTAAAGAATTTTTATTAGACAAAATTCACAAATATCAGTTATCATTTTCTTATTGATTAATAACTTCAAGTACATATTAATCCGTAATCATTTTCAGCAATAAATATCCTTTGCACAAAATCCTTGCACAAAAGTTTGTGGTTTATCTTCCATGCATGAACTTTAAATAAAATGGAGTTTACTAGGTTTAACGTAACGTAAAAGTAATGTATAATACTATGATGTCTATTTTTATGTTTTTCATGCTTGTGTTCATGAATTTGTTAACTTAAATGGAGATGAGTATCACATGCCACACTGCATTGAAAATTGAAAAAATACAATACATATGACAAAGAAGTAACTAATCGATTCATTGTTGTAAATCCTTTGAGCAATCATAAACATTGTGCGGCATATTAAGTAAGGACAGTGCTGTAGTAACTGAACGCAAAACCACTCAAGATGTTTATGATAAAAGTTGTTCTGAAACCCCCAAACTGATCGGTGCAGGCATGATTATACTTCACAATTAAAGGCAATGTTGAAGATCAATGTGAGTCGTGGAAAGGGAAAAACATTCAGCAGGATAAGAAATTACATACTCTTCGATGGAATTGATATATCACATGGCATATAGCTCTTATGTGTGCTATAAAAACAATTTCCTTGCAACAGTCAGAGGCAGTTGCAAGAAGTTTCATGTTTCATGCTCTGGAATACATTAATTTACATAACTGTTTTAATTTTGGACATCTGATACTTCACTTTAATTATTTTAAATGAAATAATTTAATTCATGGTAAAAGTTACCTGTATGAAATTCTATCGAAATCCTATAGAGTTTCTTCTTAATTTCAACAGAGAACAAAGGATTGATGGAGTAAACTAATGAAATACATGGGCGATATGCATGCCAGGAAGACTTTCTATGGGAAACTGACCATTACTTAATTATTAGAGCGTATCATATGTTAAACGAAGAACACCCATAAACAACGTAGCCAGCGTATTGAAAATCTGCAAAAAGTGATTAAGGAGTCAGCCTATCGCTCTGTGATTCCGTAGACAAATTTACGAGAGTCATTTCCATGAAACTTTCAGAGGCTTAACTCCTACACATCAGATCTAAAGTGTTTAGCAATGTACCAGATCGATTCAATTGTCAGCTTGGCCCAATCCATAATATTTATAATTAAAATACCGTCTTAGTATGCACAAAACAAACATTTCGAAAAACAAACTAAAAATACGAACGTGTAATCATAATGATTTCACGCCAACAATTAGTATTTTCTCTCTAAAACAGAGCTTTTAGCTCAAAAATCATGAAAAATTTCATAGCAATTTACATTCGATACTAATATAAAATAAAAAATCCATTTCTTACACACACAAAAAGTACTTACCAAGGCATATTCCAGTAATGGCAGAACATGTCTCGCCTCCACAATCGCATATATTTTCACAGTTTTCTCCCCAATAACCAAATTCACACGGTTCATAGCACTGAACACCTATCAATAAATTACTTGTTAAATATATTCGTCAGTAACAATGATCGAAATTGTTTCTTCATACCTTTCCATCCAGGCTTACATTCACATTGTCCATTTAAGTGATCACAATATCTCGAATTATTTACACTACAATTACATAACGGATTACAATCGTAATCGAAAATCTGAAATGCAAATTTAAGGTTGTTATTCCACGAATTAAGTTAAATGCCACGCTACTTCATAGTGGATTTTAAAATATCTCAAATTATATGCTTCAGCATATAAACTATAAAAAATTTTATTGTTAAATATTACAGTCGCAGAAACATTTTGAAAAAACAAAATTAAAGTAGCGAAAGTATAATTATAATGATCGTCAAGCAAAACATGAACAATATTCTTTCTATAAAAACTTTAAGCGCTAAATTTTTCATTCTCATAAAATTTAATGTTATATTTTAAAATATAAAATATAAAATTAAATAGCATGAAAGCAAAAATACATAAAATATATTCTTAAATAATAAAAAAAAAAGAAATAGTCTTACATCGCAAGTATTTTCACAGCTGTCTCCAATATACCCAGGCGCACAGTCGCACACACCGGTTATATGATCACACTGAACTGTGCTGTTTCTTCTACAGTTACATTCTTGTGCACAATTTTCCCCATACTTCCAATCCTAGGTTGACATAATGATAATAGGTTACTGATAGCATACACTGACAACTCAATAATCTCACTTGTGTGTTGGAATTTTTGCATGAAGCATAAATGAGATTGCTCCTCTGTGATCCTAATATGTTTTAATAGTTACAGACATGATAGAAATTGAATATTAGGTCAGAAATATAGCCTTACCTCGCAAGTATTTTCACAGCTGTCTCCAAAGTACCCAGGTGCACAGTTGCAGAGACCAGTTATATGATCACACTGGATTGTGCTGTTTCTACTACAATTACACGCTTGCACACAATTTTTTCCATACTTCCAATCCTAGGGAAATGCATTATTATATGAATTTGTGTATAAATATTCACATTGTAAAGTGATGTATCATGTTCGTGTATTTGTACAGAATTTATGATTAG